TATAGAACCCCTTTATCGTCAAATGTAATACCAACTAGGCATGTTCTAACTGGTAAATAACAGTAATCTTATTAACATGATACTGATGTAACTGTATATTATGGTTTACTTTGTGTAAATTATAATGTTTTTACATTTTTCCGCCGCTGCGCAGATTAAACTGTTGAGTTTGCCTCATTACGGTTTACCTGCGGCAATTAATTAAAAAGAAATCGACCTTAATAAATCAACAGGTCTGGAACGTTTTAATTATAATTGCCATTATTACCAGTTTTCCTAATTTCTCTATATGTTTGTTTCAATTAATACATCGGTTTTTGTTCTCGTAATTAATTCATCCATCGCACAAATCCAACCTTACATGATTACAATGTATTCGGAAGCACATATTAATTATTGAAATTCATTAACTGGTGCGGTACCTACTTGCTAACGCTAAATAAAGGTGGTTAAACGTACGCTTTGTAAAACGAGCATGTGATTATGTATTCTAGCAAATAAATTATTGAATTGGAATTTAAAGTTTATCAGTTCATCGGTGGCCTCAAGAAAAAGCTATCCATCCATTTGTGTTTATTTTTCTGAGTCTATCCATCAATTTGTGATTATTTTTCTGTCTTCTTTTATAGCCGCTAGTTAGCTGTCTGTCCTTGATGAAGAGTATAAATTGTACATAAGTATAGTACCTACAATTATGTATTCTGTCTACATGCTACAGCTTTCAGATGACGAATGAATAGTCATCAAGAGAAGCAAAAGTGCATTTAGGCACATTTAAAAGTTATTAGTCTTTGGACAGGCGCATTTATAAATCCTAACGTGCTAAAATATTAGACTTTGGCTTTTTGTGTACTGAATTACAACCACTTGAGTATGACGCATATCGTACATGTCAAAAGTCGTTAAGCGCTGAATGCTGATAACCTTTTCATGAAAAGGGATAGTGATTTCAACGTCCTTTTTTTGGCTATAATTAATATTAATTTAATAGATAAAGAGAATGTACTCTCTAGAAGACTGTTCTTCGAATCTATGGAGTTCGGGAATTTTTTTTTATTACGCCCACAAAACGAGGAAGAAAAACAAAGTGACCATTATTACTAATCAACCTTATACCAGCAGGAGGGCATCATACTGATGGAAATGGCGATATTATTAGCTCAACTGCAGTCAAGCGACGCCTACGCACCTTTGTTCGTCAAGATTAGTAATAAAATGCTTTTTTACTGGCAGGACAAACACCAGATTTGCGGTATTACATACAACATAAGATTTTAAACTTTCGCGTTCCATTTCAACTAAATGTCGCCATGATCCATGGGACCCAGGACCCATGCCTTTCTAACGGGTGTTTTTGTAGAGGTATACAACTTTAAATTGGTTAGGTACACTGTTTCTAGTGATGGTTAATTTGATAGTTGGTGGTACATTTGTGGACAGTATGTTTTGGCATTTCATAATTAAATAGAATTACTTCAGAACAACGTTTGCAAATTGTGCAAAAATGTATTTTAAAAACCATGGTTCAGTTTTCCACACAAACGTCCATATTACGGTCGACGTAATTTTCGTAACTTTTCATTCCTCAGATGAATGATATTAATGTGGGGCAGAGCTATGTTTTCAACAAGATGGTGTTACCATCCAACCAGCACGCGACACATTCAATTTATTGCGGGAAACATTCGATGAGCGCATAATTTCACGTGATGGATCTTTGAATTTGCCTCCACAATCGGGTGATCTTACACCTATGGATTATTTTCTCTGGGGATATGTGAAGTCCACTACTGCGCAGATAAACTACGGAGCTCAATGCCAACATTCGTCGCGTTATTGCCGATGTATGGCCCCAGTTGCTCGAAAATGAAACTGAAAATTGGACATCTTGATTACGCTACATTTGAGCCAACCGTGGCGCCCTTAGGCCCGAAAGAATTTTGAAGCATAAATGGCATAAGAACATCTTTTAAAGAAAACCAATACCTACCATGTGAATCAAACATATGTTGGCATATTTTATTTCATTTTAAAGTTGTATACCTCTAAAAAAACACCCTATATTTTAACATACAACATGCTGTGACTACCTTGAAGTGGAATCCAGTTTGATATAGGTACTATTTTGATGGGTAAATTAAGAATTGTTGTAGCTTTGTCGCTTGATTATTTGCATTGTAATTGTTATTTCCAGTAATTTATCTGTCAACATAATCATTAAAATTTCATACATTCGACTTTTGCATTAAAACCTAGCATTAACTACAAAGACCAACAATATAAAACATTGCTGTGTGAACACATATTTATAGATACGGATTTGTTGTATTTATTAATATTGAACCCTATTTACCGATTCAGCAGATCTACACTAGTATGTAGTTACGTCTCTAGTTAATAGACAAATCGCTCTATGTCGCCATCCATCTTGTTGTCTGTGGTAATCTCTCTGCAATAAAACTGCGTCTGCTNTATTGATGTCAAATATAATTTTATAAAGGAGAAATATGTAGAGAAACAAATTGATCTCAATTATGTTTGTACTAAGGAGCAATTTGCTGATGTATTCACTAAAGCTTTACCTAGAGACAAGTTTCAGTATCTTAGAAGTAAAATTGGTATTATGAAACTTGAACATTACTAAAACTGTTAATTTTTGGTGAGAGCTATTAATATGTCTTTAAGTTTACTTTAGATGCAAAATGTTATTTGTGTTGATTTAAAGTAGTTATGTTTTAAGAACAAGGGTTCAAATTAGGTGAGAGTGTTGTATTTATTAATATTGAACCCTATTTACCGATTCAGCAGATCTACACTAGTATGTAGTTACGTCTCTAGTTAATAGACAAATCGCTCTATGTCGCCATCTTGTTGTCTGTGGTAATCTCTCTGCAATAAAACTGCGTCTGCTAAATTTAAACTATTTTTATTTAAATTCATCAGGATTGCAACTAAGTTACTTTTCCTGTTTTAAAATACACATTAAAATAAATTATTACCATCATGATAAGACAAAAAATAGATAAATGGAGTTTCATATTATTTTAAGTAGGCAACTGGCATTTTTGCAAAATCCTTTAATCTCATCCAGCCACTCATATCCAAATATTTTTTGCTTCCAGAAAAAAAAATTAAGTGTACAGATAACTCTAGAGTCTAGAATGATCTACCCATTGATCCAGCCAGGTTGACCTGCCAGTTATCTAATCATACTTAAAGCAAATTGACCAAGGTTATGTTACATTTACACAACATACATGAATAATGTAATGTGTTCATGTGCTAAATTGGTAAAATTCCTAACAGACTTCCCAAATAGAGTTGCCAGGCGTCCGGCTTTAGCCGGACATGTTTGGCTTTTTAGGGACTTGTCCGGCCAAATATTGCCTTGTCCGGCCTGTCCGGCTTTTGTTAGGCTTTTTATTTGGTTGCCGCGCCAGGCAAAAGTCGAGCCACAGAATCATATGAAGCGCACGCATCAGGATGTTGGTTAGCAACCGATGTGATGATAGTACTCACTTATGAGCTGACACTAATTGTCCGTCACATGTCCGGCTTTTAGGGTAAAATGTCCGGCCAAATGAAGCACAAAGTCCGGCTTTTGTGATTTTGGACCTGGCAACCCTATTCCCAAAATATGTATCACCTACAATAAAAGAATAAGACTGATGAAGTTGCTGGTTTGAGTTGGTTTGACCGGTAATAAAATGGTAAAATCTATTTCTTCTCAGATGACGTAACTAATATGTAAATAACAATTTGAGTAATCTTGGATTTTAACATAATTAAACAATACATGAAATTCTTGTTAGTGAGATGGTATTGAGCTCTCTTTTTTTTTATGTTTCTGCTTCATGGCAATCTGTTTTTCAAAATAAGCCACTTCTTTGGTTGATTCCTCAGATTATGTTTTCTTCGGGAGCCATACTTGTGTTTAAAATTCATTTCACACGACTCTCTTGGTTGAACTCTCTAATGGAAATAAAAAAATCCTTATGCAGAGAGTTAGCCTGTATTACTCTTCTCAATTTGTAGTTTACTTACATAATGTGAGTGATATAGGTATATTAGGTAAAACAAACGATTCTGAATCAAACAGCAGCTCTAAAGATTACTCAAATATGTAATGATATGAGTTTAATTGTGTTAATAAAATCAAATTAACAAATTGAATAAGATATCTATTACTTATAATGTTTTAGATTTCTTTACTTTGAGTCAGTAAGTTAGCATTACTAACAGACAATAAACTTCAAAGGCTGAATTTGCGCACTGACTAAAAAGAGCCTCACAATGTGGTCACAGTAAATTATTCTTATTCACATCACAAAATTTGTGTTGTGTTGGTTCTTGAAAGCCCTAAACTCAGTTTATTTGAATAGATCATAAAATGTTTCCAAAAAATACTTTTGGCAACCACCTATAAGAATAAGATTTAAATTTATTAGTTTCAATCATCACTTTTGTGACCAAATCAAAAAACAATTTAAAGGGAAAATTTCAACTTTACAAGGATAGGTGAATTTTTACATTCTCAATGCTCAGCATTCCGTCTGATTCGTACAGGTGATCCAAAAAACTTTTATGATTACCATAAAAAATCATAAATATTTTAAGCCTAGAATTAAAACTAAATTAATTTTGACTGCCATTTTATAGAAGAGGAGACCTTGTGCAAATAATGTAAGGTATGACCTGCATAAACACAAAATAATGTGATAAAGTAGCTTTTTAAGATTGCTTCATCAGCGTACGGAGCCCAAACGCAGAGTCACCATTTAATTTTGCTTGTTGTTACAAAATATACGATCAGCTGATTTCTTTGTTTGACGCTCAAGATAGTTGCACCATACTTCAAGCCTAATTCTGACACGTCAGAGAGCTAATAAATAAAATACAATTTACTATCGACTCTTAGATCGCACCAAAATCATTCCAGTGCGAACTGATAGAGAGTTTTGCGAGTTACATTGCCATAAACAAACCTTGAAAGTTCTTACCTTTGTAATGGACTCGAAGATTATTTTGCGATAAACCAATGTAGCTGAATTTGTCCTTAGTACTCCACGCTCTTGGTAAAGGTGTTTCATCTTCGTTCACGTTAGGATAAAGCAATTTTAAACGATCTACAGTATCACTTTGCACTTGATTTTGGGAATCCATAGTTCCCCGTCCACTACCCATCGCAGCCATTTCTAATTTCCNTAATTTCCGTATTTCATTTCATCTTGCTGTCAATGACGTCATTTCCACGACGATCTATGCTCACAGGGGGCAGCACTGAGCATTACCATAGAGAACCAAACGAATGAGTGAAACTGTGATGCGAAAATGGTTTACAAGGCGGGAAATCATTAATTTTAAATAAATTCTTTCAATTTGTTTTATGCAATTAAAAGTTTGAAAAGATTTCAGGCTTATGAAGTAATTGCTTGAGAGGTCACAAAATGCAGGAAAATATTTTACATTCGGTTCTGGCTTGATTAAAGGAAGGTAATTTTTAGTGTTTTTTATGATAAGATAATCACTACAGAAACGAAAAATTAGAGATTGGGTATTTTAGTATTCATTTTTAAAACAGTTTTTGCCCTGATTTTTATACTCTTTTGCTTTTTGTAAAATGTCAGCAACTCCAAAACATGTAAAAGATGTGTACAGTTTAGTTTCCAATAAACTGAAGTTTGTAAAGAAACCTACAAGTGATTTACTCGAAACACAACAGTTATATCATGATGAAGTGCTTGAGGTTATATTAAAGTGCCCATTTCATCTTTCTTTTACCCTTGCTAAAACTTTGTATGACGTGTAACTCGCATTGTTTGCTTTTAGATATTTCGAGAAGCTTTTGATACTGTTATTACAAGTTCTGTGACATATTCAAGAATATTAGAGAAAATTAAAGAAGCATATGAAAGTGCAATCAAAATCAGAGATAACCGCATCGCAGAATTCATTACACAAGATGTAAGTACAAAATTAATTATGGTGGTTATAAAATAAAACTTTAATGGTAATGGCCATTATGGCCAATCATAGCATTTAGGGCCTCTCCATTTAGAGATACAACCACCTAACCCGCAAGACTCGATTTTATGCTCGATTATGATTTATGAGAGCCGATACCAAATGACAAAAGAGGTTAAAGAATAAAAACCGGTAAAGACGAACACGGGACGTTAAAATAGTGTTGACATTTGTCAAATTGTGTATTTGACAATGTTGACATGTTATTATTTTGTTTGATTTTCTTATCTGACTGAAAGTTTTTGTAATATACGCAGTACGCACATGTAATAAATCTTCATTTCAACTACAATGGCGTGCACAAGCACACTTGATTTGGGATATCCGAAAGTTCTAGTGCTGGATGGTGGTTTCTCCTCGCAACTGTCCGTCCATGTCGGTAAGACCGCTGACGGTGACCCTCTCTGGAGCGCTCGTTATCTACAAACACATCCAGAAGCAGTGTACAACACACACTTAGACTTCCTGCGAGCCGGTGCCGACTGCATTTCAACGAATACATATCAAGCGTCAGTTGGTGGATTTGTGAAACATCTCGGCGTGACTCCTGAGCAGGGCCTCGCACTCATTCGAAGCGCTGTGGAACTGGCTAAACGCGCTCGCGATACCTACCTTGAAGAATGCCTACGAAAAGGAACGTCTACTCGCACACCTCTCGTCATAGGCTCAGTTGGACCTTACGGAGCGCATCTACACGATGGGTCTGAGTACGATGGTCACTACGCGGATCGCACATCCCCTGAAACCATACGAGAGTGGCACACCCCACGTATTAAGGCTCTAATTGATGCTGGAGTAGACCTCTTAGCTATAGAGACCATCCCTTGTCAGATAGAAGCTGAGGTTTTGGTTGAAATGTTGAAAGAGTATCCAAACATTAAAGCTTGGCTATCCTTCAGTGTCACAGATGAGACTAGTGTTGCTCATGGTGAGAATTTTCAAATGGCAGCTAAAAAGTGTTGGGATTTAAATCCAAACCAATTAGTTGCCATTGGTGCTAACTGTTGTTCTCCAAAACTGATTGCCAAGTTGTTCGAGGGTATCAATAATGATAGACCGCATGCTCCTATTCCGTTAATAACATATCCAAATTCAGGAGAAAAGTACAGTGTACAACTAGGGTGGATTGAAGGCGACATATGTGATAGGATTGATTCATTTGTGCCTGGCTGGCTGGACTTGGGAGTTAGTTATGTGGGTGGGTGCTGCAGAACTTATGCAGCTGATATTGCCCATATACGCACCCAGGTGGATCGCTGGCTGAATCAAAAAAAAATTAATGTTTAATAAATCACATTAAGCCTGCATTACTCTGCCTTAAGCCTTTGTATTACTTGCTTCACTTATTTTTTTCACTCATATTTTGTCACTATAATTTTATTGCCTACTCTATTTATATATTTTAGCTATAGTTTACTAAAGTGCTGTAAGAAGGTTGTGAGTCCCTAATATTTGAGATAAGGATTGGTATTGGAATTAATTAAATCTTAATATTAAGAAGGTTAACTGTTTGTACAAAAAAAAATAAGCCTTTAAAAAGCTTTTGCTGAATTCCAGAGAATTTTCGGTTTGTCAGTGAAGAAGAAAGAAAGAGATGATAAGTTAAAAAATCTAATCAAGGAAAATGAAAAGCTGAGGGAACAGAATCTTAAATTGACATTTGATATGTCCAAGTTGAAGAAGGATTTAGGAAAGGTGTGTTAAATGTACTTTAGTAATTGAATGTTGGTTTTGTATAATGTTTATGTTTTGTGTTGTATCATGCTCTGGGAATGTTAACTTGTCTATAACATGTATCTGTTCATATTATATTTATATTATTAAGATGTTATTATAAAGTATATAATGTTATCAGAAAGTGTTTATATAATATATTTATTTTAATATTCTTTTGGTTTTTATTGTCAATGTCCTGAACTCCTGAATATGAATTTAGTGATGCTGGTGGCATAGGAATGTGTCATAAACTTCGAGCACAAGCTGTCCCAGACTGATTTGATTTCCAGATATTATAACATTATGCACATTAAAGTTACGTAACTAAACTATTTATTTCAAGTTTCTACATTTGTGTAAACAATTGCATCATCTTACTGGAAAATAATGCAACAGTGAACAGACTGTTGATGATGATATCGTCCAGTTTTATCTTTCGCAAAGCTTGATAAGAGTAGAAAAAAATATTATTATAACTATTAAAATCTTCCAACTTCGCCAAACATTTCACCCAAATACCAACATGATGAGATAATGTCCTATAAATATCAAGTTATCAACATTGATAACTCTCACTGTAATTAAATAATAATTAGCAATTACTGCCGTTGAATATTTCCACCAGCTAAAAGACGATAAGTTCTCTGACTACATATCGCTGATGCGCGAGCGGGACGCGCGCTACACGCTGTACTTCGAGAACCTGGCCCTGCAGCTGAAGCTTAAGGAGCTGGACGGCGGCGCGGGCCCCCTGGACGACGCCTACGGGGACCCCGTCGTGCTCAGGATAGCGCTGGATCGTTGCAGGTGAATGACCTAAATGATTCGAAACTGGCACACTCAATGAAAAAGTGCAAACATCATCGTTGGTCATCCTGGTAGGCGGCGTGCATAGCTCTTAGAACTGAGATGGCTTTTGGGACCGAAAAGCTCTCGAATGACGATCACGGACCGGAAAAGGTACTTAGGTAGGCCTTCCACACTCGGTGGGCCGACGATCTCGCGAAAAGCGCAGACCGGTCGTTTTGAAAATCCATGGAGGAGGCCATTGTCCAGCATTGGAGGACATTAGGTTTAATGAAACGGAAGCCATGAAAGTCAAGCTACTCTCTTCTATAAACCCCCACACCATGTGTGCCCAGTTGCCCACACATAAAATACAGAAAAGTACCTACGGAATAAAATTATCCCCATCACGACTTTTTCGTACTCTTAATAGAGAGCAGCTGTCCTCTACCCAACGTGAGCTGAAGAAGATGACGGATGAGTACGCGGAGACGGTGCCTCGGCGGGAGCACGACAGCCTGACGGCGCAGTTCCACGACGCGACAAAACAGGCGAATGCCTTGAAAGCTGAACTGCAAACTATTCACGACACGTATAAACGTGTGCTGGGTGAGTTTTAGAGATAATAAGACAGACAGATCAGAGCCCCGATTACGGTAATTTTTAACGTCAACAATCCAGACACGCTTCTCGATTCTGCGATACGATTGGTCGTTCAACAGCGTACGTCAGCTGTTTTGACCAATCGTATCGCAGAATCAGAAACGCGTCTGGATTGTAGACGTTATAAAAGTTACCGTAATCGGGGCTCAGATCTTCGACCAGAAGCTGCGTCTTTCGATCATCTGATTGATATCTGATATAGGTTCTACTTACTTAGACCAAAATTGCTAACTAACAAAAATATTCATGTTAACAATGGCTAGAAAATGATCAATGGGGAAAGATTTGTCAACAGCATTGAAAAAGAGCGTAGAAGAGGAGCTAGTTGAAGTCAAAGAACGATGTAACGAGCTGGAGCGTGCTGGCACGCCGCGCCCACAGTGGGAGCTCTGCGCCGACTTCATCGGCGGGGGACGAGACAGGTAAGGAAAAGGAAGAAGACCACAAGGTCAAGCAGCCATTTTTTGCTCAATATTCATAGCACCTACCACTAGATAACTAGGTTTTATCGACAGTAAAATCGCAAATGCTTTTTTGCTCTAGATTTCATTCATCATAACAAAAAGATTACTTATACACTTAGGTGGTGGCAGCTGGCAAGCGGACTATCATCACGGGATATCCTTCGTGTGTTGCTGAAAGAACTAGGACCAGCAGCAGAAAGCGAACAACTGGAACACTTCGATGGCCTTGTGAGCTGAAATAATATCCATACATAGCTACTCAACACTTGAAAAGAACTACCTACCCAGATTTTTTTTCTGACTTTTTAGGGTATGGACCCCATGATACCGCCATACTTGCGCTACGAAGGCAAAGTCCGTAACTTGCGTCTGTCTCGGCGGGAGATCAGCGTGATCATAAACGACATCTGGCTCGGCAAACTGGAGCATGGTCAGGGGTTGTCCATGCAGTACTATGTCACCAAGTATTTTGAAGACAGGCAAGATGAAAATCTCAGTTCAATTCTTTTTCAAGAATAAACTTTATGTTACTTAACATCAAGAACATAATATGTGTGTAGGTACCAACAGCCTTCAGTCCGCGCCGAGTGGGCGTACAACCTGTGCGCCGGCGCAGAGCAGATGCTAGACGAGCCGCAGGTCAAGCTGTTCTGGGGCGTGGTGCACGGCCACCTCAGCGAGCACATCTACCTGAGCCACCGGCGGCAGTGGCAGGCGCTTAGGGACCACTTGTATCGGCAGAGCAAGGATAAGGAGGTATTTACACAAAAGTATATTTTATGTAGTGGTAAAATGATCTTCTTTCTTCAATCTTTTCTCCACTGGCGTAAGCTTAATAAATATAGTGGCAGGACTGGCAAAATGCCACGCACCTCTCGCGAATCGCGATGCTTCAGGGCGACGGTCCTGGAGCCCCTCTGAAAAATACCTAGAAAACCCCTAGATACGCCAAAGGCCCCGTGCACAGAATTTGCCACGGGCCTCAGATGCTATAGAATACTTAGTTACGCCACATGCTTATCTCTTCTAGGAATCGAGCCTGTATGAAGATGTAGAGTTGAATTCTACCACTAAACTCTCTTCACTATGCAGCTGTAGAAACTAAATGAAATCTGAAACTACCCTTCGCTTTCAACAGACCGTAACCCTGGAGGAGTTTGAGAAAGTGTCCAAGTCGGTGTTTCCGCTGAAGAGTGACGTGGACATCAAAAACATGGTGGACGTGGTCCGCAAGCAACTCAAGCTCAAGATCAACTGCAACGAGGTCAACTTGGACAAGCTGTTCCAAGAGGTGATACTTAAGTAGATCAATTGATTTTGTTTATCAGAGATAAAAACTCATTATCACGCTACTTGGCCACATATTAAAATTACGCAGAGTTTTTCGGAGCAGGTAACTCTCGTCTCTCATACATTCCTGAGCTTAGTAGGTAATTAAGATTCATTTAAGCCGTATAACGTGACCTTGATCTAATCTCGTTGCTATTGCTATCAATTTTATTCGTTTCTACTTATCTCTATCGAAAAATCTATCGCTTATGTACCTAACTGGCCGCATGATGTCTGTGCATGCATGTGAGTACTTACTTAGTGGTGCGGAAAGTAGGTAGTTTATTATCATTAGATGCATCACTAGATCCTCCTCCCTACGAATGCACCGTCTTTGTGGTAAAAAAAAATAATTTTGATTAAAGAACGAAGAAGGCTTCGACCGCTTGGAGCTGGCACGCGAGCTGTACCGGCAACGGCAGCTGGCACAGGACAAGTACATCCGCGAGGTGGTGGCCGAGCTGGGCGGCCGCCACGCCGCCGCCAAGCCCGTCACGACTGAACAGCTCAAGCGGGCCTTCGCCATCGTCGACCCCGCCATAGGTAATGTGCCCAGGAGCGATTCTTGTCCATAGGTAACTCGGAATTAATAGATGCAGCATGCAGGCACGCCGTCGCCCTAGCCTTAACTATGGTCCAGCTCAAGCGAGCTTTCGCTATTGTCAACCCCGCCATAGGTAACGTGCCCAGGAGCGATTCTTGTCCATAGACCATAGGTAACTCGGAATTAATAGATGCAGCATGCAGGCACGCCGTCGCCCTAGCCTTAACCATGGTCCAGCTCAAGCGAGCTTTCGCTATTGTCGACTCCGCCATAGGTAACGTGCCCAGGAGCGATTCTTGTCCATAGGTAACTCGGAATTAATAGATGCAGCATGCAGGCACGCCGTCGCCCTAGCCTTAACCATGGTCCAGCTCAAGCGAGCTTTCGCTATTGTCGACCCCGCCATAGATAGGACTGGGTGACGCTCTAAGTAGCGAGTGACTGTCGTGCAACTAGAAAATTGATGCAGCAGGCACGCCAACTCCAAACCTGTGACAACAGAACAGTTGAAGAGAGTTTTCGCTATCGTAGATCCCGCTACTGGTAGGACTATAGAAGGACTGAGCGATTTTCGTGATAAACTTAGAGGAACTTACATGGAGCAGGCACGCCGCCGCCAAAACCGTGGTGCAACAAGACCAATTCATAAACTCAAACCTTCACTTCATAGATCCCGCCGTAAAATCGTCCCTCTATTCAGTAAACTACAACAATGTTTCGAACTTCACTAGGACTAACTACCAAAGTATATTAAATGACCTTTTCCCAGACCACATCCGCATGGAGCGCTACGTGCGCTGGGCCTTCGGCGAGGGCGCGGACGCGGCGCCGCTGCCGCTGCGGTCCGTGGCCGCGCGCCTGGCTGCCGGCGACGTCGAGCGCGCCGGAGCCCGCTACCGGGACAAGCGACGCGTTAACAAGATCCATTGAATATAAGTCTATTTTGTATTATTTAAAAATAAATAACAATTATTTACATCACGAAAATGGCTGTTTGGTACTGTTTGGCTAAATCATTTGTGTATTTACTTACTTATAGATTATCTAGTAGTGAATATTGTATATGAACAAACTTTAATAGGAGTAATCATCACAATCAGAAACACAAGCAGGCACAATAAATCACATGATTGAAAATAACTTGAACTTGAAATGAACTTCAAGTTTTGGCGCTCAATTACATGTACCGGAAATGAAAAAAAAACTAGCGTTGTCTTACATCCGTTAACAGATGTTGAAAAATTTACCGGTTTTTGTTTAGTGGTCTATGGCATATAACCGTTGCATTAATTATTCGACTAAGCTAGAGGAAAGTTACTCTGTGCGATAAACAAAAAAAAAGTTAAATGTCACATTGACAAATAAAAAATCACACGTGAGTTTGTTTACAATCAAGAGTGGGAAAAAATTTAATTTAGTGCTATAATTGTACTGAAACAATGGCAGATATCATTGAAAACGAAGAACTAGACAAAGACACTGTTGACTCTAATACTTTGAAACAGTTATTCAATAAAAATTATGATTTATTAGCAGAAACAACTGTGTCTGAGAAAAAATCTTATGTTAATAAAATACACGGGACCAAGTAAGTAAATCCTAAGATAAACATATCACAATACTATCAGTCCCAAACAGTAATCATTAGTCAAGACATATTTCTACCCTAAATGAACGGAAACTGTGTAACATAATTAGGTTATAATGTATGTTTATCTTTAAACTCAGAACAGTGCCCTATTCATTCAATCGTATTTTCAGGTCCCTAAAACTAGCAGTGAGTGTGTCAAACAACAATGGGATAGAAGTGTATGAACTGGGCAATAACACCCTCAAACAGGTGTGTCGGCTTAGCGGGCACCAGAAACCTGTGACCGATGTTCTATTCAGTTCCCGGGAGGACCACATGCTGTACTCATCTGGTTTGGATGGATTAGTAAAGCTTTGGGACTTGAGAGCCAGTGGGAGCTGTGTCCAGGAATATAAAGGTAAAGATCATGCACAACAAAATATTTAGTTTAAAAATTCAGTTGCTATTGATAGAATGGTTGTTCCATTATGATAAATGGTTATTAAACAGTTGTACTCTTCTGAGATGCAATATTTTTTTCATAGGTTCTTAGATCATAATAATAAAATAGTTAACAATTTAATAAACACTTCTAGATGAAGAAGAACAAATAATTCGGCCCTATGAATGCATGGACGTGTCTTGCAATGGGCGCGTGATATGTGCAGGCAGTCAACTGGTGGAGGATGATGCATACCTTGTATTCTGGGACTCCCGAATGCCAAAACCACTAGGGGGATATTGGAACTCTCATACAGACGATATTACACAAGTAAGTCAGCCACCAGTATACAATATAGAAAATATCCCACCTTTTACATGAATATTATGTAAAATGGATAATTCTTTTCATTTACATTTCCAGGTCAAATTCCACAAAGAGAAGACAGAAATCCTAGCATCAGGATCAATAGATGGACTTTTGAATATATTTAATATCTTGGAACAGACAGAAGATGATGCTCTGATATATTCCTTAAATGTAGAAAATTCAGTAGAGAAAATATCCTGGTTGGACAGCAAAAGAGCTGCCTGCACCACACAGTCCAATGACCTGCAGCTGTGGGACACAGAGACTGGAGATCAACTCAAGAGTTACAGTAGGGATAAAATTTCTAGAAGTATAAAGGTAACATAAATATTTGCTATCATATTCAATCTTAAATACCTACTACACTACACAGTATCACTTATGTATTTTTAATTTATCATTGAATCATTTCTTTTTCAGAGGAGTAAAGATGATGATTGTTATTTAGTGGATATTTTCACATCAATTGATGACACACCTGTACTATTGGCTGGCTCAAATGCTGGAGATGGGTAAGTATTTAAAATAATTAATTAATCAAAAAAACTATTTCAATTGATGAGACTGTTTATAAAGTAATATTCACCTCTTTTCAGGGATGTACTAAGGTCAATTACGATAGCAGAAAAGAAATTGCAGCCATGTACAAACTTTACACAAAACAAACAAATTGTGAGGTGCTGTTGGTACGAAAAAGACGTAAGTATGAATCACCTGACGTTTGATTTACAATAATATCATCAAGAATATAATACAGGACGAGTCGTAAATGAGGGAGTTCTCCTATGAAGTAAATAAAATTGTTTTTTACCTTCTAATATGCTGGAAAAATCTATTGCACTGTGTCGCCGTCGTCCAACGGTGCAATGCGGTAGCGCGGCTGAGTGAGACTAGCACTACTACTAGCAGGCAATATTCCACATCGCTTCCAGTCACCCTGTATATGGAATGGAAGTGATAAGCAATAGGGAAAAGATGAATCTAATGTGACTGTATATATGCACTGTGGATGCACTACTAGCAGGCAATATCCACAGTGGCGGATTAACGTATAAGCACTACAAGCACGTGCTTGGGGCCCCTGTTCTCCAGGGGCCTCCATCCTCTGCTGGCGCGCCAGCAGAGGATGGAGGCGTTTCATTTCATACCTACATTTTATAGAGATTTAGCCTATGTTACTCGTAAGTAATGTAGCTTTCAAATGGTGAAAGAATTTTTAAAAACGGTCCAGTCGTTTTTGAGCCTATTCAATACAACCAAACAAACAAAGAAGAAGAAGAAGTGTAGATAAAGTAAAGCGCGTTTTCCCAAATATACAAGTGGCGTTTAAAGAAAGAAAGAAAGAAAAATTTATTACGATGAACATCACATACATGACAGAGAAAAAGACAGAAATGGCACATAAATATTACAAGGAAATAAAAAGTGAACTGAGCAGTGAGCAGTGCTATCCTGTCGCAACAGCGATGCCCATCGCAATGGGANCAGGCAGTCAACTAGTGGAGGATGATGCATATCTAGTATTCTGGGACTCCCGAATGCCAAAACCTTTAGGGGGATATTGGAACTCTCATACAGACGATATTACACAAGTAAGTTAGCCACCAGTATACAATATAGAAAATAAATACCACATTTTACATTAATATTATGTAAAATGGATAATTCTTTTCATTTACATTTCCAGGTCAAATTCCACAAAGAGAAGACAGAAATCCTAGCATCAGGGTCAATAGATGGACTTTTGAATATATTTAATATCTTGGAACAGACAGAAGATGATGCTCTGATATATTCCTTAAATGTAGAAAATTCAGTAGAGAAAATATCCTGGTTGGACAGCAGAAGAGCTGCCTGCACTACACAGTCCAATGACCTGCAGCTGTGGGACACAGACACTGGAGATCAACTCAAGAGTTACAGTAGAGATAAAATTTCTAGAAGTATAAAGGTAACATAAATATTTGCTATCATATTAAACCTTAAATACCCAAGCCAAACTTCATTATTATCACTTATGTATTTTTAATTTATCATTGAATCATTTCTTTTTCAGAGGAGTAAAGATGATGATTGTTATTTAGTGGATATTTTCACATCAATTGATGACACACCTGTACTATTGGCTGGCTCAAATGCTGGAGATGGGTAAGCAATAAATAAAATTTATCAAAAAATATTTCAATTGATGAGACTGTTTATAAAAGTAATATTTTATCTCTTTTCAGGGATGTACTAAGGTCAATTACGATAGCAGAAAAGAAATTGCAGCCATGTACAAACTTTACACAAAACAAACAAATTGTGAGGTGCTGTTGGTACGAAAAAGACGTAAGTATGAATCACCTGACGTTTGATTTACAATAATATCATCAAGGATATAATACAGGACGAGTCGTAAATGTGGGAGTTCTCCTATGAAGTAAATGAAATTGTTTTTTACCTTTTAATATTCTTGAAAAATCTATTGCACTGTGTCGCCGTCGGTCAACTGTGTGCAATGCGGTAGCGCGGCCGAGTGAGACTAGCATGCAACATGCTACATAGCCTCCAGTCACCCTGTATATCGAATGGAAGTGTTAAATGGCATGATGAATTTAATATGGCAGTATTATCGCGGTAACGCGACCGAGTGGATGCACTACTAGCAGGCAATACATCGCCTCCAGTCACCCTGTGTATCGAATGGTATCGAATGAAGTGGGAAATGGTATGATGAGTCTAATGTGGTCCTTCCAGAGAGACATCCTGGTGACGGCGGGTGAGGGCGGGCGTGTGAGCGTTTGGGCCGGCGCGTCGGGGCAGGCGGCGCCCAAGCGGCTCAGTGGCGCGCTAGACAGGCTGCACGTCAACAGATACAAGCCCTATTAGAATTTTACATTATACTAGTAATCAATATTGTTGAATTTTATTAATTAACTCAATTATGCAACGCGAAAGTTTAAAATTGATTATCAATATTGTTGTTTTTCATTTTGACAAAATTCTTTGCACATCCCTAGGTAGGTAGCGTTTATTCCCGATGTCCCCCACTATTTGTCCACCACTGGTGGACATCGAGAAAAAAAGTTGCAATGTCCACCAGTGGGGGACAGCGCTACTGAAATCTTCCCGTTGGGCCCTACTGGTGGACACTGAGAAGAAATGAGTTGCTCTGTCCCTCAGTGGTGGACATTATTCACTTTTGTGACTAGATGTACAACCTGCTGTGTAAAACCCGATAAATAACTGGTGCTTAAGATGACTCACAATATTAAATAAACACTAGCACTTTCAAAATAATAATATAAGCCGAATTTTTACAGCTGGATTTATTTCAGTAGGATTCAGGGTCCATTAAATAAGACAATTTTGTAATGTAGACTTATCTCTTTATTTTCTAATCCCAAAATAAAAGCTAACAAAGTGTAGAAAAAAATATTTAACTAAAATATAATATTAATAATTATGGACATGTGCACAGCATGTACGATAGAATAATGATAATCAGGCACACAAATACAGACTAACGAACACACAATTGACAAAAAGTCACCATTAAGCTTATGTTAAATCTTCGAGGGTCAGTGAGAAACTTAGCAGAGTAATATTATGATAATCTTTCCAAAGGATTGAAATACGAGTATGCTGTTATTAATTTTAAACCAAATTATTTAAATTTAATTTTGCTTGTCTCTCCCCTTTGCTAGAGAGCGATTGTTAGTTACACATAAGCCCAGCCTCTTCCGAATTACATACTAATTTAAGATAAAATTCAGATTTATACTTTGTACTCATAAAATCCAACGTATTTTTGGAATTCGCTTATTTTTAATAAAATGATATATTATTGATAACACGTAACCCACTAATTTAAGCTCGACGACAAATAAAAATGTTTATAGTATCAGTATGTATAACCACAGCATTCATAATAATTGTCTATGATTGAGTAAGATGTGTGTTTATGACCATAGACATATTGTGGCTACCGATCTGCTAGGGAAATGACTATATCTCCACAAATATATTAAAACTATCATAATAATTATGCTAAAATGAAAAATATCTCTTCAAGTGCGTTATTTAATTCTGTTATAACATTAAAATAAACAACACAATCGCAATTAAAATATAATATCTTAAAAAACCTATATTTGTAAATAAATATGGTTAGTGAATATTCGTAATCTTAGTTATTTTGAGTCGTGAAGGAATGTGTATTTGTAAAATGATGATTACGATTCAATCATGAATAAGTCACGTAATATTTTTGAAAATAATTTGGATTCATTAAAGGACATGTATGAATTGAATAATAATATAATTTGGACATGAATGAAACCTAGCCTAGGCTTCTGACAGTAGTAGAGGCGTAACGCCACTACTGTTGTGGTAAAAATAGCAGCAATTGTCATTACGAAAATCACTATAAATCATGTCATTTGATGATTACTATTTACTTGCGTAGATAACCTAAGTAAACTGAGAAAATTATTAATTTTGGAGTGTTGAGAGAGAAAACTCAACTCACAGAAGTCTATCTCAATAAGTCTAGAATAAAAAATACGCATGCTTTTGTCGAAAATCATTGGTCAAGTCAAAATAAAAATAAAATTGGACCTACATTCTAATTTCAAATCATGATTTCGGGGTTCCCTGCGGACAGGGAGGGGGAGGGGAGGGCGCGGGGGAGCGGCGCGCGCGGGCCGCCTCACTTCGTCGCCAGGAACATTATGAGGCTGCAAACAAACATAAATTTGTTTAAACCTAATATTTTAACCGAAAGTTATGATGACTAGATAGGCAGTCTTTCAAAATGAGGTAAATAGCTTGCTTTCAAAACAATAGGTTATTCAATTATCAAACAATTAGTGACATCATAGGTCTTTACTCTTTAGTAAATATTTTATGCTCTTTTACTCCTGTTTTGAGGCGGTAACTGCACGGTTACGGTTTGATTTAATAGTGCCTCTTTAAAATCTAAAGCCTCGTATCCAGTTGAGCATGCTCAGGCGCAGGAGCGGCTCATTTAGTCGAGCCACTCGTGCGGAGACGCCCGAGCCACGGTAATACTATCATACAGTATTGTAACTTCATATAAACGGACGAAACGCGAGCTTTCCTTCGAAATTCAAATCTCGGTATGCGCTCGACATGCAAAAGTCGGGGGTGTCGCGAATGTGTCACGGTAATAAACGGAAGATGTGTTGTTTTAGAAACAGTAAGCGCTCTTTTTTTTATAAAAATAATTACAACTACCTATGGCGACACTGTAGAGTCGTTTAAATTTCAAAACAGTTTTGCAATCTCGCAGAACTGACGGCCGATGGGGCAGCAAGGTTCTGGAATGGAGGCCGCGTACCGGAAAACGCAGCGCGAGACGTCCACCCACAAGGTGGACCGACGCCATCATAAAGGTAGCAGGGAAGCGCTGGACGCAGGCCGCTACCAATCGATCAACATGGAAAGCATTGGGGGAGGCCTATGTTCAGCAGTGGACGTCCTGTGGCTGAACTGATGAGCAACCTCACCGGAACTGTATGGCCTTGTTGAGCAGCAGGCGGTTGGCGTCGGCGGGGTCGGCGAGCGGCAGCGGCAGCGGCGGCGCGTCGGGCGCGTCGTCGCTGAAGGCGTGCGCCAGCGCGCGCGGCGTGCAGGCCGCCTCGCCGTACGGGCCGCGCAGCCACAGCCACTGCAGCGGCAGCGGGCTGCTCGGCTTGCTCTTCAGGATTATCTGCAAGGCACAAACAGGTTGGTACTTCAGGTCACCCCAAAAACAGTGCAGTACAAAAATAGCTGTTTAATCATGTGTATTAAAATCTATAATAAAATCCCCAAAGAATTTAGGACATTAAGCATTTGTAATTTTAAGAAACATTTGAGTAAATGGTTGCTATCACTGACACTTTACGATTTAAAAGAGTTCTTTGACTTGCTGTAGTTTTGTTCTTCTTTAGAATCGTCGCTAATATTGTGGTGTTTCTAATTTAACTTTTGCATGCTAATAATTTTAGCTAAACATGTATAGTTCTCACTGTCTGTACCTAACATCTTTATATACCATGTTTAATTGCAAATAAATGATTATGATTATTATGACAGCGTGGGTTTGGGCATCTCTGTAAAGCCTGGTCCGTGAGCACGTAGAATCCCCAATGACCCCAAGCTACCCGGACGGGATATTCTGAATCATATCTTGGCTTGCCCTTTATGATTATCTGCAAGGTTCAACAATCAAACGATGACGTTGTGACCGAGGCTCTGGTTGGTCATATATGTATATCGACTGTAGGAGTGAAAACTATCTAGGCTTGCTCTTTAGGATTATCTGCAAGAGTCAAATGACGACGTTGTGGGTTACCGAGGCTCTAGTTATCTCTACCGACTGTAAGAGTGAATCCTATCTAGGCTTACCCTTTAGGATTATCTGCAAGGCACAAATGACAAGGTGGATTGAGCAAGGGAAGGGAAGTCTAACCTTAATTTCGAACAAAATATGTTCTTCTGATTAATTTCGTTGCGGGTCCAATGACAGTTTAATTAACTTTCCCCCGGGACAAACTTGACCTTCATTGGTTGGGTTTTCGTGGCGGTCAAGCTGTAGATCCTGGCTACACAGGAGTTGCAGTGGTGGGAACGAGAGGTGGGATAAATGCCGTTTAGTAAGAAAGAAATAATAGGTATAAGTATGCAATGCAAATGCAATATAGAAAAGATGCCTTGAGAAACTTCCATGTAAAATTGAATACAGGCAGAACACGTAGCCAACGTTATTGACGAATCGAAACGTAGACAGACAAACTCTTTATTGCACACCACACAAAATTAGAAACTGTTAGGTAAGGCAAAGTGTAGGCAAACTATTCATTTCATTATCTACAATGCCAGTGCCAGCAGACAGCGTGACCAATGACCCGCACTGTCACAAATTCTAACCTAAACACAACTGCAACTGCTTTTTTTTGGGTAAATTACGTAAGTATTAACTATTCGTTAGATTTCGTAATGACTAAAAATAAATAGTAATTTTTGGTATGCAAAAAACAGTTATGTATTAACTTTATGGTTAGGATCGCCACAATAGTCCAGCGATCGACAGAGATGCCAAAATCTAGTGGGCTATTGTCGCTTCACTTCGTAACTATGTATTGCACATATTTGCCTTTAAATCAGCGTTAAAAATAAATTCAAGAAAAAAGTAAGAAGACGATAGTCTGTCTTTGTAGAAAGAAAATACTAAAACTAAAATTGTCATTAACAGAATCGTACTGACCTGGTAAGTGATCTCTCGCTCGGAGCTCTGCGTGGGGTCTCGCTGGTTCTTGTTGACGAAGGCCTTGACCACCCACTGGTGGCCGAAGGCCGTGAAGCGAGACGTCTCGTAGTACAGCTTGTGCACGTACTCCTCGGTGCGGTACGGCTTTAGCTGCAGGTCTGCAAGGATAAGAGCAAGCTTAGATACAGGCGTACTCGTACTCCTCACGCAATCCACACATAATTTTCAACAGATTTTTCTACAAAATCTTTACTGACTCTTTTAGAGTATGTGCCATGAATGATGAAGGCCATAAAATACTGTTGAACTAAAGCTGCTACAGAAATGCTGTTCGTTCGTTTTAGCCAAATGACGTCCACAGGTGGACAAAGACCTCCCATATCGACCGATCCTACGCTGCCCTCATCCAGGTACTTCAGGGACTGAAGACGTAGTGTAGGCAGGCTCCCCACTAGGTGGACCGGCGATCTGGTTGAAGGTCGCGGGAAGTTGTTCGATGCAGGTTACAGCTAGAAATACCGTTGAAGACCCAAAATTATCAAAATTTGGGTCAGACTAAAACAGATCAGCTGATTTTTTTAGTGATATAGGTACACTTGTAGAGATTCTGTAACACTTTAAGGCATAACAGGAGAATATTGTAATTTTGAGTCTGCTCTGCACTAGACTTTTGGTCTAACTCTATCATTTATCATAAATTGAATAAAACGAAAGTGGACCAGCCAACGCAAACGTGACGAAACTCGTTGAGTGTTGACCTTTAAACTGATTTTGTTTAGCTATTGACACAGAAAGAGAAAGTTGATAGTCTGATTCTGAACTAATATGTAAAGTTAAATTGCATCTTGTTACTTTTATCATCGCGTAAGACGCAGTTGTAGATAAGAATATCAAAAGTCACTCAGTGATTCACCCACTCACTATTCTATCTCTATGAATTCTAATAGCCTAGTATTCATGTCTAACTACATAAACAGATAAAGGTCAGAATCAATTAGCGTTAATTGGTGGCAAAGGTTAGTAGGTAATTACGAATTTTGAAGACTCGAAGTTCATTCATGTAGTAATTTCTGCCTTTTGGCATTTCTTCTTTTTCATTCGAGGAATGTAAACCTAAGCGTAGAAGTGATAATATTGTTTTTTTTCTGGATTGACGAGTACTCGTAGTCTCTTCTCTTATCAACAGATGTCAGAAAGCTCTTACCAATGAACACACCACAGTTGCCGTCAAGCCCCGAGATCTGTTGACAGATCTTTTCCTGCACCATGGCCGCCGCGGTTCTCGGCCAGCCGCGCGGCGACGGGCTCTCGCTGAACTCTTGAACATTGAACATACGATCATATAGGGCCACTTCCGATTCCCATTCATTTATTATAAACCAGTCATTTAAAAAAATAATTTTGATATCATTTCTCCAATATTTTTCAATGGTAACACTGATATTCATGCAGATGTTAATTCGGATGCATCAATTTTGAAATTTTACCCTCAACCAAAATTTTAAATCTTGAATTTGCCCTTTACGAACGCATGCTCAATGTCAAGATCTCCTTTCATGCTCTACATATACCTAACTGGTGGCACGGAATGGAAGTCCACTTTGACCTACTACCACACACACTCACCGTTGTTTCGGGTCATCGTGGTACTTCTACAAACACAATGGGATAGGAGTTTTAGATGTGATGATCACTTACCGTTAAATGCAATCTTCTTGCACCAGAGTTGCTGGGATCAGTGGGCAGGATACTTAAAGGAGGATTAACGCATTTTCACCCCTGTTGATGGCTGTGAAAATGCTAGGGGAGGCTTCTATCCAGCCATGGAGGTCTTTAGGTCAATCGGTGCCTGTGACAAACCTCTCACAGCGAGGTTTGTCAAACAGTCGTTTTTCGGCTGCGAAGTGAACTCGCTATTGAAGGTGATCTTCTTGTAGAACAACAGGTCAAGGCATGGAAGTCTTTCGGCTGCAAAGTAGACTCGCCATTGAAGGTGATCTTCTTGTAGGACAACAGGTCGAGCCATGGAGGTCTTTCGGCTGCAAAGTAGACTCACCATTGAAGGTGATCTTCTCGTACGAGAGCAGGTCGAGCAGCTGCGTGTAGACGGCGGCGTGGTCCTTGGCGCGGCGCTCGCGCTCGGCCAGCACGTCGGCCACGTCGGCGGCGGGCTTGCGCGGGTGCGCGCACGCCGCCTCGTGCGCGCCCGCCTCGTGCGCCGCGCCGCGCCACGGGCAGCCGATGCACTCGTAGCGGCAACCCGTCAGCCTGCACACCGACGCTAGTTCAGTACCAGTGGCAACCGATACACGAGAAGGGGCATGTCGTGGAGTCTATCACAAGCTATAGACAGGCTAAACTCTAATCTCTTAGCGTGGATTAGCGGTGAGGTGCGCTGAATTTTGTCAGTGTGTGCGTGCGCGCCGCATACGTATTGGCGCGCGCTCACATACAAACCGCGCTCGGTGCGTTTCTATGAAGATGACCTACTCATTTGTATTGACTCTGCTTTAGGCCAGCAGTTCTTAAGAGCGTTTTAAATATGAGAGGTTCGTTCAATAGTAAGTGGAAAACCCCACGTTATTTTTGAAGACCCTATGTAATTACGTAGATAATTTCCTTTACCCCCACTATTCCGAACTGTTAATAAATTAAGATCAAATTCCTCGTCGCCACCTGTTAATAGCTTAGTTTGTTATTAATATGTATGTAGGGACGGGGCTTCGCAAGGAAAATCAGTTTCTTCCAACAATAAGTTTATTCTTCTTTTTAAAATACAGAGCCACACTTACTCATAACCGTCTTGCCGCCATGACCCTTTCCTTCCTTCTCACTCACTCTCCATACGTTCGTCTCGCTCACACTCGTTCGTTCATCCAAAGAGTTTAAAACAATAGAGTATTTACGCCATAGATGTTACAATCCTACACTCTCGGCAATCCTGTCTTTGTCTGTCCTCAGACAATCTTAGGCTACAAACACTAACTTTCATTAAACATCATTAAACTTTGTAAATACTCAGCTCATTAAACTTTAGTTACATTAATTCCTAACAACAACATCTTAAACTTTATACATAGCTAACTTTGTAAATAAAAACTTATTCAAACATCCAATAGTTCAAAACTCAAACTCTCAAACATTTAACTTTTAACTTCCTACACAAAACATACTTTGTAAATAACTACTTAAATAAACATCTAACAACTACTATTCTTACAATTTACATGAAATCCTTAACATTTTAGATTTTTGACTCCTTACATAGTACACATCTCATTTTACACTTTTACACATTTTACAGTTATCATCTTATTATAAATCAATCTTCAACTTAGTCTTAAACACTTTACATCTAAGATAGTGTATATCATCTTATTTATTAATCTTATAGAAATAATTCGAAATCTTTAATTTCAGGTTACTCAATATCAAGTCTTAAGATATTCAAGTTCTAAACACACCAATGTTTATAAAATTGTAATATTGTTCATCTTTATAATTAATCAAATCAGTTAGTGAAACATGAACTACAATAAACTTTACATTTTAGTGAAATAAAATATACAATAATGAATGACCTAACAATTGTAATAAAAGTGGTTTTTAATTTACAAATCCTTTCATTCATCACCTCTTATTTAAATAGCAAGATACTTTACCTAATTAGGCCACGGCTTCATTTGATCAGCTGAGCTGGACGTCTTATTAGGCCCTTCAGCAGCAGTATCCACCTTCTCTACGTCGTAACGATCTTTCCGCTTAACCTTCGTCACCCGGTACGGTCCTAGATACTTAGGTTTCAGCTTCAAACCCGGTCCATACTGAGTCCTCTTTATGGCCACCAAATCTCCTTCTTTGTATTGAGAACTTGGTTTCCTCTTCTCATTGAAAGTCTTCCTATTTTCCTCCTGTACCTGAAGTATTTGCTGCTTAGCTTTCATTCTAATGTCTTCTCTTTGTTCATCATATTGATCAATCTCTTCTTGTCTTAGTAAATCCAATATTTCCAGGTCTTCTTTACATCTCATGTTTATACCAACCATCAGTCGTTATAGGTTGTAACACCGTAAAGCATGATCTTGTTTGTTTCTACGTCCACGATTCCGTCAACGATGTATTTAATCGCAACGTAGTCCGGCATCTTGCCACGCTTGCCTAACTCCTTCATGATCAGCATATAGTCGAGGCATGTTTCATCCACCCGCTTCTTTCTAGCACTCATTTGTTCGTGAATAGCTTTGATGTCCACGGTGTCTGGGAATTCTTTCGATATCGCGGCCTTCAAGTCGTCCCAGCTCTTAAACGGACGTTCGGATCTGAGCCACAGCTGCGCAGTGTCCGTCAGTGACCTTCGTGCCACCAGCAGCTGCTGCAACGGAGACCAACCGAATATTTCCGCGTTGCTCTCGACGTCTTCAATCCAGCGTGACACGGGATAGGTATTATCTCTCCCGCTGTATCTAGGCACCAACTCCGCCGTCATTTGCAACATGTGCGTCGGGTTATGCGTGATATTGTCGTCATCACAATCTTCATAGTCGTCTTGTCGGCTTTTACGTCTTTCTTTGCCGTAGTTCGGCATGTTTCCGTCGTATGATCCCGTCTGAATCTTGAAACACGCCGGCCGGTACAATGGCGTCGTCGTACGCGTGTGCTCGTACGTCTTTTGAGATTTTCTCGCGAAGTACACCGTCCACCGCGGAGATAATTATCCCGGACGAGCCCCCAAAATTTGTAGGGACGGGGCTTCGCAAGGAAAATCAGTTTCTTCCAACAATATGTTTATTCTTCTTTTATAAAATACAGAGCCACACTTACTCATAACCGTCTTGCCGCCATGACCACCTTTCCTTCCTTCTCACTCACTCTCCATACGTTCGTCTCGCTCACACTCGTTCGTTCATCCAAAGAGTTTAAGACAATGGAGTATGTATTTACACCATAGATATTATAATCCTACATATGTTTAACTTTGTACAGATTGTTGTGATTTGTTTTTAGATATAGAGGTGGTGTGAAATCTGTGTGATCAATTGACGTAAAATTCATTAAAGCACTAGAGTACCAAATGGTTTTAGTGAAATTTGGTTAATTAATCAGTTAACATTTAATATTATTCGTGAAAATATTCGGTTTGTAAACGCAACTTAATATTTTATATCAAGTTTTAATTTTACCTACTAATATGAATGAATTTGAAACTTTAATCAATTTAATAGTTAATGTTACGTCTCAATTTTACAATCAGCTATGTTCATGATCATTATCAAGCGATCTTATCTTCTCGTTTGATAATTACTAACAATGATGATTTTTCTTTTCAGGTAAGTGAGGCGTAGTTCAAATTAGATCGACTGTGGGTAAGTTTTTTATTTTATTTTTAATTGAAAGAGATCTGAAAATTATGGCTGCTGTAGGTAGGTACTAATGTTTAGTCACAAAATTGTATGGTTTGAAAGCGATGAAAAATATTTAACCCTATAGCTCTTCTTAAATAACGCCCGTATTCATTCACAAACATTATAATGAGATCTCACAGTGCGCACCTCTATTCAACGCTGTGCAATCGATTTGCTGCTTCACTTGAGCAAGCATCATTTGTGAATACGGGTGTAAAAGTACGATAGAGGGGGTTTTCTATTCTTCCAGCAGAACCCTAAAAGATCTCAACAAAGCTCTATTATCGGACGCGACAATCCGCACCATCGCAACTCATCGAGTTAGTTAACTTGCTAAGTTACGACAACTTTGTTGTCACTTAGATAGTTACGTGGCCCACTTAAGCTAACAACTTCGCTTCTTGTACCGTATGAGGGCACTTTTAAATTCAACGCTTTTGGCGAGAGATTAAGTTGTGCTAATTTTGCGAAAAGTTAAAAAGAACATAACATTTAACGACTCTAGAATCGTTTAAAATTGCTCTTACTACAATGTTAAAATCATTAAAATATTAGTACTACGCGCGCGTGGACTACATTATCTACATATTTTACGGAACCCGATATTTTCCCAAAATACAATTTAGCCTATGTTACTCGTGGATAATGTAGCTTTCGAATGGTGAAAGAATTTTTAAAAACGGTCCAGTAGTTTTTGAGCCTATTCATTACAACCAAACAAACAAAGTTTTACTCTTTATAAGATTAGTGTAGACTAGTGTAGATAATACGTATGTTACAGTAGATTCATTTATGGTCTTACTTGTGTGGGCAGGGCCCATGGCTCGTAGAGCTGATGGCAGTTGGGGCAGAAAAGTTTTCCTGCCACGGGCCGGAAGACGTAACTTAGCCTCACACTAGGTGGACCGACGATCTGGTGAAGATCGTGAGAAGTACCTGGAAGAGGGGAAGGCCTTTATTTATCATTGGGCATCATTTGGCTGAAATGTCAATGGTCTTATTCATGAATAGTGACGTAACGCAAGCACAGTTTTGAGCCTTTTTTTACGCTCTTTTACTTACTTTGCGCATACCCACTGGTCAATGGTGACTGGTCACGGGTTATGTGGATATCTCCCCGCATGCTCACTAAGCGGGCTACCCACTAAAACCCGACGGTGTCCACCAAAACCAAAGCCCAATGAAATGGAACCGCGAGTTATTTCATTTCATTTGCCATATTTTATTACTAGCTTTCGGCCCGCGGCTTCGCCCGCGTGGATTTTTGTCTGTCACAGAAAAACTTTATCACGCGCGTCCCTGTTTCATAAACCGGGATAAAAACTATCCTATCTTCTTTCCCGGGACTCAAACTATGCCAAATTTCATCAAAATCGGTTTAGTGGTTTAGGCGTAAAATCAAGACAGGCAGACAGACAGTTACTTTTTGCATTTATAACATTAGTATAAGTAGATAGTATAAATTGGGCATCTTTTGGGTGAAATGTCGATAGTCTTATTGAAGTACAAGATTAAAGCACAATTTCGAGCCTGTGATTAATTCATTCAATACTGTGACATCTTGTGTATTAGTAATATACAGGGTGACTGGAACTGAACCCGCCATAGCTAATAAGCGTATAGAGGAGGTCATTTGCTAATTATTGAACCTTACTTTCTATGGCTAAAGTTTTATAGTTTAGGAGATATGTCAATTTTTATACTTTTTTCAGATTTTTCCGAAATTTGACCTAAAAACTGCTTCAATTTTTTTTCTCGCGTGATTTCAACAGTTTTTTTTATTTGGTATTAATATCGAATATGTCTTTATTCAAATAAAATAAATTTCTGATCCAGATAATGATTGAATAGCTAGTTACGAGCCGCCAAAGTTCAACAAAAGTACAAACCACGATAAAAAANATGAATAGTTTACTTCAAATATCTACTAAATGCGCAAAGTCATAAGAACTATGTATATTCGGTTGTAAAATGAAAAATGTTCCAAAAAATTACTATCGACACGTGTCGATTATTGGAAAAGTCAGTTTGTGAAAACCAGTGATCGACACCAACATTTTACTAATATCAAAATAACATTTTAAATTCGTTATAACAAAAATGGATTCTATACTTCTTAAAGTAACCCGTGAAAAAGATAAAATTCAAATAAGTTACAATACAGTAGTGTAATTAACAAAAAATGTACTCGCTTCCTTAAGGATTTTACTAAGAAGTGTTGTTATTTTCACCGGTACTCCAGCCGCAAGTGTGACATATTAAGAAATCGATTTTATACTCTTATTTTATTGAATCAAAAAATAAAGTGTCGGTCATTGGTTCTTGTCGGTCATTGGTGCCACTACGTTATCTCTATGCATTCTAATAGCCTATTCATGTCTAACTACATAAACAGATAAAGGTCAGAATCAATTAGCGTTAATTGGTGGCAACATTTAGTAGGTAATTACAAATTTTGAAGACTCGAAGTTCATGTAGTAATTTCTGCCTTTTGGCATTTGTTCTTTTTATAAATTCGAGGAATGTAAACCTAAGCGTAGAAGTGATAATATTGTTTTTTTTTTTCTGGATTGACGAGTACTCGTAGTCTCTTCTCTTATCAACAGATGTCAGAAAGCTCTTACCAACGAACACACCACAGTTGCCGTCAAGCCCCGAGATCTGTTGACAGATCTTTTCCTGCACCATGGCCGCCGCGGTTCTCGGCCAGCCGCGCGCCGCCGGGCTCTCGCTGAACTCTTGAACATTGAACATACGATCATATAGGGCTACTTCCGATTCCCATTCGTTTACTATAAACCAGTCATTTAAAAAAAAATTTGATATCATTTCTCCAATATTTTTCAATGGTAACACTGATATTCATGCAGATGTTAATTCGGATGCATCAATTTTGAAATTTTACCCTCAACCAAAATTTTAAATCTTGAATTTGCCCTTTACGAACGCATGCTCAATGTCAAGATCTCCTTTCATGCTCTACATATACCTAACTGGTGGCACGGAATGGAAGTCCACTTTGACCACTACTACCACACACACTCACCGTTGTTTCGGGACATTCTGGTACTTTTACAAAGTTACAAACATATGGGATGAAAGTTTTAGGTGTGATGATCACTTACCGTTGACTGCGATCTCTTTGCACCAGAGTTGCTGGGATCAGTGGGCAGGATACTTAAGGAAAGAGGATCAACTCATTCTCACGCCTGTCTGGTCAACCACTAGCTGTGAAAACACTGGGGGAAGCCTTTAACCAGCCATGGAGGTCGCTGTGACAAACCTTTCACAGCGAAGTTTGTCGAACAGTCGTTTTTCGGCTGCGAAGTGGACTCACCATTGAATGTGATCTTCTCATACGAGAGCAGGTCGAGCAGCTGCGTGTAGACGGCGGCGTGGTCCTTGGCGCGGCGCTCGCGCTCGGCCAGCACGTCGGCCACGTCGGCGGCGGGCTTGCGCGGGTGCGCGCACGCCGCCTCGTGCGCGCCCGCCTCGTGCGCCGCGCCGCGCCACGGGCAGCCGATGCACTCGTAGCGGCAGCCAGTCAGCCTGCACACCGACGCTAGTTCAGTACCAGTGGCAACCGATACACGAGAAGGGGCATGTCGTGGAGTCTATCACAAGCTATAGGCAGGCTAAACTCTAATCTCTTAGCGTGGATTAGCGGTGAGGTGCGCTGAATTTTATCAGTGTGTGCGTGCGCGCCGCATACGTATTGGCGCGCGCTCACATACAAACCGCGCTCGGTGCGTTTCTATGAAGATGACCTACTCATTTGTATTTACTCTGCTTTAGGCCAGCAGTTCTTAAGAGCGTTTTAAATATGAGAGGTACGTTCAATAGTAAGTGGAAAACCCCACGTTATTTTTGAAGACCCTATGTAATTACGTAGATAATTTCCTTTACCCCCACTATTCCGAACTGTTAATAAATTAAGATCAAATTCCTCGTCGCCACCTGTTAATAGCTTAGTTTGTTATTAATATGTATTATCTGATAACAATTTTAGGCAAATCGCTTTTGTTAGTAATCGCAGATGAGTTTGGTTCGCGTCGCGGCAGGCGTTAGTAGCGGCACGCACCTGCGGTAGGCGCGGCGCGCGCGCGGCGGCGACGCGGACACGAGGTACGCGCGCCGCAGCGCGCCGGCGCACAGCGCGTACAGCGCCGCCGCCACGCGAACCAAACTCTCCACGCAGCGCCTCCGCAGAGGCGCCGACACTACGATTTGCGCGAACTTGTAATCCCTGAGGAGAACGGAACTGTCAGTCGACTGCGGGAGGCACTGATACCCATTGCAAGAATTGGCGGGGCCCATCTAAAATCACGAAACCGGTATCAACAATGTATTTTCGAATTACAATCTGCCGGCCAATAAAATCTCTAGCAAATGTGAGACAACTCGAGATATAAAAAAAATGATTTTATTTGCTATCTTTAGCCTAAAAAAATATTTTTAACATACCTAAATCGATAACGTCATGAGATAAATAATGTACAAAGTTCAGTACAATTTAACCGCCGCTTCTTATCGCTCCGTAAACTTTAGTGTTTTTGCTTTATGTGCCTTTGTTTAAATAAAGATGCATTTAGAAACAGGATCTCAAGCACATAAAATGCTTCGGTGCCCTAGCTGAGATGCGGATGCGGATGGAGAAATGGTAGAAGAGTAAAAAAGATACTTCTTCTAGTCTAAAGTCATCTAAATCTGGCTCGAAGGACCATTTTTCAGGATAGCAAAACTTTTGGTTTAAGCAATCAATACAAGGTTCTGCTCCTGGGGCTGGAATGTTCGGAGGCGTAGAGGTAAAGGCTCATTTCGCATCGATGTGGGTCAAACATATCGCACTACTGAAGAAAACACAACTCACCTATCCTCGCAAGTTTTGTCCTCGTGATGCTGCAGCGAGTGGCGCGGGAACATCTGCGTGCAGTACTTGCACTCGGACGGCAGCTCCGAGACCGTCTTCTCGACGGCGAGGTTGCGCGACGCCAGCGTCTTGGAGATGTCCACGCGGCAGTTGGGGCACGTGGCCGACTCGTCGCGCAGGCGCGCGTCCGCCAGCAAGTGATTGAAGCACGGGGCGCACATAAGGTGGCCATTGCTACACTGAAATCGGAAACAACGTTCAGACGACGCAACGGTGGCGTGTCCTCGATGACGCTTGGACACATATTAACATTCTGTGATCAAAGTGACACTAAAACTCTAACCCTGCTTACGAATTAAATTCTAATTAACAAAATACTGGAAATATCAACTGTAACTCAATTGAAGCATTTTGATGACTGCAAAGACTAAAAAAAATTAAATTAACTGCAAAATAGGTGATGTGACTGCATTAAAATTGTTTAGGTAAATGTTGATATGTGTCAGTGCATCACTCTGTAAAAGACAAAGACAACGTTATGGTGTGTGCGGTCTACCTCAGCCCCTCATCGGTTGTGGCTCCTGTAAACAAACTACACAATATGCTGGAACAGAAAGAAATCATATTTAATGGCATGTGAAGAGAAATGTTTATGCTTTATGTTCAAAACATGCAGTTATCATTGCTTTATCTTCTTTTAAGTGCAAATCTTTAAATTAACTCAAATTACTGTAGGTACTCTTTCTGGTATTAAGTGCTTTGATAAATATTTGTGATACTAAATTTTAACATTTGGAATTATGTATTAAGGATGAAAAAAAGTATATTATCTGACATCTAAACCTATAATGGAATATGTAATTAATGATTGAAATATTAATTGGCAAAGTGATAACTGAATTTGAGAAAAAATGTTCTTTGTTCTTTATAGTTAGGAAAGGGAGTTTGAGGGGAGATCTGAATAAAGAAAGAACTACATCTCTGAAACATTTCTTTATTAACGCGAAATGTTACAAGAGTCATACAGGCTATATTAAATTACTACAAATCATACAAACTAGGCTATCCTATACAAAATCACAGGTGCTTAGTACAATGCTCCAATGTCGACAATACATAAGTATCAGTACACAATAGATCACTATATCATCCACATACATTATAAGTAGGCAATAGACACAGTTCCTACTACACAGTACCTAGCATCAGCCACAACAACAGAGGCCATGAACAATGAGATATCCACACTGTACAATAGTAAAGTTACACTTAAGTTATTCAGTGACGCCCGAGATTGGATTTGATTAAAGTGACAAGCACGTCGTGTGGGCGTCTGCACGACGCACTTATGGGTTTCGCAAGCTGCGCTCTAGCTAGGTAGAGTTTAGCTTGTTACGTAATTTAAAGAAATTAAGTCAAAACAGCTGATTCGCGCATTTTTCGTGATCAGCTGTTTTAAAATACCTGAAACACGGCCGCTGGAGGCAGGTCGAGGCACACTGTGCAGCACAGGATGCCCCCGAGCCTGTGCTCGAGCTTTTCAGTCGTTTCTTTGTCAGCGAGCTTACGCTTCTTCAACAATGGCCCTTCGTCCTCTTTTGCGTCGCATTCGACAGCGGGCTCGCTGGACGAGGGCACAGGCTCGCTCTCGGGAGCTTCAGCCATTGCGCGAAAATTAAATTAGCAAAACACAGACAAATATGACAGATCAACGCTACAAAGGCGATTGACGACTGATAAAAACAAACCAAATTTGGAATAGACGACAACAACACAACAACAAAGAGAAAAATTAAATAGTGATGGGCGATATAGGTCACAGATTAGTGTTTTTTCAATCGTTATCGTATATTCAATTACACTCGTATAAAATGTCACTTGATAAAATTAAACGAACTGTCCCGTTATAAGGACTTAAAAACGAATGGAACGCTTCTCATACGGTTTTTAACCGAATCAAAAACTCGTAACGAAACCCCTATCAATTAATTATCGAGTTGTTTTGATCGCTTACCGATTTAAAAGACCTTGAGCAACCAGCAGTCCAGCACCCAGTGGAGAGTACTAAAGTGATTATGGAGAAATCAGTCAGAGCCCCGATTACGGTAACTTTTAACGTCTACAATCCAGACACGCTTCTCGATTCTGCGATACGATTGGTCGTTCAACAGCGTACGTCAGCTGTTTTGACCAATCGTATCGCAGAATCAGAAACGCGTCTGGATTGGAAACGTAAAAAATTACCGTAATCGGGGCTCAGTTCTAGATAAAGAAATCTATTTTTCTTATTCGGTGCCTACCTAAAAGAATCGAGTGAAGTCACATCACTATAGATATTTTTTTAAACAGCGCCATCTAGTCCTGAACTCCCAAATTATGCAAAGCTTGTAGCCACAGAATGAGCTTGTAGCAGCAAAAAAGGTTGTGGCTATAGATTTAAAATAATTTAAAAATATCTTTTGTATTTGATTTGAATCAGTGTTTTAAAAAATATTTTATTTTATCTTACTTTATGGGGTTGATTGAATAGCTTAGTACAACATAAAAATCAAAGAAACATTTATGAATACCAAATTATTTATTAAATTAAATTTATTTGTTGTAATTTTAATTGAATATGTACACTGCACACTGTTCAAAAACACCACATTACAAAATTCGTCTGTAGAAGTCACACTCAGCTCTTGTGCTTGAGAAAAAAATACTTTTATGGCTTAACTTTCTCATAAGCCTTGGTTTCAAGTCACATCTTAGTTTTCTTAGGGAGAGATCCAAAGGCAGAGATGACGGTGCTCTTGGTGCCCGTGACGTTGCTGGTGAGCGGCTGCTGCAGCAGGCCGGGCTGCTTGATGGCGGGCTTGGTTCCCACGTTTGGCGCAGCCTGGTCCCACTTAGACTTTCTTTTTTTCTCATCATCACTTTCTGGTTTCTTTGCAACACCTGTTATAAAATCAATCTTAGATAATTTATCTTTCTTTTCCTTTTCTCTCCTATCCATTTCAAATTTTTGTACTCGCGACAATTCATCATAATACGATTCTTTCCCCCATTTCAGCGGGTCATATATTTCAGGAGGATAGTTAGTGTCTAGCTCATTTATATCACAAAATTGAATTAATTTCTCATAAATACTGGGATTCCTAAAGTTCTTTTTGTCTTGAATTATTCTATTCATGTCTAGGCCTTCGCTCAACATGCGACTGTAGAACTTGGCTATGGATTCCTGCAGTTCCTTGGGGCACTTGCCCGGCGGCTCCGGCGGTATGCTGACGCCGTCCTGCGAGTCGTCGGGGTCCGAGCGCGGGATGGCTTCATCGGTATCGGTTTCCATTGACAAACGTCGCATATCATCTTGATCTTCAGCGTTCGGCGACAACTGCTCTTCATCCGAAACTATGGTGTCATCTACATATGAAACCAGGCGCCGTTTGGGAGACGGTGGTGCAGATGAAGATTTTGTGCCTTCCTCAGCCTTTTTTGGACTGACGGGCGCAGAATGGACAACTTTTGGATCCTCTTTTTCAGGTGTCTGTTCATCAACAATGCTTTCCTCTCCCTCGGAGTCTGTGTAGGTAGCTGTAAGTGATGCTAAGGCTTGAGATGTCATTTTGGGAATTTCTTGCGTCTCAGTCTCGGTTTATTGGTTAATCACTAATAATATTATTGAATTTTTATCAAAAATCAAAACTCAGTAAAATTGGTACACTGACAAAACCACAGATGATGCTGTCAACCACATGTCAATTGTCAAATAAAACTGACTTTTAATATTTCGTTCTAAAATGAATTATGTTCAATTTCATCGAATATTTTTATTATAAATATATCCATTTTTTAGCCTTAATTCTAACGAGCTCTAATATACATCAAACTCTATCTCATCCATCCATGCATCAATGCGCAGACAGAACTCACAAATCATTCGGAAGAATTTAATACGCAACTTGCAAGGACCTCAGCGACAAGCGCGACATGTTTATGAAAAAAATATCTCAATCTATACTATTTCCGAACGAAAACCGCAACGCATACAAAATGCGTTTCATTTCATGCAACAAAATAATCCACACGTATTTCCTTGTTTACTCTTTTTTAAAAGAACCTTATACCAAAGTCAGATTTAAATTGATCTTAAAGTTTCTTGACTAAAACTGCATTTACATTTTTTTTACTTTTTATGTTGTACATTGTATGAATTGGGTATCAAAATCTATTATAATTGAATAACGGAACTAAACAGCTGTCAAAATAGTGACATTTAATTTTGACGAAGGATGGGGGTGTTGGAAATCCTAAAAATCAAAAAACATTTTGCCCAATCTTGTAATTTCTAATTGTGATATGCAAAAATAGTAGGAACACTAGTCCCAGTGCCACTACAGGGATGGCAGTGCAACCCAGTGATTATACCGATTTTCCGCCCGAGATAATACTGAAGCCATTGGCGCTGATCGGGCTCTCGGGATTGGATGCAGTGAACAATGCGGTGCACAAGGAGATATGGGACGCGTTCTCCAACAACAGGCGGCCCGACCGAGCCGCGGTGCGCTTCAAGCTGCTCAATAACACTTTCGAGTTCCCCGTAGTGAAACCCAAAAGAAACTCCTACGAATGGTACATTCCCAAGGGAATTCTGAAGAAGAACTGGATTCACAAACGAACATCGCTGATTCCCGCGGTCGTCGTACTGTTTTATGACATGGAATGGAACGATCCGCAGTGGAACGAGAAGATAATAGAATGCGCGTCTAAGGTGCAGTCCATTCGCGCCGCGGTGGAGGGGCACGCCACGCGCGTGGCCGTGGTGGTGCTGCAGGGCGGGCAGGCGCCGCCGCCCTCCGAGTACATGCTGGGCGCCGAGCGCGCGCAGGCGCTCTGCTCCGCGTGTGAAATACAATCCAAGTCTCTGTTCGTTCTTCCCCACAGTGATCACCTCATGGGTTACATTATTCGCTTGGAGAATGCTTTTTATGATATCGCTCAAAATTACTATCATCACGAAACGAAGAACATCAAGCAGCACAGGGATCATCTGAACAAAACGACGCATCAGTATTTGTTTGTGAGACACCAGTTTAAGTTGGGATATCTGAATGAGTTAAAACAGGATTTAAGTACAGCCCACAAACACTACATGCACGCTTACAACAACCTGCTGGAGACCAGGACGGTGGACACCAATATGCACGAGGTGAGGACGGTCGCGGGGTACATCAATTACAAGCTCTGTAAGCTGCTCTTCGCTCTGAACTTGCCCCGGGACGCGATCGCCCAGCTCAAGTCCCATCTGGAGAGGTACAAGAGCAGGGTGGGTGCCACCGAGCTTCTCTTTGAGCACTATGCGTGGATCGCCCGGCAGTACAGTGCCTTTGGAGAACTTTTTGATGAGGCCATCAGGGCAGGTCTTCCAGGAATTCAGTCGCAGCACCCGGGCTTTTACTACCAGTATGCTGCACAGTTTACAGTCAAAAGAAGGCAGGCTATGAGGTCAGTTTGTAGCGAGGCAACCAAATATCCTCCCCCTCCTGATCCGATGGAAGGTATAGTAGAGTACTATGGGCAGAGGCCGTGGCGCCCGGGACGCCTCAGCGCCGACCCGCATGACCCTCAGAAGGAGCAGGCGGCTGTGCTGGCGCTGCAGTACAATGAGAGAGTGTTCAACCACTCAGCAATGATTATTAGTTTTTTGGGCTGTGCTATATCTCAGTTTAAAACATTTCATTCTCCCAGAATGAGAAAACAGTTAGTAGTTGAAATGGCCAATGAGTATTACTATTCAGCAGATTATGGAAAAGCATTGACCCTGTTGAGTCATATGCTCTGGGATTATAGGAGAGAAAAATGGTGGTTCTTAGCCTCCCATGTTCTGAACAGAGCATTACAAAGTGCCTATTTGTCAGCTAAAATACAAGATTATGTGCAGCTCTCAATAGAGGCACTATCTAAGCATATCCAAGTGCCAAACAAAGACAAAAGCAGAATATTTAAAAACATTATGTCAGTACTTAACATGAACATACCTGGGCCAGAGCCAGATGTCCCAGTCAATTCACAGAACAAGGCACTGGAAATATGGCAGGCAGCTATAGAAAAGGATCCATTTGTGATAGTTGTGGACATGGTTAACATTTCCAGTTTTCTGGAAGTTAAACCAAAATTCAAACAGCAAAGGTACAGGATGGATGAAATAATAGAAGTAGAAATATATGTTAGATTGACATATGAAACTGTTTTGGAAGCAATAAAAGCCTTTATCACCATATCCAGTGCCTCAGAGTCCATTGAAATTCCCATTACTCATGATGGAAATAACACAATTACACTGGAAGGTGGTAAAGTTAAAAGGTTCTTGTGTCATTTTAAACCAAACCCTCATGATAATGGGTCAGAGTTACATATCAAGAATGTATCATTCATATTAGGCTCTGAGAAGAAGAGGAAAATCATGATGAATTTCAAAATCGATGACAACAAAGCAATAGAACCTGCTGTTCATCCAGAACTCCTTCATTTCATTTTGAGCCCCAAAGCAGACTTTGAATTCGATTGTATTGTGCCTTTGACTGCTGCCTCTATTACACCAAGAGAATGTAAATTATCTATAAGTATAAATAATTCTAGTCCTGCACTCCAGGGAGAGTGGTTTCCCACAACATTCACCATCACAAACAATGAAAATAGTCCAGTGTATGATGTCAAGTTTGCACTCTCTTTGTTGAGTTCTCCTGACAATCCAAATCCTGAGTCAGTTACAGAGTTAAGTCTGAAGGAAGGAGAGTCCCAAACACAGCCCCTTCAGATAAAAGCAGGTGCTATTCACAAGTATTCTCAGCACTCCATTTCATTTTATCTAAAGACTAACAGAACAGCCACTGCAACAGTTCAAATAAAAGTATCATACCTAATAGATCTTCCTGAAATATCAAAACTTGAATGTGTTAAAGATTTCACCACTATAATCACAGTTATAAAACCTTTTGAAGTTTCCACTAACTTTGTATCAATGACTTTCAAGCCTGTTTCAAAATGCTTTGTAGATGATCCTTTCATAGTCATGCCACAAATAAAGATCCTAAGCCCATGGGATTTATTAATTGTAGATACAGAATTAGAGCTATTGGATTGTTTCAATTATTCTGATGATACAAAACCACCATCTTGTATCAGTGACTTAGAGGTAGCTGAGAAGAATATAGCATCAGATGCAGTATGCATCCAAGCCAAGTACAAGCCTAACGATACTCCCACCAGAGTGGGTCTATACAATATTAAATGGAGACGAAAAAATAATGGTGATGGTCACTGTGTGATGAGTACCACCGCCTTGTCAGGGCTGCCAATAGACGACTGTCCCATTGCAATTGAAGTCAATTATCCTGAAGTAGTGGAGGTTCAGACGTCTGTTCCTTTGAAGTGTACTTTGATTGGAAAGACTAATACCCAATAAGGCTGAGCCTGACGGTGGAGGGCACAGACTTCTACATGTTCTCGGGGTACAAGAAGTTGGCTGTGACAGTCCCGCCCAATGACCGAGTGGAGCTGTGCTACAACATCCACCCACTGCTAACAGGGAACACCACCCCTCCCCGATTAAAAGCCACGGTCTTGGGTGATACTGCAAATCAAGATGTTATAAGAGAAATGTTTGAGAAAATCTTTCCACAGAATATATTTGTTATGCCTAAGTACAATAAATAAATTGTATGAAGAAATGTTATTCCTTCTTATATTCAGAATTGTAAATAATTATGAACAAAATGTATAAGTTATATTGTAGTTACCTTGTAATTAATTTTAATAATAAATTCAGTTATTTGTTACCTGCTCTTTACTTCTTTCCCATTTCAAAGAAAACATACGTCCAAAATTCATTGGCTAGAATAGGAAAAAATGAAAGCATTTTTAAAAAGTAGGTATATTTATTAATCACAGAATTAATCTTTACGCAACTCAAACTTCTCCTCTTGAATACCGTTGGCCGTGATGATCAGGATGTAAATGCAGTCTCCCGTGTAGATGTCTCTCTCCGCCGCACTGATGAACACATCCTTGAGCAGAGCTAGGGCCTTCTCTCGGGGGAGAGGCGCCTCGGTGACGTTCTGCATGTTCTTGAGGCCAATCTGGTTGTCGAGCAGCGGCTGCAGCTGCGCGCCGGCCGAGCCGCCCGCGCGGTAGTTGGAGCGCTCGCAGTGGCCGATGGGGTCGTAGCTGTACACGCAGCCGCGCCCGTCGGCGTCCAGCCCGGCCAACACGTTGGACACGTAGTACGGGAAGAAGCGCTTGTAGTACAGCATCGTGGACAGCATCTGCGCCACGGCCGGCGTGGACATGGACTTGTTGTGGTCGTGCTCGTACATCTGCATGCGCGCCTGCAGCAGCCGCGTCAGCGTCAGCGTGTCGCACCAGCAGCCCGTGGCGCCCAGCACCGTCCGCTCCGACAGCTTGAACAGTTTCTTCTGTTCCCTTGTGTAAATGGAGAACCCTGTGCTGAGACGAGTGTCGGCCCCGATCACGGCATAGTCGTCGCCGGCGATGGCGACGACGCTTCCTCCGTTGTCTGCGTAGGGCTCGAAGCGGACTTGTTTGGCGCCGGGTACGGCATATTCGGGAAAGTTTCCACTTACGTTCAACATATTGTTACAGTTAGAAAAACAAAAACTAATAATCTAACCAATTCACGACGAATGACAAGCAATTTTCTAAAAATGCAAAATCAAGCTCAAATCTGACATTTAAACTGTCGTCTGTCACTGTCAATTACACTGACTTTTTACAATTGTTTTATTGGCCTTTTGGAAACAAAGACATTGTGGTTTAGACCACTTTTTAACTAATTAAAGTAGGATTTTTAACTAATTATTTACTTAGAAATAAATTGACTAATTAATAACTCCATGATCATGTTCTTAGTAAATGCGAATTGTAAATAATAAATCTTTTCACGAAATCTCGTGTTGTAGAACGAAAACGACGAACTGTCATTCATGCTGTCAATTTTGGGGTAGCTCGCCGAAAGCTGACGTGTAAAAATATTTGTTGAAAAGCCGGAAAATACCAAAGGAATCTTTTAAAATGACTTCTCTTATGTCTGTAATCCCGAAATTGTATCAAGAATACACTACAAAAACTTCCAAGAAGTTAAAGATCATCGACGCCTATTTATTATACGTGTTCCTCACCGCGGTCATACAATTTGTGTATTGTTGTCTGGTCGGCACTTTTCCCTTCAATTCATTCCTTAGCGGCTTCATTTCCACCGTCAGCTCATTTGTTCTTGGAGGTAAATATTTTTTATGCTAATAAATAGGGTTTCATTGTTAAACATGTTCTCTTCTGCTTACCTAACCTTACCGTGTATGTATGTAAGTAAACAACTACATTTGTTTAATTATTATAATTAAAATTATGTCTATTTCGTTTCCAGTGTGCTTACGGTTGCAAGTGAACCCCGAAAACAAGCAGGAGTTCCAGGGCTTGAGTGCGGAGCGTGGTTTTGCCGATTTTATTTTTGCGCATCTCGTCCTTCACATTGTCGTCATCAACTTCATAGGATAGGCCAAAATTCACAAAATAATGTTCTAATCTTTATAATATAATAAATGTAATATTACTTTACCACAAAACTGGGTTATTTTTTTTTATTATTTATTAATATTAGGGAAACAATCAATTTTATTTTGTATGTCACTTGTGGAATGGTTTAAATAAAATTAATAGAACAACCATCAGTGAAATTCCATGACTTCTGCCTGTAACCTTTACATTATGAAATATAGTAGTACTTCAAGAAAACATATTAACAACAATTTACCCGGTTTGCCCAGAGTGGAGACCAAGTTAGGTGATAATTGACTTGTTAAACCTTTGGGAATATAGATATTATTTTCTTAATAATAAAGAACAGCAACATTATTTATCATTCATGTATATCTAGAATAAATTTTAGTGTTAAAAGTTACTTATTTTTGGCAAAACAGAACTAACAGTTTGACNAATTTATAAACCACAGCTAATTTTCATAGTTGACTGTACTATACGATAAACATGTCAGTCAATTTGACAACCTTTGTCGGAAACATTATTCAATGAAAATATTGTCCGAACCCTTAGTATTTATCTTCGACAAATACTTTAACACATTTTGAACCACTTTTCTTTCACGACTATAAAAATATTTTAGCAATTTAATTCACAAAATCAATTGCGCACATTTAAAATAAAGTTTGTTTACACTTTGACAGCAATAGACTGACATGCAAGGTGACATGTCAATGAAGTTTTCAGTTCCTGTTGCCATTAAAAGAAATTAGTACCATTAATTTTCCGCAACATGGCGAGGGTTTTTATGTTCCTGGTCAGGCTATACACAGTTTTTCTCTTTCCGATCATTCGTTTAGAATTTTCCTGCTAGAACAACGTTACTCCAGCAGGAATCGTTTTTTTCGTTTTGTACCAAAACGACAGCACGCACTAATCTCTAATTCGGCGCACATTTACACCATGTTGGGAACTAATTATACGTTCTACTCATATCACTCTAGGAGCTACTTTCCAGCTGGAGTAACGTACACGACCTAACCACTAACATAACAAACACACCACATTTAATAACTATTTCCGAAAATATTTCGTGGTAAGATATATCGCAAAACATAAAAGGAACGTAGAAAAACAATATGGCGACTGAGGGTACAGACAAAAAAAATAGGGAATAAAACCACAATTTAATTAAGTAATGTTTTTATTTTGACTAGTCATGAATCAATTTAAAACAATAATCATAATTATTAATATAAAGAGTAACAACAATCTTATAATAATTTTAATATGTAATGTGAATAGTGAGAAAGACAGTTTCGTTTACGTAATAATAAGTAAGTACTTACATAAGTATGTATGTATTCTCGGTGATATAAAAATAAAATAAAATATAATAAAGGTCCAATATTTGAATTTTAGTCAGAAATGTACATAATAGTGTGAAATTAAGCAATTTCTCATGCATTGCATTCGCAACTATGTTTTTTACACTTATATTTTTAAATTAATTGCAAATGCGCCTATGAAGCAGTAAACTTCACTTTAAAATAATAAGTACATGTGTGAGTTTTATAAACTAAATAAACATAAAACTATTTTTACGGCAGGATACCAGCGTCCTGTATATCAGTACGTGTTGGTGCCAACATGAAATTTAGTCTGTAGGATGGTACTGAGAGCCCAAATGGGGAATATGCTCTCATTCCGTACTGGTACCAGAGGTACCACTTAATAACATCTAAAAACACACTAGTATCTCATTATAATTTATCACAGAAAACACCCTTGCAACCGAGCTGTGCGTAATTTCTAAGCAATATAAATAATATAAATCTCCACACCATGTGAAGTCGCTGGTTGTAAGATTGTTTTCAAAAAAGTATTATGGTATGGTAGGATAGGTGCATTAGATGGATGATGCTTTGTTATACAGGGTTATTTGTAAAACACCGGTAACCTCGCAGGTTAGATAGCTAATATCATAGGCAACAAAATAGTTCTGACTTGAAAATTCGTCAGTTTGTAGTTATGAAAAAAAAATACAAATTTTTAAAAGTCATAAAGCAAATGTTGTTTTACATGATCTTAGCAATCTAGTGCGAGTTTGCTGATGTTTTACAAATAACTCTGATAGAAATAATACACCTACCGATGCCATTTATTCATGAGCTAACAATAACATCAACAATATGAGTAGCCTATGGACGACGCTCTAACGCATATATTATTTACAATTTATCGATAGAAAAATACACTCTCAATGGTTATAGAAAAATAAATAGTTCGCCGCTAGTAAGGCTCGATACGTTGAGATAATTTAACAATATAATTTCCTAGAGATTCAGCAAACTTTACTTAATATTTAAAAACACATCTGAAGATAATGTAGCGTAGACTCTAGGAGATTATGTTGAAAAAGTGCATCTGTATGTTAAGTAAAAAGCGGTCGATATTTCAACCAAAGGCAATCCTAAAAATATATTACGCTATACACTACGCTTCAATTTCTAATTAAAATATCACAAAATGTGAAAGTTACAATGTAAAGCGCGATACATGGCTCGTTCCATACGATTAAGAGTCCATATTCGAACGCGAGTTCGAGCCCTTTGGGAATTAAGATTCCTCGGGCTTGAATTATTTTCATGAACAGAAAACTTATTTAAAAGAAGAGGTACAGTTACGCCCCGTTTGTATCAAAATGGCAATCCGCATCGTTCCTTGCCACTCCGGCAATAAACTAAATAAAAGGTTTTGCTCTGCAATCACCAGCTTTGACTAGTGAAATCTCCCAAATGTTTGATGAAAATATGTATTTACTGTATATGTATCATGAATTTGGGACGGGGTGTCACTAACGAAAGTTGGTGACTGCACAGTCGGTTATCACCCGCTGCCTGTGACTGCGAAGGTTCTCTGAGATCGCCGCCTGCCGCCTCTCGTGACTACACACGAATTAGGTATGTTCTTTAGATAAGAAAACTCCAGTGATAACAGAGCGTATTTAAACAGTTGAATTCTGACGGGCATAGTTCCTTAAGTTATCACTGGGTTTTGTACGTTTAGTGGATGCTAGCTAACTTTGTAAGTGTTTGTAGTTTTTCCATATTTTTACTGAATTTTTAGCGGCCACTTCGGCTAAGAAAATGGATAGGGACTTCCTTCACAAGGAGAGATTTTAGACTGTAGTTTTTGTGTCTCTACCCATATTAGGTACTCAACTGAGGTTCTGTCACTGGAACGATATGATTTAAACGATTGGTTAAATTTTAATAATCAGATGAATCACACTATACTCTAGGATCTAACACCGCTTCAAAATACGAGTCTTCGAGAAGTGGAAAATAACAAACCTGTTAGGCTGGTTTTAGAGTCACGCTGACGCACGCTGACCGTCAGCGCTGACAGCCGAAATGTATGAAGCGTCGGCGCCGAGCGATCGGCGTCACTCAAGAACGTTCCCTTCAAAGCGAGCTGTCAGTGCGATTCTAAAACCCGCCTTATGGATAATGGAGTGCACAGATCCTACACCGAAGTGTAAAGGATACAGCGGGTCAGCGGGGGTGGGTGGAGGGAGGGAGGGGTGGGGCGCCGCTCAGCGGTTGTTGCGCGTGTGCGTGAGCAGCAGGCGCTTGAAGTGCTGCCGCGTGGCGGCGGCGGCGCCGCGCGCCTCTCAGCTGGGCCGCGGCGCGCGCGCCGACAGGTACCTGCGGGGTTAAATGTCGATCAAGTAAAAGGACAATTTTCACCAACACCTTCTTGTGCAGTCAGGATCTAACAGGTTGACCACCAATAAAAACGCAATCGGTGAAAGTTCGAAGGAACGTTTCTTTACATACGAGGGGCGGCTGAAAAGTTCGCGGCCTAAGGTACTTGCGATGAGTAATTAGCTTGTTACTCATGTCACTAGTTGCGACACTCAGTAGTATTATAAAAGCAATCATTAATTAAGTTTGCACTGATAGTTCAATTTCTATCGAACACATGACATCACCATGTCAGCCGAATCTGGAGATTTGCGGAATTTTGAACACTGCGCGCCGCGGTATGTCCTTATATTATATTATATTCCTCGTAAAGAACGAAAATAGACCGAAGGACATTTTTGAAGAGATGTCATCGGTTCTTCATATACCATGGTGAAAAAATGGGCCCGCCTATTTCAACACGGACGAGAGACCTGTAGAAGACGACCCCGCCCTGTCACGATACTGAGCGAAGGAAATGTTCAAAAAGTCGAAAAAATCGTTCCGGCCGACCAAAGAATGAAATTGTGGCAGATTGCTGAAGAATATTGCTTCATGTTTGCGAGGGTATTGTACGGAAACGACGTGGGAAACTGAAGCGCGGATTGCTCTTTCTGCAAGATCACGCGCCCGTTCGCACCGCACGAGTTGCTAGGCCTAGCCCTGAAAGACACCGGGTTCTCAGAGATTGACCACCCTCCATATAGCCAAGACCTTTTACCTAGCGATATTTTCATGTTTTTTTTTATTTGAAAAAGGACTTACGGGGCCGGAGATTTGCAGATGACAACGGAATAAAAGGTGCGGTTGCGGTTGGTGGTCATTTAGAAGATTTTTTTTTGGGTGGGTAAAAGGCATTGTATGCGAGATATAAGAAATGTATTTCACTTGAGGAAGATTATATTAATAAATAAAAAATAGAAACTATTTATTTTATTTCATTAAGTACCTTAGGCCGCGGATTTATCAGCCGGCCCTCGTATACAGTATGTTTTTCTAGCGCGTTACCTGTGGCGCGCGGCGGCCAGCAGGCGCTCCTTGCGCTGGCGCAGCGCCGCCTCGCGCTCGGCCGCGTCGCGCGGGAAGCGCGCGCTCACCGGGCCCGCTGGCGCCCTGGGAAAATGTTACACTGTTAGTTTGCATATTATCTTGTTATTAATAATAGTTCACTGTTTTTTTTAAATTGCGACGCAGACATGACGTAGTACAAGCAACAGATCTAAATATATAAAAGGAGAAACTGACTGACTTAGTGACAGATCAACACACAGCCTAAACGGCTAAACGTAGGCACTTGAAATTTGGAAGGGACGCAGCTTAAGTACCGTAGAGGTGCACTAAGAAAGGAATTCCCGAAATTCCCGGGAACGAGAATTAGCGGGAAAATCTTTTTGTACGAAAAATCTAAACCGCTTAAGTTAGACGCTTGAAATTTGGCATGCAGGTACCTTAGAAAACTTAAAGCTTAGTTACAACAGGATATTGCAAAATTCCCACGGGAACGGGAGTTAGTGGGAAAAAACATTTGTATGAAAAAATCTAAACCGCGTAAGATAGAAGGGGGTAAAACGGGATCCACGCGTACGAAGTCGCGGGCGGCCGCTAGTAATGAATATTTATAAAACTTTTTCGTGCACTAAAGTTTCAAACAAAGATAGCGGGCACTCACAAGTCGTCGGACGCGTCGAATGTGGCGCCCGCCAGCGCGTCGGGAATAGGTTCAGCAGCCGACGAAGAACTCTCCATTACTTCTGCAAACGTCGAAAATTACGATTAGGCTTCAGAATAAAACTTCTCATATTAAGAATNCAGAGTCACGCTGACGCACGCTGACCGTCAGCGCTGACAGCCGAAATGTATGAAGCGTCGGCGCCGAGCGATCGGCGTCACTCAAGAACGTTCCCTTCAAAGCGAGCTGTCAGTGCGATTCTAAAACCCGCCTTATGGATAATGGAGTGCACAGATCCTACACCGAAGTGTAAAGGATACAGCGGGCCAGCGGGGGTGGGTGGAGGGAACGGGAGGGGTGGGGCGCCGCTCAGCGGTTGTTGCGCGTGTGCGTGAGCAGCAGGCGCTTGAAGTGCTGCCGCGTGGCGGCGGCGGCGCCGCGCGCCTCTCAGCTGGGCCGCGGTGCGCGCGCCGACAGGTACCTGCAATGTGGAGTGATGATTAAGTATAGACAGAGTAAATACAAATGAGTAGGTCATCTTCATAGAAACGCACGGGCGCGGTTTGTATGTGAGCGCGCCAACACGTATGCGGCGCGCACGCACACTGACAAAATTTAGCGAGGATTAGCGGGGAGCCAGTCGTGGTTGCGCCGAATTTTGTCAATGTGTGCGTGCGCGCCGTATATTGGCGCGCTCACATACAAACCGCGCTCGGTGCGTTTCTATGAAGATGACCTACTCATTTGTATTTACTCTGGTATAAACGGGACTATTTCCACCGCGCCGCTGCGACTCATATGTAGACAGGATCAAACAGTTGACCGCCAATAAAACCACAATCATTTATTACAAAGAAAATCACACGAAGACAGACAAGTAACATCTGTAACATGTAGACATTACAGGCAGTGGCACATAGGATTATAACATAATAAGAAGGAAAAATCAAGAATGAACCGAGCAGTGCCACCTGCTCGCAATAATGATGCCCGCTGCAACGGGACCCCACTTAGAGGACACACTAACGCTGGTTTTCCTCATGCATCATTACGTATAGAGTATGTTTTAGTAGCGCGTTACCTGTGGCGCGCGGCGGCCAGCAGGCGCTCCTTGCGCTGGCGCAGCGCCGCCTCGCGCTCGGCCGCGTCGCGCGGGAAGCGCGCGCTCACCGGGCCCGCTGGCGCCCTGGGAAAATGTTACACTGTTAGTTTGCATATTATCTTGTTATTAATAATAGTTCACTGTTTTTTTTAAATTGCGACGCAGACATGACGTAGTACGAGCAACAGATCTAAATATATAAAAGGAGAAACTGACTGACTTAGTGACAGATCAACGCACAGCCTAAACGGCTAAACGTAGGCACTTGAAATTTGGAAGGGACGCAGCTTAAGTACCGTAGAGGTGCACTAAGAAAGGAATTCCCGAAATTCCCGGGAACGAGAATTAGCGGGAAAATCTTTTTGTACGAAAAATCTAAACCGCTTAAGTTAGACACTTGAAATTTGGCATGCAGGTACCTTAGAAAACTTAAAGCTTAGTTACAACAGGATATTGCAAAATTCCCACGGGAACGGGAGTAAGTGGGAAAAAACATTTGTATGAAAAAATCTAAACCGCGTAAGATAGAAGGGGGTAAAACGGGATCCACGCGTACGAAGTCGCGGGCGGCCGCTAGTAATGAATATTTATAAAACTTTTTCGTGCACTAAAGTTTCAAACAATTAAAGATAGCGGGCACTCACAAGTCGTCGGACGCGTCGAATGCGGCGCCCGCCAGCGCGTCGGGAATAGGTTCAGCAGCCGACGAAGAACTCTCCATTACTTCTGCAAACGTCGAAAATTACGATTAGGCTTCAGAATAAAACTTCTCATATTAAGAATTTTCCACACCGGATGAGTTATGCCGCGGGCTGCGGTCAAGTCAAAGTGAACGCACCCCGTATCATTTATCGGCAATCGGTCAGTGGTCCGGGCAAAGCTATCTGTCAGCGGTGCGGTTTGCGTTCCCTTTAACTTGACCACTAACAGCATCCAGTGTGGTAAATCTTTTATTACCGCAATTAATATGTAAAATCTTTCAAACGAGGCATAGGGTAGCTTTCTGGCTTAGTAACTGCATTGAGCCTTCTGAGTCATCACACACTCGTACGCCATTCTTCTCGGGGACGATATGCAAAGGGCTCGGCCACTAACTAAAGCCATGTAAGTATTCATTAGGCAACATTTGTTGATAAACTCTGTTTATGACTAGTGTGAAACAAGTTTACCTAAACACAGGTTTCTGAAGCTTGGCCGTACACACTTGCTCTCCACTCATAGCGGGGAGCACGGCAACATGTATCATAAACAATGTTTCATCACCTATGTTTATGGACTGCTTACAGAGATGATGAAACATTATGAACAGTTTATAAACAAATGTTGCCTAATAGCCCAGTAGAATAAGATTTTAAATCGGAAATAATTCCTACAAAAGATTTTATTGCTTTAATGGCTTCATTGGTTGCCCATTAAGACTCTCCTAGGTTTTCGACTTCGTCGGAGTTATGCTTAAGTGGTGGGGGCCCCCGAAAGGGACGCTTTTTAGGTTTTCCGGTTATACCGCGTAAAGGACTTACCCTATCGAATCGAAAAGTGGTCTTCCTGACGGTTGAAGGGCATTTAATCCTGCATTAAATAAGACTAAATCCATATGTTTTGGACAAACCGTTCTCGTGCAAATGATCGGCAAAGTAGAAAATATGTCTCCACGTCCAATAGCTCGTCACCCGTAGGCTACCAAGCCTTGTAAAGGGTCGCCTTAACTAGCGTATCCCTGCAAGGCTCACGAGTTGGATTCGCTTATCCTTGTTCGTCCCAGCCGTTCCTTAACTGCGGTTGCTGCACCTCTGGCGTGGCCGCCAGCAGCCCGCCGGGGACTGACCTGCGAGCGGCGCGGGCGCGGCGGCGGCGGGCGGGGCGGGCGGCGGCGGCAGGCGGCCGGCCAGGATGTTGTCGCCGGGGAGCGCGGGCGAGCGCGTGGCCGCCAGCAGCCCGCCGGGGACTGACCTGCGAGCGGCGCGGGCGCGGCGGCGGCGGGCGGGGCGGGCGGCGGCGGCAGGCGGCCGGCCAGGATGTTGTCGACGGTGAGCGCGGGCGAGCGCGTGGCCGCCAGCTCGGCCGCCAGCACGCCGGCGGGGTACTGCGGGAACATGGCCTGCACCTGCGGGGGACACGAGCGTTAGGCCTCAGCCTCGAACTTAGCGGGCAGCGGGGCGGGAGCGGCGGCGGCGCTGGAGCGGGGCGGGCAACGCAGACCCGTTCTCGAAACAAGCGGGCAGCTCGCGCGGCGCTTTAGCGGTGAAGTGTTGTGTTGTCGAGATATTTGTTTTTATTCGCGAACGAAATGTCTGATTTCTCGTGGGCAAAAGAAGGAGTGCGCTGCCCGCTCGTTGCCCGCTCCCTCGCCGCTGCCCGCTCGTTGCCCGCTCCGGCGCCGCTGTTTTCGAGAACCGGTCTATTTGATTTTACGCATAAGATCCTGCCGCTCCCGCGCCGCCGCCGCTCCCGCGCCGCTGCCCGCTATGTTCGAGGCTGAGGCCTTAGACACTAGCGGGTGTGGGTACTTCGGCGGGTGAAATCAAAATGATTTAGAACCACACGCGCAGTCACCCAGCCAGCACTGAGTGAACGCCAGTTATGTTCACATACATTATAATTTACATACGCCACACTAGCATTCGCGCCCGCTCTGAATAGGCCTTACGATTTTTTTTTTATGTGATAGGAGGCAAACGAGCAGACGGATCACCTGATGGTAAGTGATTACCGTCGCCCATAGAATTGCAAGCAAAGGTATGCAAAGAATATCAATATAAAATATCTATGTATCGTGGCCTTAAAAAACAGCAACAATATCGATAGCACTATGTCTATAATGTACGGACGACGGCACGTCAAGGTAACCACTGTTGGTTCTTGTGCAGTTGTAATAAGAGCGAGTTTGCAACAAAAATGGGTAGCCTGATGTGCTGTCGTGTGTACTTAAGTGTCGTACCTGGCGGACCATGGCGTCAAGCTGCGAGGCGCCGGGCGGCTCCATGCGCACGCGCGTCACCTCCACCGAGAACGACGGCAGCCACGACACGTAGCGCGAGCCTGCCGGGAACAACACACGTCATCTAAATACAGTGTGAGTCACGTTAAAGTGTACATATGAAAATAGATGAAACTAGACCTATTTTTATCGACAAAAAATAGGTCAAAAAATTTTTGAGATTTTTTTTTATTTTTTTATAGAATTTTTTTTCTTCCAATTACTTATTGTAAAGAAAACGTAATAACTTTTAAACTAAGCGGTATATCCTGATAAAATAAAAACAGTAATAATGCATACGAATTTTTAAGCAGATTTTTTTCAAAAAGTATCATTTTTTATTATTTGTTGGCATTTTCTGGGTATTTCATGTATTTTTTTAGTATCGCCTGTTATTTAGCATTATTACTGTTTTTCTTTTATCAGGATATACCGCTTAGTTTAAAAGTTATTACGTTTTCTTTACAATAAGTAATTGGAAGAAAAAAAATTCTATAAAAATTAAAAAAAAAATCTCAAAAATTTTTTGACCTCTTTTTTATCGATAAAAATAGGTCTAGTTTCATCTTTTTTCATATGTACACTTTAACGTGACTCACACTGTATATTAAAGGAGAAACTGACATATCAACGCACAGCCTAAACGGCTAAACGGCACTTGAAATTTGGAAGGGACGTAGTTTAGGTACCGTAGAGGTGCACTAAGAAAGGAATTCCCGAAATTCCCACAGGAACGGGAATTAGCGGGAAAATCCTTTTGTATGAAAAATCTAAACCACTTAAGTTAGACGCTTGAAATTTGGCATGCAGGTACCTCAGTAAACTTAAAGCTTAGTTTCATCAACAGCCCTTTACAGTCCACTGCTGGACTATGAGCCTCCTCCACTATAGTGGAGGGTTTTGCCATAATCTCCACGCTTGGCAGGCGGGTTGGAGATCGCAGTTTAAAAGATTGATGTTTTTCAGAGAGCGCTGCTGCCCATTCTCTGTTTGATGTGTAGTCCCTAAGTCGCCTCTTACGACACCCGCGGAAAGAGTAGGGGTTGGTGACAAATGTATTCTACTCTGCCGTCACCACACGGCTTACAAAGCTTAGTTACAACAGGATTACAGGATATTGCAAAATTCCCACGGGAACGGGAGTTAGCGGGAAAAAACATTTGTATGAAAAAATCTAAACCGCGTAAGATAGATGAAGGCCTGAAGGGGGTAAAACGGGATCCACGCGTACGAAGTCGCGGGCGGCCGCTAGTTCGTCATATCGTATCCCAAACACAAAGATACACGACTCGGCCGAAGGCAACAGCAGCGTCGCCCATGCCGCGCCCACGGGAGGGCTCAGGGCACGCGCCGGTACCGGAGAGGTTCCATTTGATGACGTCGAGCTGCAGCAGCACCAGCACGGACACGGCCAGCAGCGACAGCAGCGCGGCGCACGCGGCGCACGCGGCTAGCATCGGCCCATGCCGACGCCCACAGGAGGGTTTCACGGAACTTTATTTATTTTGCAGTGGTTTATTTACTTTGTGAAATGCATTGTTTTGACAACTGACACCGAGTGACAAGTTTGAAGGGAATTTTTGAATTGTTCTATTTTTTTTCATGGTGATAGAATAGACGATTTGTTTATTTATGTTTGGAGGTTGATTATGTCCACAATCACATTAGGGGAGAGTTCGGTATATTGTACCGCCGGGTAAATTGTACCACCCTCATATTTCGTAAAGTATTTATTGAATGTCTGTAATTGCAAAACTCAGCGATACACAACTAAAATCAATTAATATCGGCCATGTGGTTTTTGCCGTGACAACAAACACGTGTGTTTTATTTTAAAAAGTATTTTTTCATTGTTATCAAGTAACTTTTGAAAATACATGTTTAGTTTGTAATTTTGTTAAATTTAATCACAGGGTGTTTCTAATATATTATTTAGAAGCGTAAATTAGTGTGGATTACAATTATTTGAAACATTTTTCGGTATTTATAAGCTATATTTTTTACCGATTTTTTAAAAGCACTATCACCTAGTCGGCTAAATTGTACCACAGTTCGCTCGCATGTGAGGCCTTGTCGAATAGTATCCTGTAGGTGGGCCATCGTGCGTGTTTTGTTTTCGATGTAAACTCGCGGAGATGAACAGGCCTGCTTTTACAATGAACGTAGCCTCACCGTCAAAGTGGAACAAGTGGTTGGGGTGTAGCGGCGCGCGGGGCGGGCGGGGCGGCAGCGGGGCGGGCGGCGGCGCGGGCGCGGGCGGGGCGGGCCCGCCGGCCGCCAGCGCGCGCCGGCACGTCGGGCACGACGCGTCCTGCTGCACCCACTGGCACAGGCACGAGCTGCGATGCGAGCGCAATGTACAGGCATATGTCAAGCTAAACACTGCCATCTTATCTGGGTGTTTTCTATGTATAATATGTATTTATTTACAACAAAAAAAAGTATTTATGTACGTTTATATCCGTTGTCTAGTACCCATAGTACAAGCTTTGCTCAGTTTGAGGCTAACGGCGCAGCGCAGTGTAAAAATGTCCAAGGATATTTATTTATTTTATGCAGCTGTGTGACAACTGCATAAGATGGTAGTAAATAAAATAGCACATATTTTGTTATTTTGGAAAAAAAAATATTATGTGCACTGAACATTCAAGATACGGCCAATATTTGGGTAGTTGATAACATTTACTGATCACCTTCAGACTACGTATCTAAAACAATACCTAAGCTGACAAAGTTACTGGAGATAAAGAAATGACGTCATAAGTTCGTATGGCGATTATACAAACATCTAATATACAGGGTGAAGAAGATCGGCAGAACTTGGAGCAAAATCAAACGCGAAGCTCATAACCGAACGCGATGGAGGACTGTTGTGGACGCCCTTTGCCCCGTCTAGGGGACATAGGACCTTAAATCAAGTAATATACAGGGTGATTTGTTGGTAGAATAACAAGCAAAAATGATTGATTCTGCTGCTCAAATGCAACAACTTTCCATAAGAGAAAGGCGTCAAATTAGAAAAAAAACAAGAAATAGTTACTTGTGGAAGAGATGCGAGCAGGGCAGCTTACGCGCCTCCTTCATGGGCTCCCAGCAGATGGCGCAGTTGTCCTGGTTCTTCTCCACTTCTTCCTTGCTCGCCATTGGGTAGCTGAAAATTAAAGTTATTATTATACACTTTTCGGCATGTATTTAAAGTTGCAAGGTGACATTGGCACTTCACCGATCTACAATTCTAGAGGTGACATTAGATGTTCCTGTTAATCAGTCTGCTTTGAATAGTAAATGTTAGGTCATGTACTTTTCCACAACTTGTAGGTCACTTAAATTCAATTTCTAATCGGCCCATTAGATTCTTAGAATATTTTTCAAGTACTTAGTTATTTTCCATTTGGATGCAACAAATAAAAACTAAGAAGTAACCGAGTTAAAGTCACCTTTAGAGCCCTGTGTTTTCATTTCAAGTAAATATAATTATTTCATTTCATCATACAATTGGATAGCTTTAATGTTGAAATATTCTTTATTTCAGCAACAAAAAACTTAATTTCATGAATCATGAAGAATTATGCAGCCTGCACTTCCTCTCGTTAGCCTTAGGAACGGCACGAAAGGCCTAGACTGGCTATTAACTGCAGGAAGCAAGACTGTTTACCAGTCCATCGCATAATTCATTGAAGCGATAATAATTATTATTGTAGAAGAGTATAAGTACAAGAGCGTTATTTCAAGACTTTAAAATTTTATTTCATCATCATCATTTGAGCCACAGGACGTCCACTGCTGAACATAGGCCTCCCCCAATGCTTTCCATGTTGATCGATTGGTAGCGGCCTGCGTCCAGCGCTTCCCTGCTACCTTTACGATGTCGTCGGTCCACCTTGTAGGTGGACGACCCACGAGTACCGGAAAATTTTATTTATGTATTTAAAACTTTTACGCACATAAAACACGGTACATAATTTATATTAGTACTAGTTATGTGGGTCTACCATGTACACGTAAACATTGTTTACTGCGAGATTGTCCGTTTTTGTGAAGTCAAAATGCAACAACTACATATTCTATGTTATTTACGCTTGTAATACACGTTTACGTAGGTGCTCACTGAAATTTAACAAAACTGAGCTTTGTTTTCTGTTATTATCTCAATGAATAATAACAAAAAATAGAATCGTCTTTTAGTTACTTCATATAAATGTCATTTAAGAGCCATTTCACAAAAATATTCCNAAAATCCAATTTAGTAACCCTGTGGTACAAATTATCGAACCGGTTGGCTAAATTGGACCGAAGCTCTGAACTCGTACTTTGTTGATTTGTGGTAAATATACAACAATCATGTTAATTAATACTTATGAAATAGTAAGTTGAATAATTTCTCTTTAATTATATACCATGGACATTAGCAAAAATAAAACAAAACTATGTGTAAAATGGGATTGAAAAAAACTGGTCCAAATTAGCGGACTCTCCCTTATTACTTTTTGAAATGGCATCGAGTTTTGAATCGACTTTATGTTTTTGAAGACAACACGGAATCCTTACAATTTTTGATTCAGTAATAAATTTTACATTATTACGTGACACTAGTCTTAAACGTGGCCGATGGGGCAGCAAGGTTCTGGAATGGAGGCCGCGTACCGGAAAACGCAGCGTGGGACACGACATCATAAAGGTAGCAGGGAAGCGCCGGACGCAGGCCGCTACTAATCGATCAACATAGAAAGCATTGGGGGAGGTCTATGTTTAGCAGTGGACGTCCTATGGCTGAAATGATGATTAGTGATGATGATGATGACGACTAACCATAAACAAAGAACTTTCTAACTTTTACCACAAAATAATAATAAAGTACTACGTACAGAAGTTNCATTTACTGATCATCTTTACACTACGTATTCAAAACAATATATAAGTTAAAAAGTTACTGAGAGATAAAGAAATGACGGCATAAGTTCGTATAGCGATTATACAAACATCTAATATACAGGATGATTTGTTGGTAGAACATCAAACAAAAATGATTGATTCTGCTGCTCAAATGCAACAATTTTCCATTATAGAAAGGCGCCAAATTAGAAAAAAATAACGTGAATTAAGAAAAATAGTTACTTGTGGAAGAGATGCGAGCAGGGCAGCTTACGCGCCTCCTTCATGGGCTCCCAGCAGATGGCGCAGTTGTCCTGGTTCTTCTCCACTTCTTCCTTGCTCGCCATTGGGTAGCTGAAAATTAAAGTTATTATTATAAACTTTTCGTCATATATTTAAAGTTGTAAATGTAGGGTGACATTGCCACTTCACCGATCTACAATTCTAGAGGTGACATTAGATGTTCCTGTTAATCAGTCTGCTTTGAATAGGTCATGTACTTTTCCACAATTTGTAGGTCACTTGATTCAATGTCTAATCGGCCCATTAGCCGATTCTTAGAATATTTTTCATGCACTTAAGTTATTTTCCATTTGGATACAACAAATAAAAACTGAGAAGTAACCGAATTAAAGTCACTTTTAGAGCCCTGTGTTTTCATTTCAAGTAAATATAATTATTTCATTTCTTCATACAATTGAATAGTTTTAATGTTGTAATATTTTTTATTTCAACAAAAAAAAACTTAATTTCATGAATCATGAAGAATTATGCAAGCTGCACTTCCTCTCGTTAGCCTTAGGAACGGCACGAAAGGCCTAGACTAGCTATTAACTGCAGGAAGCAAGACTGTTTACCAGTCCATCGCATAATTCATTGAAGCGATAATAATTATTATTGTAGAAGATGCAAAAAGTACAAGAGCGTTATTTCAAGACTTTAAAATTTTATTTCATCATCATCATTTGAGCCACAGGACGTCCACTGCTGAACATAGGCCTCCCCCAATGCTTTCCATGTTGATTGATTGGTAGCGGCCTGCGTCCAGCGCTTCCCTGCTACCTTTACGATGTCGTCGGTCCACCTTGTAGGTGGACGACCCACGCGTACCGGAAAATTATATTTATGTATTTAACACTTTTACGCACGTAAACCACGTACATGAGTACATAATTTATATTAGTACTAGTTATGTGGGTTTACCATGTTCACGTAAACATTGTTTACTGCGAGATTGTCAGTTTTTGTGAAGTCAAAATGCAACAACTACACATTCTATGTTATTTACTCTTGTACACTGAAATTTAACAAAACTGAGCTTTGTTTTCTCTTATTATCTCAATGAATAATAACAAAAAACAGAATCGTCTTTTAGTTACTTCATATAAATGTCATTTAAGTAACATTTTTGCTACAAGCCATGCATTCCTTACTTCTCAAGTAGGTACAACATTACTACGATTATAATTAATTACATAACATCAGCTGTTTAGTTTTGAACTAGCCGCGACAATCATAGATCAATTAGCACTGCTCGTCACTCGCTGCCCACTGCCCACAGCGTGACGCGTGCGACTGTTGACAGCCACGCATGATAACGGACTGAATAACTACAGTATACAACACCAATACAGTAGGTTTGGTCCTCAGTAACAATTGGATAGGCAAAAAATTCTACTATACAGTCTATCTTCTAGATCACGATTCCAATTTCTCTATAATTCCCACTTAGCAGATCAGAAAGGAACAATCTGGCATATCCAACGGATAATATGTCACTGTTCCAAATCAGCCTATTTTTTATCAACTAGATCCTACTGCTTTTCCGCCTAGTTATTATTACTTTACGACCACATAATTATGTAGTTATTAGAATTTAATTGCCTTGAACAAAAGGAAGGAATAGTTTTACTAATTTTCCAAAATATTAACTTGTTGCTAATAGGTATTTTAATTTACGCAAATATTTTAACTACAATATTGACATGTTTATGTGTCAACTTTGTAATTGTCTACGTAAATAATAATTACATCTAATTTTAATATAATTAACAAAGTTAAACATCATTAAAGTATAATAGACATTTTAATAAAATATTATAATGGAATTTAGTCTATCCGGGATATAGTCTAACGAAGTAAACGATTGAGATTTCGTATTTGTGTGTGCATAGTTTTTCTTTAAAAACCATGAGGTCGGCAGGGCTATCACACGTATAAAAAGTGGCGGAGAATTTTACAGAAGGTTAATACTTCAGTCTGAGGATTGAAGTGGTTCACTATTGGTATTTTTTATTTATTTTTGAATAGAACGGTATTATTTAGGTACCTGGTTTCGCACTGGTGCACCACCTATCCTATAAATATCGCTGTACGTGGAAATCATAGAGAGAACTTAAAATGAAGGCTCACTTGGCGTGCATGTGGTGCGCCAGCGCGGCGTAGAGGCGGTGGCGGCGCACGCGCGCCTGCAGCTCGTGCAGCAGGTGCCGCAGCTGCAGCAGCAGCACCAGCGACGCCAGCGACACCAGCATGTTGCTGTACACATGAGGGCTCACTTGGCGTGCATGTGGTGCGCCAGCGCGGCGTAGAGGCGGTGGCGGCGCACGCGCGCCTGCAGCTCGTGCAGCAGGTGCCGCAGCTGCAGCAGCAGCACCAGCGACGCCAGCGACACCAGCATGTTGCTGTACACATGAGGGCTCACTTGGCGTGCATGTGGTGCGCCAGCGCGGCGTAGAGGCGGTGGCGGCGCACGCGCGCCTGCAGCTCGTGCAGCAGGTGCCGCAGCTGCAGCAGCAGCACCAGCGACGCCAGCGACACCAGCATGTTGCTGTACACATGAGGGCTCACTTGGCGTGCATGTGGTGCGCCAGCGCGGCGTAGAGGCGGTGGCGGCGCACGCGCGCCTGCAGCTCGTGCAGCAGGTGCCGCAGCTGCAGCAGCAGCACCAGCGACGCCAGCGACACCAGCATGTTGCTGTACACATGAGGGCTCACTTGGCGTGCATGTGGTGCGCCAGCGCGGCGTAGAGGCGGTGGCGGCGCACGCGCGCCTGCAGCTCGTGCAGCAGGTGCCGCAGCTGCAGCAGCAGCACCAGCGACGCCAGCGACACCAGCATGTTGCTGTACACATGAGGGCTCACTTGGCGTGCATGTGGTGCGCCAGCGCGGCGTAGAGGCGGTGGCGGCGCACGCGCGCCTGCAGCTCGTGCAGCAGGTGCCGCAGCTGCAGCAGCAGCACCAGCGACGCCAGCGACACCAGCATGTTGCTGTACACATGAGGGCTCACTTGGCGTGCATGTGGTGCGCCAGCGCGGCGTAGAGGCGGTGGCGGCGCACGCGCGCCTGCAGCTCGTGCAGCAGGTGCCGCAGCTGCAGCAGCAGCACCAGCGACGCCAGCGACACCAGCATGTTGCTGTACACATGAGGGCTCACTTGGCGTGCATGTGGTGCGCCAGCGCGGCGTAGAGGCGGTGGCGGCGCACGCGCGCCTGCAGCTCGTGCAGCAGGTGCCGCAGCTGCAGCAGCAGCACCAGCGACGCCAGCGACACCAGCATGTTGCTGTACACATGAGGGCTCACTTGGCGTGCATGTGGTGCGCCAGCGCGGCGTAGAGGCGGTGGCGGCGCACGCGCGCCTGCAGCTCGTGCAGCAGGTGCCGCAGCTGCAGCAGCAGCACCAGCGACGCCAGCGACACCAGCATGTTGCTGTACACATGAGGGCTCACTTGGCGTGCATGTGGTGCGCCAGCGCGGCGTAGAGGCGGTGGCGGCGCACGCGCGCCTGCAGCTCGTGCAGCAGGTGCCGCAGCTGCAGCAGCAGCACCAGCGACGCCAGCGACACCAGCATGTTGCTGTACACATGAGGGCTCACTTGGCGTGCATGTGGTGCGCCAGCGCGGCGTAGAGGCGGTGGCGGCGCACGCGCGCCTGCAGCTCGTGCAGCAGGTGCCGCAGCTGCAGCAGCAGCACCAGCGACGCCAGCGACACCAGCATGTTGCTGTACACATGAGGGCTCACTTGGCGTGCATGTGGTGCGCCAGCGCGGCGTAGAGGCGGTGGCGGCGCACGCGCGCCTGCAGCTCGTGCAGCAGGTGCCGCAGCTGCAGCAGCAGCACCAGCGACGCCAGCGACACCAGCATGTTGCTGTACACATGAGGGCTCACTTGGCGTGCATGTGGTGCGCCAGCGCGGCGTAGAGGCGGTGGCGGCGCACGCGCGCCTGCAGCTCGTGCAGCAGGTGCCGCAGCTGCAGCAGCAGCACCAGCGACGCCAGCGACACCAGCATGTTGCTGTACACCACCATGTGCGCCACGTGCGCCAGCTCCACCACCAGCGACGTCGCCTGCGCATACAGACATGCAGTCAGCGTCAAATACTCCGTGACACCCAAAGTGGTCAGTTCGCAACACGTCTTTGTTACACTTGGAATAAGCTGGTGTTGTCAACTTATAGCCACTTTGGGTGTCACGAACTATTCGAAGCTGACTGTGTACACGTTAGCAACTACGTAAAGACGACACGACACGCGGCATCAGCCAATAGGGGGGGTTACAGTGACACTACCAGTCAATGAGCTACTGTATTTGCGCTCATTCACTCATTAGTTGGCGCCACTAGGGAATGAAAAGGTCTTCTAAGGAAGAGACTACTCTACAGTCTAGAGTAAGCTCTACAGTGGCGCCGAAAGATGCAAAATTAAATACAGTGGTCCGCAATGAGCTGTAAAAGAATTGATAAATAATAACATCTGAAGACCGAATACCAGTTCTATTGAAATAAAACTACAATCAAAACATCTCTGCCTGTAAAGCCTTCAACCTAAGTGGTACTGTAAGTGACATTCAAGTAACATTTAAGTTACATAAAAACTCAAAAATACAGCTCAAATTAAATAGAATCACAAACTTCTGTGATTAAAAATTCATGCATATTGACTGTTGTCCAAAGGTCGAAAATTGTTTTATTCATGCTCTCTGTGAGAGACTCCTGCTTCATTTTGTTAAATAAAGTCTTCTACCGCGCAATTATTGACCTTGACCAAATCAGTCCAATTTTAAAAACTATTCTCTCGCATTCCTGAGATCATTGAAATGTTCCGCCTAATATTTAACCATGTCACGATGCCTTGTAGACCGAATCACAAATGTATGCATAGGTATCCAATGTATAGTTTGTAAGTAGAACTTCCTATATTTCGTTTACCTCCCTTAAGCATTAGTCATTGTAGGTTAATCTTACCACAAATACCACCAATAACTGTTTTTTTAATTAATTAAGATTAAAAAACAAAACGTTAACGGAATGAAAACGTTTAGTAGATCATTAATAGTCCAGTCAATGAATGCTTTAACGACGGTGTAGAGAGAAATCCGTGGAACACAATTTCTGACCTCGGGACTTTATTAAGACTAGTTAGGAGGTGAACATAGCAAAAGTCCCCGCCCTTAGCCCTTGAGCCGGCGGGGAGAGGGGGGTTTAAAGGTACTACTTTTCGGTTTTTCGCTTAATCCTCGGAAACTATGCGTCCTAGTGACATGACTGCTATGAACCAAAAAAAGCTTATTCAATTTGCTACAGGTAAGACAGTCAAGTTTTTCTATATCTTTTATAGTTTTCACGGCATAGGCTCTAGAAGGTCTGTAATATTGGAAATTTTATTTTTGTCTTACATGTTCCCATCAGGAGAAAATCGACTAAATCAACATTAAGTAAACATTTTAGACATGCAGGAGCATGTTAAACCTAGTTCCAGGGAAGGGACTGCACCGAGCGTATATTTAGACGACCCAATTGGAGCCACTTTTGACTCCTCATCACTCAAAAACTACTGTGCGTTAACACTTCAAAATTGGCTCATGTGTTGAGACTTGCAAGATAAAAATCAGCTTCAAATTTCATAAATATACCTCAAACGGTTATTTAGATATTGACGTTCAAAAATCGACATTTAGAACACTGAAATCTATCTATCACCTGTGAAATGTTAAAATTTACTGGTTTTTTATTTGGTACTTTGTATTTACACATCTACCTATCTGGATGCCAAATTTAAACCTTCTAGGTCATCTGGAAGTTGTTAGAATTTGGTCTATAGGTCAGATATGTAGATTTTTGGACGTCAATACCTAAAGAACCGTTTGAGGTATATTTATGAAATTTGAAGCTTATGTTTATCTTGCAAATCTCAACACATGAGCCAAATTTGAAGTGTTAACGCACAGTAGTTTTTGAGTGATGAGGAGTCTAAAGTGGCTCCAATTGATTCGTCTAAATATACGCACAGTGCAGTCCCTTCCCTGGAACTAGGCTTAACATGCTTCCGCATGTCTAAAATATTTGCTCAATGTTGATTTAGTCGATTTTCTCCTGATGGGAACATGTAAGACAAAAATAAAAATTTTAATATTACAGACATTCTAGAGCAGTTTCCGCAAAAACTATACAAGATATAGAAAAACTTGAGTATCTCACCTGTAGCAAATTGAATAAGCTTTTTTTGGTTCATAGTAGTCATGTCACTAGGACGCATAGTTTCCGAGGATTAAGCGAAAAACCGAAAAGTAGTACCTTTAAACCCCCCTCACCCCGCCGGCTCAAGGGCTAAGGGCGGGGACTTTTGCTATGTTCACCTCCTAACTAGTCTAAATAAAGTCCCGAAGTCAGAAATTGTGTTCCACGGATTTCCATCTATAATGCTTTATTGACTGGACTATAAGGAGCATTGTGTTTTCTTTAATTCTGTAGTTAATACAATGAAAATAAAAAGGTGTCATTTCACCCGTACCACTTGTAGACGTTGTAGTGTGAAAACCTTAATACTTACTTAGGCTTAAGAAAAACAACGAGCATTGTTATCTATTACGCACACCCTTTGTATTCAATGCCATTGTTTATTGGTGCATTACATTACAAAAGTATTAATGACGTTTTGTAAGTCCGCTTCTTTTTAAACTTTGTTAAAAATACCAACCAAATAGAGAACCTCCTCCTTTTGTTGAAGTTGGTTAAAAAGACGTTTTGCTCTTTGGATGAAACGTTAACTTACAGCGAAGAAGATAAATATAGTTTTGTCATAGCTCTATCTGTCGAAATGCAGCGAATATGTACAGAATGGGCGACATACAAGTTTTTATTTAATTTGCTACATTTGTCAGATTCTTCACTAACATAATAAAAACAGTGTGATGCATTCGACAACGTCTAGCGAGTGCTGACATTTATGGTACAAGATTTAAGAATTGCCGTTTCAAACTCAAGGTTTCCTATCATGATGAGGTGTTCTTATCTGTACTTACTTTAATTTAGCATGAACTGAATCACACCGTCGAGATAAGCCGAGAACGTTTTTATTTTAGGCATTCAGTCAGTAGGTTAATGGTCGTTTTTTGATTTCACAGTTCGGTCAATTATCTGTAGATATTATCGTTGTTACAAATAAACCTGCCTGACCCGGAACACGCGTAACCTTTGCTCTAACTCGCTCAAACAGTCAGCATGACGCCCAGTGTGGTCGACATTATCATATCTATGTAATCTACGGCTCTTTACTTATCTTTATAGGTAAGAAAGATACCTTTTAAAATGCATATTTCCAATTATTTTTCGATATGTTTTTGAGGACATTAATGCAAACTAATTTGAATTGGACATAGAAATTTATAGTTCAAACGGAAATCGTCAGTAGAGTAGGATTTGCTCGCGTATGACCTCTTAATGTGATATTGTATTTAGGAACACCCTGAAGTGCTTGAACATTTGGAATAGACAATATCGAATGAACATTCATAAATAAATAAAATGTTCGAAATGTTTTTCTTAGAGCTACTAGACCTATAATACACTTCTGGTTCCTACCAGCTTCAGAGCTATCATTCAGTGAAAAATCGATTGAGATAATGTCATTCTCATACATTTTTAGACTACGTGTTTAGTGAGTGTTTTCTGCTCTCGCTGTTCGGTGAAGCCGATAAGGCAAGTGCCAGCTAACAAGACGGCACGGACGACAGTGCAGTCAAGCTCGACATCAACATCGTGTCACCTTATGTAGTTGTGATAGGTGTTATTTTACAATAAAGTTTGTCAAACTCACGTCGAAGACGAGGTGCGTGTAGTAGGCGAGCGGGCCGGCCGCGTCGGCGCCGGCGGCCTGCAGCGCGTACCGCGCCACCACGTGCAGCGCGCTCGTCAGCACCAGCAAGCACTGCGGGCAAGGCCATGTTGTCAGGAAAAGCCACGAAATTTACACAAGGGACAGGCATACGCAGAAATCATCATAGAGCACATAAAACATCTCAAAGTCAAAGTCAAAGTCAAAGTCAAAATTTCTTTATTTGTTTAGACTAATAAATAGTTCTTACAAATCGTCATTTTGCTCTTAAGGAGCCTCTACATGTCTCATAATCTTTTTACCCTACCAGCACTTCGAGACCAACATTTGGCAAGTGCTGAGAAGAAGCGCCGCAACAAACTCAGTCACCACTGTCTGCCGGTTAATATAAATCTGCCTGGAAGCATCTACCTGAGACTTAACAGGGCTACTCCGAAACACCGTTTACGGTCCGTTTATGTCACCGTCGCTCATGCTGGCATCTCTCTTTGCGTGAGAGGGATTGCTACATTCGAAACTTTGGTTATCGTTTTTCGGAGTAACCCCGCAGATACGATTAGAGGCTGCTAGAAAAGATACTAAGTAACTAAACGGTCACCTATGTTACATTAATTTACCTATTTTACCTATAAGACATAAATAAATAAAGGACTGGTGGAAACCGCGTTCACCGCAGTATCGAAAAGGTCAAGTTGCAGCGAAATGAGAATAATGCAGCTTACAAAATTTTCAGGGTATCTAGATGTTGGCCAGATGCCAGTCTGAGTAGATAATATGCGATACGAGAAAATCGCATATACCTACAACATGTTTTTAAACCGAAAAAAAGTAGCGATTACGAAATTCACGAGACTTTTCATTTCCTGGAAATGTCTCCAGAGTCTAGAGGTCCAGATGTGTCTCTATTTCGCGGGTATACTCTAGTTTACTCAGATCTTTGCATTTATTGAAACATTGTTCTGTAAATAACTTATTTGGACGGACGACAAAATATGTAAAATGTGTGAATAAACAGCAACAATGGGCGACTGTCGGTAACCTGACCATCGGCGGCTAAATAATTCGGTGTGCAACAACAGCAAACAGGATTCCTGTGCGAAGTGGACGGCTCGCGAACACATAACTTTCTCTTAGACTTCTCGAACATTCGCGAATCGATGACTTTATCGGTATTAATACTGCTAATCATCATCATCATGAATCAGTAGATGGCATTTTCGATTTGAATCGGCCAAAGTCCCGTGCCGGTATTTCCCAGCTCTGATAAATCTGATAATAACAATTAATTAAGTAGGTTTTGGACAAAGTTCATATAAATGAGCGCGCAATAACTAATTCCCTCTAGGCACAATAAGGGGTATGTGTATAACATAATCAAATTATAGGATCCAAGTAACAATCATAATTTTGATAGTCCTGAATCATTCAGTATTGAAGTACTTTTTTTTTATCCACAACGAGGAAGCTTTTGGCCTGTATCTCACTCACCTGATGGTATTTACTATTTACTAACATTATGTATCAGCAGATATCGCTATTATCACATTAGGCCAATAAATAAACATTAACTTTATCGGATAACCTCCATATCAACTGACATAGATATTTTTAATTATCATGTTCCATTTCCTTCTATTACTTTTGGCAGTCACGAAATCATAACATCATTGAAGAACTGTCCTGTCCACATTGTGACGTCATGAATTATTTGTTAAGTGGTATTATGACATGTGACGTCATCTTGTTAGAAAGGTAAACACTTTCTCGGGCCCGGTTATTATGATTGCACAGTGATATTATAAGCGTTGATAGAGAATGTGAGAGGTGCGAGGCGCTCACTGATGCTCTCACTGACTAACAAGTGTTGAATAACAAAAACAAAACCTCCCAAGATGACGATTGACAAGAGACATTTATTATCATTCGAAATTGCTGTCAATCACAAGGTTTTCATATAGAAATATGACGAAGAAAAAACAGAATCCTCCTAGTGCAGTAACTGATAAACGTACATAATTACTGGTTGGTAGCTGTGAAATTGTTTTAATGATCGCAATTATCTTTACGAGGTAACGAAGAGTAACAATAAAAATGTTATTAATTAATGGTCATTGTTGTCGACCGAAATGTAAACATCATTTGATGTTACACAATAATAGCAACCGGGCTTTATTTTATTACATCCACAAATGGAAACGTATTTATTACGGCCCGACGGAACGCGGAGCGTGGGCGTCATTGGATAAGCAGGCACTGCCCACGGATTGTGTGGCGTATTACCGCATTTGCTCTACTTTATGAGCCCTTGATCGAAAATAAAGCGGCAAACAAATTTTAATACGCTGTTGGTTTTGTCAATAAAATACAATTAAAAAAAAACTACAACCCGGTCGAGTTAACTGCGCATCTCGCTGGAATGCGACTCCCTAACACTCACCCGCACATCTCCCCGCATTCGCCCCGTCCAGAGCGACGATGTGACGTCACAGCTGCTAGGTGCGCAGTCAACTCGACCGGGTTGTACTATCGGCCACAGTTTCAGCTACCCATTTCCATTTTTTCTCTCGCTCTCATCAAATGGTGATTCTTTACGATAGAATGAGACGACATGACCGGAAATTCCATCCACGAAGACGCGCCCCACCAATTTTTGGTCGAGGGAAGCGCGGGGTGCGGGCAGTTTGATCCGAGCATAATTAATTAGTGTGCGTGTGGACTTATGGACCGAAACACTCAAACATTAGCGGAAGAACGGTGGGGCGTGTCTTTGAATATGGAACGATCTATAGCTGGAACTGAAAGGGACAACCCACCACACCACCACCAATGGCCATTCCAACCTTCCGGTTATAACTGGCCGAATCGCGGGAGATGCGCGCGGAACTGCGTCTGCCGCGCGCAATGCTTGATTCCCTACAAGTTCTTTGTTCTAATCCTTGTCCCTATAAAGCGACTATAGCTGGAACTGTGGGCGATAGTACAGGGCGGGCTTACCTCCGCGCACATGAAGGCGAAGGTATCGCGGCCGGCGGGCAGCCCCCAGGCCGCGGCGGCCGCCAGCAGCGCGCCGCACGCCACGTGGATGCCGCCCAGCAGCGCCAGCAGCCGCGCGTGCGCCCACTTGCCCGTGTTGGGCGATGACGACAGCTGCAGGAAATAAAATAATCGCTATAATAACGTAAATGCCAAACCAGGAACCAGTCGTAAACCAATTCAATTATCAAAACTTTTTACGAAACAAAACATTCGCTATAATAACGTAAATGCCAAACCAGGAACCGTTTCAATTATCAAAACTGTTTAAATTAGTTCCTTCGATTGTTCGTTACGTTACAACCAAATGACAGCCACTACTGGATAAAAGCCTTCCCCAAGGATTTCCATAACGACCTCGGTCCCGCGCTGCCCGCATCCAGGTATGTACTTCCCGCGACCTTCAAGAGATCGTCGGTTCACCTAGTGGGAGGCCTGCGCTACGTCTTTCGGCCTGTGGTCGCCAGTCACTCGAGAACTTTTCTGTTCCAACAGCTATCAGCTCTACGAGGCTACGAGCTATGTGCCCCACCCGTGTTTTTCTTGAATATCTAGTTCAAGGTAGAGTTGTAATGTAAGTAAGCAGGAATAGGTACCTACATGCTTTATTCATAATTGTTAGTTTTATTGAGAAAAAAGTTTTAAACGTAATTTTACATTCAATCAAATCAACACATTCAGAAAACATAGAATTGCCAGATTAGCTACCTATAGTTCTGTTTCAAGCACAGGCTTGCGTTGTTTTTGACAAACTAACGAGGCATAATTCAATAGGTACTTGTATAGTTTTGCATGTCTTTTGTCACAAACATGTTTTTTCAGTTGAAAGAACAAGTACAGATTCCACTTTTACGCCTCGCAAATACTAATATTTTTTGGATTGCGGTATTTAGCATCGAATATTAAAAGAATTTCAATATGCAAGTTACACCATCTGCGTGACGTGTTTGGTTAACGTAGTTCAAATAACACGATTCGATACAGCAGGTACCTGCTCGCTCGCTATAAATGGCTTCAGAATCGATTCCCATTCAAATAAACAGCGGTCCGTTAATTTGCAACGTAAATTGATTTTTCATATTTGCATTTTATACACCTACTTAGGTCCGTCGTTTGCATATAAAGAACTTATCAAGGCGTATGTCTCGGGAAAATAACCGTACCGTCATTGGACTCAAAGAAGGAAAAGCAATGTTTATTGCTTTTCCTTCTTTGAGTCCAATGACGATTTTAATTTAAAAGGACATTTATTATCTCGCAAAAGAAATAAAGTAGGCAAAGTAAGAGGTCAAACGAGTCATTAATTTATGACGAATTACATTCAGAACAGAATAACATCTCAAAGCAAGTTCGCCAAGCACCTACACCCTGACAGAAGCTTTGAAAGTCGAGCAATAAACTAGGTGCAAACAAGTTACTTGGGAAAGTTGAAACTTATGCAATAGGAATATTACAATCACACACAGATCGATCGATAACGGTCAGGGAAATAGTATGTTTCAAAGTCCCTGCGAAGGCGAAGTCACCAAGGCGGTAGCAAGTTTATCGAGTAGACAACATCACACCACCCGTGAGTCACGCGAAGCGGCCCGCTCGCTCGTGACGTGGCACGCCGTGTTATGGCACACGTCACTTGTACTCATCTTTCAAGTTCAGTGACTTGCTCGCCGATTGATCCACGTCATCCAAAGACCAAACCTCCATGTAAAACATGGTGTCGAGTGCGCAATAGATGTCAACAAAAAATCATTGAAACATCATTGAACTATGCATAACAGACTACTGACGCAACAAAAAATATTTAAGACCCAAAGATTAAATACCTACGTAAAGATGTGATAGAGCACATAACAACAACATGGAACGCAACGCAACCCATTGTCTAACTAGCAAATATGTTGATACCTACAGAGAAATAAATAAATAAATAAATTGTAATAACAGTCAGTACTCTGACTCGGGTGCATCATAACAACAGAACAGCTGTTAAAGTTGTTTAACTTTCTCCGAGCCGCGGGCAGTGGTGGTGACTCACAGTGTTGTGGCCGAGAATAGCCGCGGCCACGCTATACGATGCTATCGCTGCAGCCCTTATTAGCGCATGCAAATTAACATGACCAACATCAACAATTCACTTGTTTCCGCAACTTGTGGCTTGAAAATAACCAGCTATCGAATTAAAATATTGAAATTTTTAAAACAGCATGTTAATTAGTTAAGAATTAATCATCACGTTTAAGGCAAACGATAAAATGCAGTAAGTAAGTATGTCATCGATAAAAACTGTCACAAATAAGCCGAAAATGACCGCCACTTTTTAAAAATCTGCATTCATAAGGTGTTAAAAGAACTTGAAAAAAAAGACACTTTTAAAGAGAAAGTATAGGTACTACAACTTTGGGCAAATAACCAACCACATGCGCTGGCATTATCTAATGATGAATAAGAAGAGTACAGAGCGGTTAGCGATAATAATGATGATGATAATTAAACACCAAAAATACTCCTTTGAAACCGAAAGACTAATAATAACTAACAAGTATGGTGGCTGATGAAGAAAACCGAAGCAAACGCCAAGAATTTTGCAATGTGAACTATTTACATAAACTTCATTTTGTTGATCCAGCAGATTCAATAATCAGATTTCAGTAAACCTTTTCCACGTCTAAGCTTAAGCTGTACTAAGCATATTATTCAAATTTTCTTAGCAAAATGTACAATGTCTCAACGTGGGTTGAAGTTCAATGAGTGAAAAAGTTCACGGCTATCTTATTGTTTCGCGTGGAGTCGCGAAAGGGTCAAACAAAACCCTTCCTGTAAAACAGTAGCTAAAACGATGGTGCTGTTAACACCAAAAAAGTTGCCTAGAGGAAATTCTGATCTTCAATCAAATGATGTAAGTAAGTCTGATTATGGCTCGACGTGTCATTTAACTTTGTTTTTAACCGCAACGAGGAAGCTCTTGGCCAGCATCTCACCTGATGGAAAGTGATGAATAGTCCGAAGGTAGAAGCGAACTTCACCCGGAATCCTCAACCATAGAGTCTTAAATTTTGGAATATAATAGAGTGTGTGTGTGGATACTCACATAGTCGAACCTGTCCTTGCAGAGCTGTCCCAGCAGGTGCAGGAAGCCGACGGCCGTGAACCAGGCGCACCACAGCAGCACCTCGTCCATGTACTGCACGTTGACGACGCCGAACACGAAGATGAACTTGTAGAACACGAAGTTCCACAGCTTGTCCTTGAGCCGCTGCGCCTCGCCCACGCGCAGCCGCCCGAACACGGCGCGCTGCAGCGCCAGCCCGAACAGCGCCAGCGCGCAGTACGCGATGTTGATCACGGTCTGCAACAACCATCACGGCTCAATCGTCTCCTCTCGTCTTACTTGCAGCTCCTGTCCTATGTCTGGCCAGGATATTATAAAAGATACAAAATATTCATTAGGAAAATCCGTAATTTTATTTTGATAGAGAAATCAGCTTAGTACCTATCTGATTTCTGAATAAAATATTGAGAGAGATACAAAAAATGTTGGTGAAAAAAGGTGGTAAAAATGTATGCTGTGCTGTGTGCTCGACAAAAGAAAGAAGGTAAACCAGGCAACTATCTTATACTAAGCATAGTTTGGTGAACCATTTATTACGTCTCTCATAATTTGTATAGCATTTGTAAGTAACCGAATATCTATCATGGGATACAAACGTAACAGCGTCAGCACATTATCAATGTTATTATTATTTTACTACTTGAATGATAAGATAATATTGAACTGCTTAAAACAGTTTGTTTTGGTGGGAGAGCAACGCGATGCGACCTTCAGATTGCACGAAAACGAAAACAAAGTTAGTTCACACTAAATTAAAAAGATAAGCTTTAAAAACACGTTAACTAACATTTACTTATTTTAATAGAGTTTCCACTAAAGATAAGAAAACTTTGTCAGTGCAATAACTCGTTAACTGATGATTTTACATAAAGATGCGCACTGCAGTTTGCATACGAATCTACACTAATAGCATTCAATGTGAATCCTCATTGAAATTTTTAGAATTTTAATTTCCGCTGCTAAGCGGATTATCAAGGAAATTAACCACCTAGAAAACCTTTGTCTGTCCAGTATGGAACCAAATTGACTGATTTAAGATTAAAATTAAAAATAATCTGTTTTGATGTGATACGTTGCATACTATCTATGCAAAACAGTCTGGCTCTAATACCTACTGGTCAGATCGGTAAAAAATATTCATTGATTAATACAATAATGTTATTCCTGCATGTGTTTTTTTTATGTGATAGGAGGCAAACGAGCTGACGGATCACCTGATGGTAAGTGTTTTTTTTGCAAGCAATTGGTTACGTACGCGTGGTCCGACTCTAGCGAAGTTGTGTCTACACTTCGACCTTATCCGACCAGTGAAGGCCCCATGAGTCCCTTCCCTAGGGAAGGTAAGCCTAAAGAAATTGATCTGAAGCGAATAGATCGAGGTCGGCAAAGGCTAGAGGTATACAGAAAGGAGTCGGAAGTTGTAATTCTAAATCTTTCCAGAGCTATACGAGTGGCAGGCGAATGCCGTGCATGCACTGTTGAACAGTGATTTCCTGACATTATTGTTGCATGAACGGCGTTAATGAGCGCGGTCAACGACTTGCCTTAGATTGAGTTAGACGTCGACACATCTTAACATTTTCACATGTGCACACAAAATATCAGGACTGTTTAAACAGATTCAAGGCCGTTAGCGTTGTAATCTATGCTAGAACTAATCGTGGTTACCTTAATAAACTTGTATGTGTGCATTAAACATTACGTACCTACATACCAATTTACAGAGTGTGTAATTAAATGCAGTGATCCAAGTAATTATTCAAAGGAATCTCATTATCCACTTATGGCTAGATCTCGAACCTTTTGAAGCCTTTTCAATAGGAAATTAAGTAATCTTGAGAAAAGTTTTGCATTTACCTAAGCAATGACAAGAGTTTGTATCGCGAATGATACAATCAACTCTTACTCCATCCACCCATTCGTATTTTGTTTGTGGTACATAATAGGTGATCTTCAACGCCACTCTTGTGGCGGAGTTTTGGGCTGACACTGTGTAGGTTTGTTGTCGACACGAAAAGAAGAAGAAGAATAGGTGATCTACCTATGCAGGACTCTTAACACGTGTCTGTGCCAAAAGATACTGTAAAACGTAAAACAGACTTTTGCATTATAATATTAATACACAGTCAGGTAAGTACTGCTACTTACCTGACTGTGTATTAATTATTATGGCCTGCGCCATGGCCAATACTTTGAGCTGTACATTCAAACAACCAAGTAAAATCGTAGGCAATTTTTGAACATTTGGAAAACCACTGATAACATAACGGAAAGTACGTAGTTAGTATGTAAACTATCTAACATCCTGCATAAATTATTTAGGTGCTTAGTTTTTTGTTTGTCTTGCCTTTGTTGTCTGAAAAAATCGAGTACATATACTTATCATATCTATTTTTAATTCAGAAGCTTCCGAAAAGGTATAAATAATGTTCAAGCCATTAAAAAGGTTGAGAGCCTATGCATTTTTCATCAAACTGATTTATGAAGTAGTTAACCTCGTACACTGGCATTATTCTGCAAAATGCAACGAACACATTTTATAAGGTTGCCCATGTCAAGTTGTTTACCTACTTTTATCTGTTTCCCTTGCTGGATATTTTCAACCTACCTAAATATGGGTTAATGTTCTTACCTACTATTATAATAGGATAAAAGGACTAAAAAGTCAAGTAAGGTAATAGGCTCTTGACTCTACTTAGTGGCTACGTTCGCAGCTCGGTCCAGCCAGCTTCATTCTGGTGTGGTGTACAAACTATGATCTTAGCAGAGCAGCCCAGCTAGTCAGCTACATACAGCTAATCACGTCTAAACAATGAGAGGCAATAATGTCGCAAAAGATGGATTTCATAAAAATACGTCACTAGCAGTCAGTAGCGTTTCATCGTTAGTTTATTCTTCCATCATCAAATCTATGTCGTTTTCTACTCACGCTATCGCAAATGAATGCAAAAAGTGGGATTATTATACAGTTTGGCGTGTCGGATGGGTTTTCTGGTTGATATTATTATGTAAAGTGGCGGATCCGTATGGTCGCGCGTGATGTCACTCGGCAGAACAATCGCTGTCCGCTGCGGAGGCGCAGCTGAACAAACTATTCCGGACAAATTACTGTACACTGCTGTATGACGGTATAGTTTATTTGCAGAATTTTGTACAATTAACTGACTTTCAAAGGTGACCTAGGTATAGCATCTTCTACTTACTTCAATATCAGAAACAGACGGTTAGGGTTGATTTTAAAGAGGACTGAAGCCGCGGCATGAAAAATTTGATCAGCCCAGCTGCAACAATATTATTGTCTGTACTTTTAATGCGAGCACATTTGTTTATAATTGCCGCTTTAATTAGGATTCCAGAAAGATTGTCTTTATTTCCTTATAAAGCAATTAAAATACAGAGTGCCACCTGCTCGTGTACGCCAGACCGCAATAAGCGTAAAGTAAATGGTCGAGGCTATCTCTCGACTGAATGATGATAACGCTAATTTTCACTTCCATTAGTGAAATATCCGAAATACATTTAAACTTACTTGCCAGTTCATCTTATTTTTTTAAATGGATAAATTAGACCAAGGATTCTTGAGCGATATCTCTCGGAATCTCTCTAGCTCTCTAGCGGAATTTCGAAAATGAGCGCTTTGTTTTATAATTGGCGACGAGCTTTCAGATTTCGGAAACGAATATAAAAAAAAATCTGTGTTCTATTGGTATCGGTTTTTTGTCTGCTGATATTCATAAGAATTATTTGTTTCTATTCATCAAAGAATTGTGTGTTTCTTCTCCTTCTGTGTTTCTTGGAAGAAATAGCTCTTCCTAACCATAAGATCGCCTAAATTGCTCCGTTTTAATCCTATGTACATATTTGAGTTTGAAACCTCGTGTGCCTACGTCGTCACGTTTGTCTGACACACGTTTGTTCGGAACTCACGTTATAAAAAATGACACACCACCTACCTGATCAGGCGGTATGGTAATTAAAATACATGTTTAAAAAAATAAAAGTCGGCGAAACATATTATCAACAAACAAGTCAATATGGAAATAATGACGGAAAATCTGCACAGAACATAAAATAATGTATAAGCTAATATTTACGACAATGAACGACTGGTGACTACTTTACTGAACCACAAAATAGACATTTTGTGACTGAAACTAGGTTTTCTGGTGGTTTTTGATAAGTTATGCACTGGCATGGCCCACTTTACTGTGCCCACTAGACAGTGGTACTGGTAGCCTAGTTATGTTATAAATTATTCTGCGAAGTGTAAAAGCATTTTTAAAAACCTGAAATAAATTTAGGGATGTCAAGTCCATATAGAGTAGGTAGACTTTCGATAGCATTTTTTGTTCGTAAACAAAGTCGACTTTTGAATATTGTTGATTTTAAGGTTTAATAATTTTCGGCATCAACTCCATAAAAACCGGCATTTTGCATAACATAATTTAGCAACAATTTTTTTTATTACTTATTCCGAAAGCGACTATTTTCGCCCTACATTGGCTACACTTTACAGCAGAGAGACACCTTTTCCATAAACATAAATGCATTTAATCTTCATGCATAGGTATTGGAAACTTTTTGGCAAACAAAATCTTAATTTTATTGTTGAATGGTCTCTTTGGAATGGAAATTATTCTGTGCATTTTAAAACAATCATAAAATAATTATTTATATCATGTAATAATAACTTGGGAACAATATGAAATTAAATAATAATAGCTCTTTCCTGGGGGGCACTCTGATAATATAAATATGATATGCTTTGAGCAAGCTTTAAATAAAAACACTTAATTTTAGTTGTAGTTAGTAATGAAATAGTTTCTAATTAATTTATTTTAAAAAAAAACTCAATATAGGTACAAGGACACTGAAATTTATTTGATGCTGTGTTGAGCTGTTTCAAGTTAGATGAATACAAAATTGTGGTAAAAAAAACAAAAAAATCTAATATTACCTCAGCCACCTCATACAAATTGAGAGTAAAATTGATAAGTAAAAGTAATGAATTAAGTTAAAAAATAATCGGGACTATTCCCACCTCTCGTTCCCACCACTGCAACTCCTGTGTAGCCAGGATCTACAGCTTGACCGCCACAAAAACCCAACCAATGAAGGTCAAGTTAAAAAATAATATGAAAAGATTATAAAGATTTTTTATAATAAATACAGACATACACATAGAAATGATGAATATACAAAATGATATATTGGAAAACACCTAAAAATATTACATATCAAATAAGTAAGAAAATTGGCAACTAAAATATTTTAACATCTTCTCTGTCTATGAATAACACCCACTGTTTACATTCTCACTTGGCACCAAGCCCATTGTAGCACCATTTTTATTTAATTCTGTGTTTACAGTAGTAACTACAGCCAAAGTGCTTCAGAGTTATCATGACAAAATATATTTTACATTATTATTCTTGCTCGAATGCTGAAATAGCATTCTGTCAGATGTGTTAAAAAAATAAACCTCATAAAGAAATCCTTGTTTACATTAAAACACTCACCCACATACACAGTGGCTCCTGCATCATGAACGTCATCACCTCCACGAACTGCTCGCTGATGTTCCTGGTGGCATTGGAGGCCTCCAGCGAAGGCACCACCGGAGGCTGCACCATACTCAGCGCTTCACCGTCGCCCTCGGCATCCATGGCTTCGTGCCGCTGCAGCGTCGCGTTGGCGCGCCAGTTCGGGTCACTAGTCACACTCAACGCATGATACACAGCCACCGACAGCAACAGAACACTTCCCGCTGTATAAACCTTGAGGTTCGGCAAGGGCAACCTGTCTACTAGTGTCACAGGCATATTGCATGCATCCAAATAAATACTAACGCGTTAAACACTCGTTTTAATCACACCACAATTTCGAACTAATGACATTTGATTGTAGAGTTGATACGCGTTATTACATATCGGTTGATCAGACGCAATAGTATTGAAATAGAAAATACGAAAGACAAGAAAAACAACACAGATTCCTCCAGCCGTCTCGTGACTTTTCTATTCGTTTGACATGGACAACCGAAGATATGGCAAAGGAAATGTTTATTGAACTATGAATCTTAAGTAGCATTTCATTTTTATAAGTAGGTAAGCTGTACAGTTATCGATATTTTTGCGTTAATTAAATTTAAAAGAACAAAATGTCATTCAAGGATATTTTGGTGATGTGAAATGTTGTAATTCAATTTTTTTTATATAATCGATAAATAAAAAAAAGTCTATCACAATAATATTTTGACAGATGATATGATAATTTTCGGGGTGCTATGTTCAAATAATACTCAGCCATGTTAGCACCGGTAGATAAAATCGATAAAACGCCGCAATAGCAGCTTTATCACGGCGCGCATCTTACTTAGCCCTGAAGCACGTGTTTTGCCCTACACAAGCAACAAAAATATTTCAACAACACATTACCGGCTGTATTCGGTATCGGTATGGTCCATACCAAGGCAAAGTATAAAATTAATAGTAATTTCTTACATAAACTGAAAGTTTTAGGCATTTTATGCATTGCCTAACGACTGCAATAAGGCTATACTTCTAATTTCTATTAAAAGTAATTATGGATAGATATTTACGGACAATGTGTCAATAAAAGGGTTATCAGCAACTTTTATATCTATATGTCGTACGTAGACGTAGGTAGGTTTTATCTGTATGCATGAGTCTACTACTAAATTGAAATGATTTTACCAATTTTAAACAATTATTATACTTGTTAGGAACATCTCTAAAGCTGATGTCATGCGCATGACAGCTATCATCTATCTGTCTGATCTGTCAAATTAGACACCGAAACCGAAACGTCAGAAGAATAGTTCGTTTCCCCTTGTTTTCCGATAAAATAAAAGTGTTTTTCATGTAACAACAATAAAAATTACAAAATGTCTGAAAGAGATTATGCTCCGCTTAGTATAGCCTGCGTTCGTGGGCTATGCGACAAATTATATGATAAGAGAAAGTTTGCTGGTGTTGAAATAGAAAAGTAGGTGTATTATTGATAACCAAACATCTAATTTTGCTTGCGAGTAGTATTACATTAATCTATTATACATTATTTGTTCTTTGCATTATAAAACAAACGATGTGCCATGCCTCTAGAGTCTGATTCTGAAGGTTACTTGATGGTGTTGTTAGAGCTCTAAAAATCTGTATGATTTCAGAATGGTAAAGGATTTCAGCGACGCAAACAACACTAGTCAGATCAAGAGGCTGATCAGAGTATTGGGCCAAGACCTGATGTCTTCAACCAACCCCAATGTCAAGAATGGTGCGTTGATGGGCCTCTCCTCAGTTGCTGTTGGATTAGGAAAGGTCTGGTTGATTGCTACTAACATTTCCTGTAGAATGTGTAAAAAGAGCTAAAGTATCAATTTAAAAGTAACATTTTGATGTTCATGTCACTAAAAACAATGAAAATAGGTAATTAATGGTACTATTCACAACAATAAATTTCATGAAAATAGTAAACAACGAATTGAGACCCTCATCTAAAAACTGAGGCTGACTAAAATCCACACAGGCAGTTACTTAGTGTTAGAAGTTACAAAAAGTAGCTAGATCATTATCAAAATGGTTGCATAATTAATTATTTAAACAGGTAGGTACTTAAGATCTAATTAAGGTGTAAACAGATAGGTANGGCAAATACGCCGTGACACCCAAAGTGGTCAGTTTGCAACACGTCTTTGTTACACTTGGAATAAGCTGGTGTTGTCAACTTATAGCCACTTTGGGTGTCACGAACTATTCGAAGCTGACTGTGTACAGGTTAGCAACTACGTAAAGACGACACGACACGCGGCATCGGCCAATAGGGGGTGTGACAGTGACACTACCAGTAGTACCAGTCAATGAGCTACTGTATTTGCGCTCACTCACTAGTAGACGCCACTAGGGAATGAAAAGGTCTTCTAAGGAAGAGAGTAATTTACAGTCTAGACTCTAGAGTAAGCTCTACAGTAGCGCCAAAAGATGCAAAATTAAATATGGTGGTCCTCAATGTGCTGTAATAGAATTGATAAATTATTAATAATATCTGAAGACCGAATACCAGTTCTATTGAAATAAAACTACAATCAAAACATCGCTGCGCTGTGAAGCCTTCAACCTAAGTGGTACCGTAAGTGACATTCAAGTAACATTCAACTTACATAAAAACTCAAAAATACAACTCAAATTAAATAGAATCACAAACTTCTGTGATTAAAAATTCATGCATATTGACTGTTGTCCAAAGGTCGAAAATTGTTTTATTCATGCTCTCTGTGAGAGACTCCTGCTTCATTTTGTTAAATAAAGTCTTCTACCGCGCAATTATTGACCTTGACCAAATCAGTCCAATTTTAAAACCATTCTCTCGCATTGCTGAGATCATTAAAATGTTCCGTCTAAATATTTATCCATGCCATGATGCCTTGTAGGCAGAATCACAAATGTATACATACGTATCTAATGTAGTCTGTAAATAGAACTTTCTATGTATTTATTTCGTTTACCTCCCTTAAGCATTAGTCATTGTAGGTTAATCTTACCACAAATACCATCAATAACTGCTTTTTAATTAATTAAGATGAAAAAACAAAACGTTAACGGAATGAAAACGTTTAGTAGATCATTAAAGAGCATTGTGTTTTCTTAAATTCTTTAGTTAATACAATGACAATAAAAAGGTGCCATTTCCCCCGTACCACTTGTAGACGTTGTAGTGTGAAAACCTTAATACTTACTTAGGCTCAAGAAAAACAACGAGCATTGTTATCTATTACGCACACCCTTTGTATTCAATGCCATTGTTTATTGGCGCATTACAAAAGTATTAATGACGTTTTGTAAGTACGCTTCTTTTTAAACTTTGTTAAAAATACCAACCAAATAGAGAACCTCCTCCTTTTGTTGAAGTTGGTTAAAAAGAAAGTTAACTTACAGCACAGAAAATAAATATCTTTATTTATTTANTGGTTGCATAATTAATTATTTAAACAGGTAGGTACTTAAGATCTAATTAAGGTGTAAACAGATAGGTAATTAACATGATATTGTTTATCCAACATAAATATTGCATTACAGTAAATGATGGTTTTTAAAGCCAGTTTTGGTTTTTGAATGTTTATTCTTAATGATTTTATAATGGGTATTTAGAAGAAATAAGTGGAATATTTTGAAAATCATTGGTTGGTAGGTAATGATAAATTTATCAATGAAAATAAATGTGGCAATCACATTATCATTACATAATTTTATTGGATTACAGGAATTGCATTAAATATTAAATTTAAAGATAATAGAAATATGCAAAATTTTCTTTTAGAACAGTGTTTTTCAACCTGTGGGTCGCGAGCTCCTGGGGTCCAGCCTCTATAGGGGGGTCACGAAAGGTCGTAAAAACTACCTCAGTAAAAAAAACAGTAAAGTTTTAAAGATCTGGGGGCAGTGGGCAGTCCAGGCCAGGAAATCTTTAACGTTTTACATAAATATATTGACTTGGCCATCGCATGAAAACACGTGTATATTAAATTATTTAGTGCGATGGCCAAGTCAATAATTTATGTAAAACTTTAAAGATTTCCTGGCCTGGACTTGGTATTACATGGATCTCACAACTTTTTACCGTAGAACAACTGAGTTGCGAGACTTGGTTTTTTTGACAAGTATTGTTTTTGATGGGATAGATTTATCTGAAATTCAGTTAACGGCGCGCGCCTAACCGGTGAGCACGCACACACACGCATCTCTGTTTGCGCTCGCTGCTCGGCCGTTATTTATTGTGAAATTTGTCAAATAATACAATCCAAGATGTTCAACTGTCCATTGTGTAACAATAACTGCTCGGACGGTGTTAGATGCTCGAAGTGCACTGTGTCATACTGTTTCTCGTGTGCAAACATAACTGAAGCTAACTATCGTAAACTTGGGCCGGCACGACAAGCCAGCATCCAATGTACCAGTTGCAAGACCAACCAATCTCATGTGGCTGCGATGTCCCCTGGAGTGCCGTCACCTTCCTCTGCTGCGACCCTTGATCTTGTCCTACAGGAGTTGCGCAGCGGTATTAATGGAATAAATCACCGCCTTGAGCAGCTACCGTCCATCGTTCAAGATATAAAAAACATGAAGGATAACTTACAAAATCTCGAAGTATCGTTGAGTGGCATAAGTCAAGAAGTATCTGGAAACACAATTAAACTGGCGAAAGTTGAGGAAAGAGTAAATAATCTGGAAAAACGCCCCCAAGCTGATACAGACTACCCTCAGCTACGGGCTGAAATTACCAAATTATCTAATGATCTCACTATCAAGGACCAATTGTTGAGATTTAACAACATAGAAATCAAGGGAATCCCACAGAAAAAAAACGAGAATTTGTTTGAGGTACTGTGTAAAATTGGGAACGCACTAGGCCAACACATTGATAAAAATGACATCAATTTTATAACCCGTGCGCGCTCCACAACCCAACAGAAGCCAATTATAGTGGGTTTCTTAGTCAGATATAAGAAACAAGACTTTGTGGCCTCCGCCAGGCTACGCAGACCAGGCCTGACGGCCGAGGACCTGGGCTTCGCGGGAGACCCGACCAAGATCTACGTAAACGACCACCTAACAAAAGAAAACAAGCAACTTCTCACCAAAACCAAGAGGATAGCCGCTGAACGGGGATATAACTATGTATGGATTCAGAACTGCAAAATTCTAGTCAGGAAAAATGAAACATCTCCAATTCTAGCCATAAACAGTGATAGTGATCTCCCTAAAATTAAATGACTATTTTCTGTGTCTCAGTTAGTTCTAAAATACTACGAACCTATAGTATACCTAATTCTTTCTGTATTTGTGTTATGTTTTGTGTACAAGCCATACCAAGATGTCGAAATGTCGTTAAAAAAACAGTATGTATCATTTAATTTTGTTTTTTTGAAGTCTAATTGCCAAAATGTCTCCAACTCTCATTTAATGTCGTTAAATTGCTACTTCAATCATGATTTAATAAACAGAGTACTTAATTACCTATTTATTATCTGTTTTTTACCTATACCTGTGCATAATATAGCAAGTAGAATTCCTGACACATATGCAATTCTTTATTTTGGTTACATACACAGCCTCTTCTACATATTTACTATAAAAATACGTCATCATTTATCTCACTTATGCCACTGCCGACCTACGAGTCGCATAATACTTACTTATTTTGCATACCAAACGATTTACCTACCTCAACTCAATTATGTAGACGCATTCACTTTACACAGTTATAAATTATATTGTGCCGCCCTCGCTCCGTTCACCTCTGACATTCTAAATACATTACTGAATACGTGCTTATTTATTTACTGTTGTGTGGTTCGGCCCGGCCGAAAATTATATTTTGGCCGGACCGTAATCGATAATGGTTAATATTTACTATCAGAATGTCAGGGGTCTGCGGACGAAGACGGTACAGTTTAAACGAAGTGTGCAACTACACAACTATGATATTGTGCTGTTAACTGAGACGTGGCTACTTGATGGAATTAGTAATAATGAACTATTCAGTGATGTGTATATGGTGTGGCGGCGAGACCGCGACTACTCGAGTGTCGGGCAGTCGCGCGGAGGTGGGGTCCTCATTGCGATCCGCCGTGACCTTGTAGCGCACGCGCGCCCCGAATGGCATTCTACAGCGGAAGATATTTGGGTTTCTCTTGATATTGGTGCGAACAAAACAAATAATTATCCTTTTACATTACATATTGGCTGTATATATTTATGCGAACAAAATCAGGGTTTATCTCTCGCCACGCAATTATCTAATTTTTCTGACAAAGTCCTTTCTGCCTGTGCTAGTAGTCCTCATGACAAATTTTTTATAGCCGGTGACTTTAACCTGAGCGATATTTCTTGGTGCTCGCTAAGTCACACTACTCATCTTACTCCTACATTTCGCAGTACTGATATCAATCATAGCGAAATACAAGACCTATTGAATATTTGCGACCTGAACCAATTTAATAACATTAGGAATCATAGGAGCGAGTTACTTGACCTAGTTTTGTCAAATAGTGATGTGTCGGTTTTCCACTGCACTGAACCACTGGTGGAGGAAGATGCTTACCATCCAGCCCTAATTTGCCACTTAAACTCCATTGAGCTACCTGATTTAAAGCCTCAGCCTAGACCCAAATATCTTTACAACAAGGGAGATTTTACCGCCATATGCACTGATCTTGACAACCAGGACTGGGATACCCTTCTGTCCTGTGGGACGGTGGACGATGCGGTCGAGTCATTTAACACTTTACTATGTACCTTAAGAGACAAGTATATACCGTCTAAATCTGTCCACCCGGGTCGATACCCAGTGTGGTACTCTCCTGCGTTGAAGAAAATCCTTAAAGAAAAAAATAAGGTTCATAAAAAACTTAGGATATATGGTAATAGGGCCGATTATGTCACATTCAAAGTTCTACGGGAGCGAGTAAAAAGGGTGGAACAGGAATGCTTTGATATTTATATAAAGAATACTGAACTTTCCATTCGTGATAATCCTAAAGCTTTCTGGTCCTACATACATGCTAGCTCGAAACATAGCTCGTATCCCTCCTCTATGACTATTGATAATAGTACCGTAACGTCAGGTGACGAGATCTGTAATGCCTTTGCCGAGTTCTTTAGCTCTAACTTTCTGAAACCGGGTTCTGAAACTAATGTTCCTCCCAGTGATACTTCGTTGTCGGATGTGACACTCTCGGTCTCTCCCGATATTTGCTCTATCGAAATCGTTGAAGAAAAAGTGTACAATATTCTAAAATCACTCGATTGCAATAAGTCGGCGGGACCAGACGGCTTGCACCCGGTCCTTATTTCAAGATGCGCGGAAAATCTGACTTTTCCTATTAGTTATTTGTTTAACCGTTCTATAAAAGAAGGTGTGGTACCTAGGATCTGGAAAACCGCGACCGTCACTCCTATTCATAAAAAAGGCCCTAAACGTGAGATTGCAAATTANGATAACCAAACATCTAATTTTGCTTGCGAGTAGTATTACATTAATCTAGTATACATTATTTGTTCTTTGCATTATAAAACAAACGATGTGCCATGCCTCAGAGTCTGATTCTGAAGGTTACTTGATGGTGTTGTTAGAGCTCTAAAAATCTGTATGATTTCAGAATGGTAAAGGATTTCAGCGACGCAAACAACACTAGTCAGATCAAGAGGCTGATCAGAGTATTGGGCCAAGACCTGATGTCTTCAACCAACCCCAATGTCAAGAATGGTGCGTTGATGGGCCTCTCCTCAGTTGCTGTTGGATTAGGAAAGGTCTGGTTGATTGCTACTAACATTTCCTGTAGAATGTGTAAAAAGAGCTAAAGTATCAATTTAAAAGTAACATTTTGATGTTCATGTCACTAAAAACAATGAAAATAGGTAATTAATGGTACTATTCACAACAATAAATTTCATGAAAATAGTAAACAACGAATTGAGACCCTCATCTAAAAACTGAGGCTGACTAAAATCCACACAGGCAGTTACTTAGTGTTAGAAGTTACAAAAAGTAGCTAGATCATTATCAAAACGGTTGCATAATTAATTATTTAAACAGGTACTTAAGATCTAATTAAGGTGTAAACAGATAGGTAATTAACATGATATTGTTTATCCAACATAAATATTGCATTACAGTAAATGATGGTTTTTAAAGCCAGTTTTGGTTTTTGAATGTTTATTCTTAATGAACTTATAATGGGTATTTAGAAGAAATAAATGGAATATTTTGAGTATCATTGGTTGGTAGGTAATGATAAATTATCAATGAAAATAAATGTGGCAATCACATTATCATTACATAATTTTATTGGATTACAGGAATTGCATTAAATATTAAATTTAAAGATAAGAAATATGCAAAATTTTCTTTTAGAACAGTGTTTTTCAACCTGTGGATCGCGAGCTCCTGGGGTCCAGCCTCTATAGGGGGGTCACGAAAGGTCGTAAAAACTACCTCAGTAAAAAAAACAGCAAAGTTTTAAAGATCTTTTAAATATATTGACTTGGCCATCGCATGAAAACACGTGTAAATTAAATTATTTAGTGTGATGGCCAAGTCAATAATTTATGTAAAACGTTAAAGATTTCCTGGCCTGGACTTGGTATTACATGGATCTCACAACTTTTTACTGTAGAACCACTGAGTTGCGAGACTTGGTTTTTTTGACAAGTATTGTTTTTGATGGGATAGATTTATCTGAAATCTAATTATGCAAATGTATAAATGTTGTGTGGACTGAAAAATTCGGTCCCTACAACATCTAAGAAACCTTAAAAAATGTGCGAAAAAAAAGCGAACGGTCGGGGCGTCGCAAAATATTTTTTCATACTAGGGGGGTCTAGGTGGAAAACCTTGGGGGAGGCCTTTGTCCAGCAGTGGACGTCATTTGGCTGAAACGAACGAACTAGGGGGGTCATGCCATGAAAAAGGTTGAAAAACACTGTTTTAGAAGATAGGGTAGGTAGTGGAAAGTCTCTTCTTTGTCTACATTATGTTTTATCCTTAAGTGTATAAGCGAGTGCAGGGCCTCCCTAAAAACGTAATCGTCGAGCTGTCCCGTCCCACGCAGGGCTGCGTGACGTACCTGCCGGAGCTGACGCACCCCATCGTGGCGTGCCTGAGCGAGAGCGAGTCGCGCGTGCGCTACCAGGCGGCCGAGGCGCTGTTCAACGTGCTCAAGATCGCGCGCGGCGCCGCGCTCGCGCACTTCCCGCCCGTGTTCGACGCGCTGGCGCGCCTCGCCGCCGACCCCGAGCCGCAGGTCAAGCAGGGCGCCGAGCTGCTGGACCGCCTGCTGAAGGTAGAACCCACCACCACCCATGGTTCTTCCTGCCTCACGGCGTACGAACCGAATCTCGGGAGAGCGCGCGGGTACTTGCTCTGGGCTCTTTTCCCCGGGCGCTTTGCTTGACTCCCTACAAATTTCTCTGATCCATAATGTCCCTTCTCATAGTCAATTCTCCCCTTCTGGGGCTTGACACCACAAATACGGTACTTCGCGTCGGGCTGCTATCGTTGATAAATGTCATCGCTTCTCTCATAACTTCGCCTGATTGTGTGCCAGGAGTGCGCGAACTCGCGCAGCGCGATCCAGTTACTGCGACTACTCGTGAGGTCCTGGTGATAAACAGGTCCTTGCTCGGCTCTCCGTATCGCATCCAGCATCTTCTGTCGAGCTTCGTCATAGAGGTTACATTCCCAAAGTGCGTGATCGCGGCTCTCTTCGACTTCCTCGCCGCATGGGCATAGTGCAGACTCGCACAGTGTCATCCTGTGTAGGCGCTGCCTGACGCACCCGTNAAAAAAGTTAGCACTTTGAGTGACTGTATTCACTTGCAGCAGGATCTGGATAGACTGCACCGTTATTGTATCTTAAATAAACTTGATCTTAACATTTCCAAATGTAGCTGTATGACATTCACTAGNGCACCCGTGCCCAGTTAACAATTGGGAAACCACGTACGTAATCAGGTTCAACCCAACCGAGTGAGAGCCTCACCGCCACGATGGGAAAGAACTGGTACAGCTCACGTCCGTCGCTGCTGGCATCCCACCACTCGGCTCGCTCGGCTGCTGAAGGTATGCGGGGCTGGGCTTGTGTGCGGCGCCGGGCCCGTGCCGATTAAATAATGATATAACTGCAGTCAGGTGTAATAAATAGTATTCAGTAGCAGTAATAATCTTGAGAATGGATTTTACGACCACACTCCACACAAGATAAACAAATGCCTTTATTGTTTTGTTATTGAGAAAACAAAAGCAATGTCCTTATGCCCTTCCCACAAGAAAATAACAGATAAAGGTTGAAACTTATGTATAATTTACTTATCGATTTCATTTTTACAGCAGCTGAACTCATATGTGGTCGCGTTTTTATCTTACGTTTCTATATTTTGTTTATCAATTGTAGTTTTAACGCGTTTTGAACATTTGTCGTGTCCCGCTCGGGCAGGACATCGTGACGGAGAGCCCGGCGTTCGACCTGGCGGCGTTCGTGCCGATGCTGCGCGAGCGCATCTACACGCGCAACGCCTTCGCGCGCCAGTTCATCGTGTCGTGGGTGGCCGTGCTGGACGCCGTGCCCGACATCGACCTCATCGCGCACCTGCCCGAGCTGCTCGACGGGCTCTTCAACATGCTGGACGACCCCAACCCCGAGATACGCCGCATGTGAGTACACTGATGGTGCGTCCACATTGGGCGTACGGGCTCGCGCGCCAGTTCATCGTGTCGTGGGTGGCCGTGCTGGACGCCGTGCCCGACATCGACCTCATCGCGCACCTGCCCGAGCTGCTCGACGGGCTCTTCAACATGCTGGACGACCCCAACCCCGAGATACGCCGCATGTGAGTACACTGATGGTGCGTCCACATTGGGCGTACGGGCTCGCGCGCCAGTTCATCGTGTCGTGGGTGGCCGTGCTGGACGCCGTGCCCGACATCGACCTCATCGCGCACCTGCCCGAGCTGCTCGACGGGCTCTTCAACATGCTGGACGACCCCAACCCCGAGATACGCCGCATGTGAGTCCACTGATGATAACGCAAGTCCCAAGGCATTGAATGGAGAAGTTTTCAATTTTTTTCTTTTAATTAAACTTGAAAATATAAGTAAAACTAATAATAACTGTGAAATAATCATGAAAATATCTATACAAATAAAGAAATTACAGGGCTCCAAAGTTGCGCATAACAAACATTTCGCGCCATTTGATCTGTGACGTCACGGCACATAATTGGAGTACAAACAGTAAATCACCCCTGGTCCAGTGCTGATGACAGATCCAATTTTGTTTTAAATCTAGTAGGTAGTTTTTAATTTTTCAGCCAGGGTCACTCAAGATTCTTTCTTAGTAAAATTGTGTAACCTTTTTTGACTGATCCTAGACCTGACCATATTTAAAAAGAAAAAGAAGACTTTGACATTATAGTGTCATTCTCGACAATGCGTTAGGGGTGGTAGGCATTGTGATTGAAACTTGAACAGGTGGTCTGACATCACGGCACCGCCTATTTTTAAGTTCCACGCGAAAATATAGAGGTAATTTAAATTATTAATTTCTCAGCCATTTCTTGATAGATTTCAAAAATAACTTCACTGGCTTTTTAGTTTTGGTCTATATTTTAATCCCATTCAGTGAAATCTAATGTTTTTAACATCACGAAACTTGTCCATTCTCAGTGAGCCGAGACTGCCCCCGATCACTCGAAAAAGTTGATGGGTCGACAGGCTAATCACGTTCTGAGGGGGGTTATATTTTAGCATTGAGATCTTAGAGATATTTTGTTCGCTGCAGGTGCGACGTGCAGCTGAGCGAGTTCCTGCGCAGCATCAAGAAGGACCCGTCGCGCGCGCACTTCCAGGCCATGCTCAACATCCTCATCACGCACGCGCAGTCGCCCGAGGAGCTCGTGCAGGTCGGCGCCTCCCACTAACCTCTTAAGGCCGGGTTCCCACTATGCCGGACCGGCAGATCTCCCGGTCCGGTAAAATCGCCGGAAGGCCTAGCGGCAGTACAAATTATGTATATGAAGCTGTTCACATTATCCCGGATCCGGCTTTTTCGCCGGGCCCGGCATTTTTACTGAGCGTTTTGTCGCTACTAAATGCCGGCAAAATCACCGGACCGGAGTAATGTGAACGAGTTGCGGCCCACCCCGCCGCGCCCGTGCTTCCCGCCCCGCCCCGCCCGTGCTCCCCGCACTTCATTCGGCTCGGATTTCGGATCCGGTGATCCGGTGTAATGTGAATACCCTTGTCCGTTGTCCGGTTTCCGGCAGAAATGCCGGTCCGGCATAGTGAGAACCCGGCCTTATGCGTCTATCGTTACGTTACTTTTTTTTATGTATTTTCTGCCCTATGGCAATTTGTTCGAAAACAGTAAGCCACTTGTTTGGCTGCAGCTACATGTCCTGAGTTTTATGTTGTCCTCGAGAGCCAATCAATTGCTGATCTTTTTCCAGCAAACTCTCTTCCTGGCTCAGTCTATAAATCTTTGGACGAGACTGGGAATGCCTTGTCTTTTCAGTCGATTGTACGTAGTTCACCTTCTCCACTTAAGGCCTGTGCGAGTTCGTTTGCATGAGTTTCCAGTTTCTCCTTGTATTTTAGGCTTGCCTGTACTGTTTCCTCACGAACAGTGTTCATGCCTAGGTCAAGATACATGTACAGTCACGGAATGAAAAGGTTCGTCAGTTTTCAAATTGATTCCTTCAACGAATCGCGAGCACATATTACCTTTTGAAACTATGTTACAGAATAATCTCGAGTTAGAGAAAATAGCAAACGTCATATTTATTTAAATGTTAGCAGCACTGTTATGTTGGCTCTTACAGTACCTAGTGCAAGCGAAAACCGACACTAAGGTGACGAACCTTTTCATTACGCGACTGTACTTGTTGTTAATACATTGGGGTATGCTGAGCATGGTTCTAAGTGCTTTACTTTGAAATCTTTCTAATATGTCGATGTTACTCTTGCTACCTGTTCCCCATAACTGTATCCCGTAAGTCCAGATAGGTTTCAAAGTTGCTTTGTATATGTCACCGTAACATTGCGAATTCCGTCAGATTATAATCTGACGTAGTTAAATTATAATTTAACCTAACCTAACCCACTGTTAGTTTGCAATCTAACGCGTTATATTATAAACTGACAGAGTTCACAATTTCACGTTGACGTATACGTTAGTAATGTTTATGTCGTGACGTTTGTGTGCGCGCGCAGCTGACGGCGATCACGTGGCTGAAGGAGTTCAGCGAGCTGGCGGGCGCGGCGCTGCGCGCGCACGCGTCGGGCGTGCTGTGCGCCGTGCTGCCCTGCCTCGCCTACACCGACGAGCCGCGCAAGAGTATCCTTTGCCAACACGCATATTACTTACACAGGTCTCGATGCGACATTTTTATATGAGTCGCATAATAGACAAGTCAATTGACGTACTTTTTAAAACTGTCAAAACGAAGCTCTGCCATAGATTTTGTATGGCAATACAAGCAAGTGACGTCACTATTTTGCCAACTCAATCAAAGTACTTTTTTCAATTACAATGCGAACAAAAATCCTAATTTACAGGTAATTTAAAATAAATTAAGTTTTTAAGACCAGAATGAAGGGTCTTTTTAAAAAGTTGTGGTTTCGAATTATAGGGGTATGGTGTCAAACTGTCTATTATATTATGTACTCACAGCTTGACGTTTCGACTGCTGTGCAGGCCAGCCATGGTCACAAGCAGACTGGCGGTGTGACTGTTAACAAAACTGCATAAAAACTAACATTGCAAAAAGAAATGCTGATACGCATCATGTGTTAAACCATGTTAAAATGTATGAACTGTATTATGTATGTGACTTTGTTGGTGTACCTAAATAAATAAATATCTTTTGCCATACTACATACCGAGGGTACAGGCATCCGCGAGACGGCGGCCACAGTAAACCTGCAGCTGACCAAGCTGCTTGTGGCGGAGCCCTCGCCGCCCGCGCCCGGGGACCCCGCGCCCGGGGACCCTGCGCCCGGGGACCCCCCAGGCGACGCGGACACCGCGCTGCGGCTCGACGCCGTGGTGGGCGTGCTGACGCAGCTGCTGCACCACAATTCCGTGCACACTAAAGTCGCCGCGCTGGACTGGATCCTGCACCTCTACAATAAAATGCCTAACGAGGTCAGTGCCCGTACACCGTCGGCTTACTGAGACCGTGTAGCCCGTCTGCCAGCGTGTCACAGTTAGTGACCGACCGAATATTCGTTTTCGGCTAAAAAAAGGCATTCGGACATATTTTCGTTTTCAGCCATAAACCAGCCAAAGCTTCAGCAAATCGAATATCAGAAAACCGTGAACAAGACGAACGAATAACGTTTGCATATTATAAATAATAATAACTTGAAAAAAGTCGCACTGCCTAAGGCGGAAATGGTACTCACGACCTTTCGCTTGCCAGGCGACGTCTCTTCTATCTGAGCTACTTAGACACTGGATGAACCCGTCGTAATATTATGGTCAGCGTTTGTTTCATCAATGTTGGGTATACCTACCCTAAAACATTAAAGCCTGGTCCGTGAGCACGTAGAATTTTGTCCAATAACCCCAAGCTACCCATCCTTATCGCTCGCGCGTAATTATGTATGTTGCTGTCGCGCTCGCAAACTCACTGGGGGTGCGCGTCGCACAGTCGCGACAGTAACATACCTAATCACGCGCGAGCGATAAGGATGGGTAGCTTGGGGTCATTTACGTGCTCACGGATCAGGCTTTAGTCACAATGCGGTTTCCGTGCGCAGATGTTCCCGGAGACGGACGCGGTGTTCGTGAGCGTGGTGGGCAGCCTGACGGACGCGGCCGACGACGTGGTGCGGCGCGCGCTGGCCGTGCTGGCCGAGATCTGCTCCTGCGCGCCGGAGCCCGGTCAGTGGCAGTCTCTGGTGCACCTCATTACAGCGCTGTCGTGAGCGTGGTGGGCAGCCTGACGGACGCGGCCGACGACGTGGTGCGGCGCGTCAAGATACATGTACTTGTTGCTAATACATTGGGGTATGCTGAGCATGGTTCCAAGTGCTTTACTTTGAAATCTTTCTAGTATGTCGATGTTACTCTTGCTACCTGTTTCCCATAACTGAATCCCGTAAGTCCAGATAGGTTTCAAAGTTGCTTGTATACGTTAGTAATGTTTATGTCGTAACGTTTGTGCGCGCGCGCAGCTGACGGCGATCACGTGGCTGAAGGAGTTCAGCGAGCTGGCGGGCGCGGCGCTGCGCGCGCACGCGTCGGGCGTGCTGTGCGCCGTGCTGCCCTGCCTCGCCTACACCGACGAGCCGCGCAAGAGTATCCTTTGCCAACACGCATATTACTTACACAGGTCTCGATGCGACATTTTTATATGAGTCGCATAATAGACAAGTCAATTGACGTACTTTTTAAAACTGTCAAAACGAAGCTCTGCCATAGATTTTGTATGGCAATACAAGCAAGTGACGTCACTATTTTGCCAACTCAATCAAAGTACTTTTTTCAATTACAATGCGAACAAAAATCCTAATTTACAGGTAATTTAAAATAAATTAAGTTTTTAAGACCAGAATGAAGGGTCTTTTTAAAAAGTTGTGGTTTCGAATTATAGGGGTATGGTGTCAAACTGTCTATTATATTATGTACTCACAGCTTGACGTTTCGACTGCTGTGCAGGCCAGCCATGGTCACAAGCAGACTGGCGGTGTGACTGTTAACAAAACTGCATAAAAACTAACATTGCAAAAAGAAATGCTGATACGCATCATGTGTTAAACCATGTTAAAATGTATGAACTGTATTATGTATGTGACTTTGTTGGTGTACCTAAATAAATAAATATCTTTTGCCATACTACATACCGAGGGTACAGGCATCCGCGAGACGGCGGCCACAGTGAACCTGCAGCTGACCAAGCTGCTCGTGGCGGAGCCCGCGCCGGCCGCGCCCGGGGACCCGTCAGCGACGGGGGACCCCCCAGGGGACGCGGACACGGCGCTGCGGCTCGACGCCGTGGTGGGCGTGCTGACGCAGCTGCTGCACCACAACTCCGTGCACACTAAAGTCGCCGCGCTGGACTGGATCCTGCACCTCTACAATAAAATGCCCAACGAGGTCAGTGCACATGTACCCGGTACACCGTCAGCTAAGACAGTGTAGCCTGTCTGCCAGCAGTGTCACAGTTAGTGACCGACCGAATATTCGTTTTCGGCCAAAAAAGGACATTCGGCCATATTTTCGTTTACGGCCATAAACCAGCCGAAGTTTCGGCCAAATCGAATATTAAATAAATAATAATAACTTGAAAAAATCGCACTGCCTAAGGCGGGAATCGTACCCACGACCTTTCGCTTGCCAGGCGACGTCTCTTCTATCTGAGCTACTTAGACACTGGATGAACCCGTCGTAATATTATGGTCAGCGTTTGTTTCATCAATGTTGGGTATACCTACCCTAAAACATTAAAGCCTGGTCCGTGAGCACGTAGAATTTTGTCCAATAACCCCAAGCTACCCATCCTTATCGCTCGCGCGTAATTATGTTGCTGTCGCGCTCGCAAACTCACTGGGGGCGCGCGTCGCACAGTCGCGACAGCAACATACCTAATCACGCGCGAGCGTCCCATCCTTAGATGGGTAGCTTGGGGTCATTGGACAAAATTTTACGTGATCACGGATCCCAATCATGTCACTAATCTACGCCACTGTGTCACTAATGGCTGTCATCGTGTTACTAATGGACGCCACTGTGTCTCTATTGGACGCCACCGTGTCACTAATGGACACCGTCGGTCACTAATGGAAGCCGTCGGTCACTAAGGGAGGCCACCGTGTCACTAATGGACGCCACCGTGTCACTATAGCGATACTTCAACCTAGAGTGAAATCCATTCAGTTTCGTAACCTAATACCTACTTCCAGATTCTACACTCTCGCTCGAGTCTCTACCTTCTAAAGGGCACTCTTTTTCTCCATCGTCCATGGCCATTGTTATCTCAATCATACTCCGAGCTATGTCGTGGACGCTGTATTGACACTTTCTTTTAAAAATTTTAGGTGATCTGGAATCGAGTCCATACTACTACAAGTTCCTACAAGCGTTGCTGCGGTTACTGGCCGCGGACGACAACTTATTAGAAGACAGAGGAGCATTTATTATAAGGTAATATTTATTCCGTCATTTTATTTTTATCGTCCTATTCTTCATAATTAGTTGTGATAAAATAGGGTTACCGCGTTTGCGCTCATTACAGTTGACACCACTGGTGAGCGAACTCCTGTCACTCGCTAGAGCGCTGTAGAGTAAGGCCGTATACAGAAAGAAAGCTGGAAACTTATAAGCGCTTGTCAGCGCTGGTAACCCGCGCAGGAAAATATATGAACGCGCGCCGATAAGCACGAACGGCGCCGACAAGTTTCAACACGCGCTGGTCAGCGCTGGACGCTGCCATATAAAATGCCATTCAACTATGCTTGTTATACTATTAACTTGCTTCCTTTGTGAACGAACGGACCAGCGCTGACAAGCGCTGGTAAGCGCTTGTAGTTTCCAGCTTTCTTTCTGTATACGGCTTTTTTTTTTTCGGTGGTAAAAATGCATTGAGTTGCATACCCGCCGCTGTGGTCAGGCGACGGGTTATGTGGGACTCTCCCCTCCAGAAGGGAGGGGCCTATCCACTAAAAATCCACCATGTCCGTCTCGCTAGAGCCGGTGTAGCGAGGCCTTTCCCGACATGTTCCACCTATGCGCAGACCGTCTGCTATGCGTGCAGACTCCATCTTCGACCACGCCATCTTTTATTTTACAGTGGCAGTTTTTTGCACTGCCACTGACCACTCGTTCTGTATACGGCCTAAGAGTAGAGCGTTCCAAAGTGACAGAAGCTCGCTCAACCTAGTGCCCCCTGGTGAGCTAGCGAGACAGAGTGTTGACTGATGACCGCGCAGGCAGCTGTGCGTGCTGCTGAACGCGGAGGACATCTACAAGGCGCTGTCCAAGATCCTGCGGCGCGAGCCCAACCTGCGCTTCGCGGCCACGCTGGTGGACGTGCTGAGCTCCATCCTGCTCACCGCCGCCGAGCTGTACGAGCTGCGCCAGCAGCTGCGCGCCATGGACAAGCCGGTCGGTTATCATTCTATAGGCAAACACTTCTTTGTATATGTCAACGTGAAATTGTGAACTCTGTCAGTTTATAATATAACGCGTTAGATTGTAAACTAACAGTGGGTTAGGTTAGGTTAGATTGTAATTTAACTACGTCAGATTATAATCCGACGGAATTCACAATTTTACGGTGGCATATACAGGGTGGAATTTTTTAATGCCACCTGGAAGGAAAGTACTCTTAATACTGTAGATAGAAAATTTTACTGAAAGAAAACATTCCTTTATTTTTGAAAAGAAACAGAACTGCATTCAAAGATTTCCAAAAATTTGCTTGTCACACCCGGGAATCGAACCAACTAAAATCTGTTAAAAATTACACTCTGTATTTTTATTGCATCGATCGTTAGTGTTAAGTATAAGGATGAAATCTCTCTAACAAACTTGATAAATCAAATGAAAGGAAAACCATGAAATCTTAAATAATTGTAATTATTTACAGAAAATTGTAAGGGATGTTGGTAAATTTAAAAAAAAAAAACGGAAGTCTTTGGATGCAGTTCTTTTTATTTTCAAAAATAAAGGAATGTTTTCTTTAAGTAAAATTTTCTATCTACAGTATTGAGCCTACTTTCCATCCAGGTGGCATTACAAAATTCCACCCTGTATAATACGAAATTTGCGATGAGAAATTACTCACTAAGTTATGGTCCATAATAAATTGTTACTTAAGCCATGATTAGGCTGAGAATATCGATTTTTTTTATTTTTTAAGCGATGTGGTCGATAAAACTTTGTCTGTTGTTTTTGCTCGTAAACAAGAGTTGTTACACACGACACCGCAGCGGCGCATACGCGCTACAATGTCATGCGTAGACATGCATGGCTCGCTGTAGTGGCCAACAAAGGCGGGGAGTCGTGTGTGGCACTCTTATTTTTCTCTGCCATTTGTGTGCGTGTGTGGTCCACAGAGCACGCGCGCGCTGTTCGCGCAGCTGTACCCGTGCTGGTGCCACAGCGCCGTGTCGTTGCTGGCGTTGTGTCTACTCACGCATAATTATGCGCACTGCAACACGCTCATCTCCACATTGTATCCTTTTCAAACACGACAAACTATCTTTTGAAAGAAACTATAATGCAAAGATATCCTTAACGAGACTTACCAGCGGCGACCTCGAGATCACAGTGGATTTCCTGACGGAAGTGGACAAATTAGTGCAACTCATTGAATCTCCAATATTCGCATGTAAGTTTATCATTCATTTTTGTAATTAGAAAAACTGTGACTTTCGATTTCAAACTCTCAGTCGACCTAAAAATTAGTACTGTCCTCGTCGCTTATTCCAAACTCGCTCACATCTCCCTTTATAGTTTCATGTCCTTTCAACCCAACTGGTCAGTAACATTGAGACTTCTGCAGACTTGCGGCTGGAGCTCCTGCGCGGCGCAGAAAGTGCGGAGCTACGCAGCGCGCTGTACGGGCTGCTGATGCTGCTGCCGCAGAGCGACGCCTTCCACGCCCTGCGCGCGCGCCTGCAGTGCGCGCCGCCGCTGCCGCTGCCGCCGCTGCCCACGCTGCCGCCGCCGCACAGGTAAAGTCTGCTCCGTGAGCACGTAGAATTTTGTCCAATGACCCCTAGCTACCCATCTTTATCGCTCGCGCGTAACTATATTGTTGTTGCGACTGTGCGACTGGCACCCGCAGTGAGTGTGCGAGCGCGATAGCAACATAATTACGCGCGAGCGATAAGGATGGGTAGCTAGGGGTCATCGGACAAAATTCTACGTGCTCACGGACCGGGCTTTAGCAGTGACGATTCGAGACTCCTTTCAGCAGTATTCGCCATTTCCTGCAATTTTTGATTTGGCCGAATTCTATCGAGGCCTTTTTCAGAGCACTTGTTTACGTCTCACCTGTATAGCGTACCCCATCATCACCTGTTGTTTGTTTACACCAGTCATCAGTGGTTGAATGAGTCGTGTATTTATTGACAATTTGACAACAATAAAAAAGTATGTGGATTGACTGACAGTGTCAACTTTAACTAAAAACCCAATAATCTGAACTGTTCTACCCGTAACATTGACAGGGGGCGCCACCGTCAATACAGGATCACTGGTTCCGATTTTTGCCATGTTGAAACTATGTAGATAAACGATGGCGGCCCCCTGTCAATGAGTTTGGTGGGACAGTTCAGTGTAGGTCATGTATACACCATGCACCTAGTCTGATGAAGTCTCTTGTTGGCAGTCACAAGTCCGACGACGGCGGGCCGGAGCTGGACTTCGGCGCGCTGCTAGCCGAGTTCAAGCGCGTGCAGGCCGCGCACCGCGAGTACAAGGCGCTGGACCGCTCGCGCGCGCGCCTGCTCGACGCGCCGCACTCCTAGCCCGCCCGACCCGGTAAGTTCGACCTTAATGCTTGGCAGTAAGGTTTACAATATTTCATGTGATTACCATCTTATCATTGTATGCTGAAATACCCTATTTACTTGTAAAGTCTGTTCGCCGAGANTGCCGTGCCCCCAGATTCAGGATAATTTCATGCTAAATCATGTATTTCCTCCGCCATTTTCCGCAGTTTGGCACCTCACGTCACATCATTTTACCGAAGTCAGCCCTATAGCTTCGGCGCAGTGCCGATCACTGACGTTTGTCAACAAAATGGTGCTCGACTCTTGAGACAGGCTAAATTACACCATATTGTTAATGACATTGAGCATATATTTTTTTAAATACCTTCGCGAAGTAAAACTTCTGTACGTAGGACTTATTATTATTCTGTGATAATATGAAATTTGCGATACTGAGAAATTACTCACTAACTTATGGTCCATAATAAATTTTTTGTTACTTAAGCCATGATTAGGCTGAGAATACCGAAATTTCTAGCATTTATTTTTTTAGCAATGTGGTCGATAACACTTTGTCTGTTGTTTTTGCTCGTAAATAAGGGTTGTTTCACACAACACCGTGCGGTGTGTGCGCTCAGTGAGCACTGTTATTTTCATGCTTAGACATGCATGCCTCACTGTAATGGCCTGCAGAGGCGACGCGTAGTGTGGGGCAGCTCTTACGGGCCATATTAATAAAGCGTGCGCATGATGTCCACAGAGCACGCGCGCGCTGTTCGCGCAGCTGTACCCGTGCTGGTGCCACAGCGCCGTGTCGCTGCTGGCCTTGTGTCTACTCACGCATAATTATGCGCACTGCAACACGCTCATCTCTACCTTGTATCCTTTTGAAATACGACTGAATAACTATTGAAAGAACCTATAATGCAAAGATATCCTTAACGAGACTTACCAGCGGCGACCTCGAGATCACAGTGGATTTCCTGACGGAAGTGGACAAATTAGTGCAACTCATTGAATCTCCAATATTCGCATGTAAGTTTATTATGCATTTTTGTATATCTTTCGCTCTGACTAATGAATTGAAGACATTACAGTGGACTATACAAAAAGTGGTAACTGTTTTCGTCGCTCATTCCGAACTTGCTCACATTCCCCTTTTATAACTTCATGTCTTTTTCAACCCAACTGGTCAGTAACATTGAGACTTCTGCAGACTTGCGACTAGAGCTCCTGCGCGGCGCAGAAAGTGCGGAGCTGCGCAGCGCGCTGTACGGGCTGCTGATGCTGCTGCCGCAGAGCGACGCCTTCCACGCCCTGCGCGCGCGCCTGCAGTGCGCGCCGCCGCTGCCGCTGCCGCCGCTGCCCACGCTGCCGCCGCCGCACAGGTAAAGTCTACTCCGTGAGCACGTAGAATTTTGTCCAATGACCCCTAGCTACCCATCCTTATCCCTCGCGCGTAATTATGTTGCTATCGCGCTCGCACACTCACTGCGGGTGCCAGTCGCACAGTCGCAACAACAATATAATTACGCGCGAGCGATAAGGATGGGTAGCTAGGGGTCATTGGACAAAATTCTACGTGCTCACGGACCGGGCTTTAGCAGTGACGATTCGAGACTCCTTTCAGCAGTATTCGCCATTTCCTGCAATTTTTGATTTGGCCGAATTCTATCGAGGCCTTTTTCAGAGCACTTTTACGTCTCACCAGCGTGCCCCATCATCACCTGTGGTTTGTTGACACCAGTCATCAGTTGAATGAATCTTGTATTGACACTTTGACAGCAACCAAAAAGTATGTGGATTGACTGACAATGTCAACTTTAACTAGACCCAATACTTTGAACTTTCCTATCCGTAACATTGACAGGGAGCGATACCGGATCGTAGATTCCGATTTTTGCCATGTTGGAAACTATGTAGTTAAACGATGGTAGCGCCCCCCTGTCAATGAGTTTGGTGGGACAGTTCAGTGTAGGTCATGCACCTAGTCTGATGAAGTCGCTTGTTGGCAGTCACAAGTCCGATGACGGCGGTCCTGAGCTGGACTTCGGCGCGCTGCTAGCCGAGTTCAAGCGCGTGCAGGCCGCGCACCGCGAGTACAAGGCGCTGGACCGCTCGCGCGCGCGCCTGCTCGACGCGCCGCACTCCTAGCCCGCCCGACCCGGTAACACTCTCGACCTTAATGCTAGGCAGTAAGGTTTACAATATTTCATGTGATTACCATCTTATCATTGTATGCTGAAATACCCTATTTACTTGTAAAGTCTGTTCGCCGAGAGTTGATAAAAAAAATTAAATATCAGAGGTTCTAAACTCATTATAAATTGCGGCCCGCTAATAATTTTTGTCGATATAATGAAAAAGTTGGTAGATTATTTGGCCTGGCCTTTTTTTTTGGCCTGGATTCTCGGCTCGGTTACAATTTAATTTTGGACTACCATTTATAAGAATGTTCTAAAAATACCAATTATCTACCAAAATCTACTAAACGATTTCGCACTACTAAATCATCGTTCTCTTTGCCTCAAATCTACCAAAAAAGTAGAAATCTACTAAAAATGGTTAAGCTGTGGCCGCCGCCGCCCACCGGCCGGGGCGCTTGACGACAGCTGCGTGGCTCGTACCATGGTACTCAGTGCGCGTTGTGACAAACGACGCCCGCCATACAGAATGCGATAATTAAGCGACAGTCGCTATTGCAAGACATTTCATAATATTTATCAACTCTCGGCGAATAGACTTTAGTGTTGTGTAGACGACCTCTTATGTACCTAGTAATAGAGGTGTATTTGCAACAAAATTGTATAGATGTGCTGTCGCCTGTATTTTATTTGGTAGATTATATTAACAATTTCTATAATGATGACTGATGTGCTTTTTGTTTCCCCCACAAGGGTCTTGGACCGGATGTAGCGGGGACTACAGCTGGACTAGTTTGCGGATGAGTACCAAATCTATGGACAGACCATTTTTAGTACTATCTTTTTCACTACCTTGAGCGTATTCCCTGTATTACAGGGTACATTGTACAGCTTTTATAAAAAACTTCGTTTAGATAATTGTTATCTATATAAATAATTATATTTAATGTATTTTATTATTTAAGCAAAATCTACTCAAGAACTCATTATTACGTAATTATTAAAATATATTTTAGTAATAATACCGGGAAATACAATTGAATGTAATAATATTTTTCATTATTTATTCAATAAAAGTAGTATTATTATTATCAAAAATATAGTCAAAGAAACTTTTTACAAACCACAATTATTAAGACAGTACCGACTCGGACGCTACAAAATGTATTTTTACGAGGAGTTACACTCCTTGATCCCTAAGGTTTCTACAAGCGCTTGCGCTCTAATTCTACAAGCGCTTGAATTAATTGATACTTTATCCAGCTGACAACTTTAATCTTCAAGCTCCGAATGGGTTCCGTATTTGTTATCATCGTGATAGCATACATTTGTTATGAGCCGGATTATTAAGTTATTATTATATTTCTAAGATCTCGTGCGTGAATTGAATGAGTAAGCATATATTACACTATGCTGAACCGTACCTAAGGCTTAATACTTCGAAGAGACGCCCTGTGGGTGGAATATGGACAGGTCTATTGTGAAGTTATATTGATTAATAAAATGTTATTTATACATTCCAACATTTTCTTTTATTTATTTCATCATTACATAGAATGTGTATGGATAACAAATACAATAAAATTATTCTATTATTGCCTCGTTGTAAATACAAATATTTATCATAATAAGAGAGCACCCTGATATTTGAATGATCTTGTTGAACTTAAACTATCGTGTGTATTTACAAATACTGAGTCCATAAAATTGTATTACCTATTTTGTTTAATTACATTAACTTGCCTATAAAGTACATTTTAATAGGAATGATAAAATTAAAATAGTTTTATTAACATGAAAACTAAAACATAAATTATACAATGTTCTGATTAAATTTCATTGCTAAAAATAATAATAGAACATAACTTATTAATAAGTTCTAAAAGTAACTATTTTTATTACAATAATTAAAATAATCACTTTAGACAATACATTAACTAAAACATCGACGCCAAAATGATATTTTTATAATTTGTATCCTAGAATGGAACTTTTTCGGAGATCTCATTTTATGTAAATTAATATTTTAATAGAGACTTTATTCTAGTTCTTATTTTTTAATGCCCGAGTTATCAATAATTGTGTAATGTGTGTATTTTAAGGACCATTAAATACCAATAATACTTCGCACCGCAGCACTGTGGAGTTAAAACAAAAATTAAAAGTGAGAACTAACTGAAAAATAAAAATACTGATTCGAATGAAACATGACTGAATAAGACTTTCCTATTCATGTAGTTTTTTCAAAACTACACGTTGTAGATATGTATGCGGTTTTAGTCACGAAAATCATTTAATATTAATATTGTCTGGATTATTTTAGATCACTGTAGAACTCACGCGAGCACGCAGGACGACCTCGGCTGGCGGTCGTCGTCGGCGTCGTAGATGACCGTGCCGTCGCCGGAGTCAGGCGTGGTACTGGCCGACGAGCTGGGAGTGAACGAGTCGTGGAGTGGTTCAGTCGTGGTTGGAGACTCGTCTCCGTAGCTGGTCCGTTCGGGCGGGGTGGGCGGGTCTCGTAGCGCGCGCGCGGTGAGTTGCGGGGAGAGGGACGGGGAGTCCCCGGCGCACGGCTGCGGGGACAGGGACGGGGAGTCCCCGGCGCACGGCTGCGGGGACAGGGACGGGGAGTCCCCGGCGCACGAGCTGCGGCCGCTCCCGCACGGGCCGGGCTCGGGCTAGGGCTGCAGGCGGTCGGCCAGCGCGTGCAGGCGCGCCACCAGAGACGTGTTGGCCGACGCGGCGGATGCCACCTCCTCCTGCGCCGCGAGAAGCGCCCTGCGAATCGCAATAATGTTCATTTAACGAACGAACGTGAGTGAGTACAAGTATGTTGATATTATTATTGTGTACTACACTCGACATCAAATAAATCGCACCTCCCGCGACAAGCTCTTTCAAACGAATGCATCCCTACTTCTCACCAATATTGGTACCATTTAAAAGCCTAGTTCTAAACTGTGTCTTTAGAAGGATCCAGCAGTCACTTCTTCAAAAAATAGGTAGTTATTGAGCCAACTTTTATGGCTATAAAACTGTCAAATTGGGATTGATCGCTATCCATCTGTTAAAGAGGACAAGTAAGATCATTATTTGGTTTTATAACCATAAAAATTGGTCTAATTGGTCCCAGAGGTGAGCCCCAAGTGAGGTCTTTTTTCAAGTCACATTTATGGTACGTTTATCAAGAAATGAAATGTGTTTTTCTTTAAGTTTATTTATTGGGCTTTCAAATAACACCAATATTGTTGGTCACCATGATTGTGTCATCTTTAAAGTTCGCGTCGCGGAAGGTGCGGTTTATTTGATTGTGAGTGTATAATAGTGTTTACCGGAGGCCGGCTCCACTGCAGGACACGCCGCGGGCAGGCGGCGCGCGCGGGGCAGCCGCCTTCTCGGCCGGCGGCTCGCTGCGGGACGACGTCTCTTGCTGCCGAGGAGTCAGAGCATGAATATTTATTCATTGATATATTTCTTCAAAAGAACTAATACAACAAAGCAGTTGTCAACTATGCCGTGTGGTGACAACCGGGTAGAATACATTTGTCACCCACACCTACTGTTCCCGCGGGTGTCGTAAGAGGCGACTTAGGGACTAAACATCAAATTAACAAACATAATCAAACATCTTATTCTTATTCTTAAACATCTTATTCTTATTCTTTCTTATTCAAACAGAGAACGGGCAGCAGCCCTCTCTGAAAAACATAAATCTTTTGAACTGCGATATCCAACCCGCCTGCCAAGCGAGGGGATTATGGCAAAACCCTCCACTATAATGGAGGAGGCTCATAGTCCAACAGTGGACTGTAAAGGGCTGTTGATGATGATGATGAAGTCATTTCCCAAAATCAAGAGTAAGAAAATAGTCCTGTAGCGCATGCGTATGTACTATCGGCAACAGTGTTAACTGCCCACTGTCAGTCATTTATTTATTTATTTTAGGAATTACAAACAAATGTGTTACAAAAATTAACTTATCTACTAGACTAGTCATGTTATCTCGTTCTATCGCAAAGAATCGCCATTTGATTAGAGCGAGAGCAAAAACGGAAATGGATAGTTAACAGTGTGGCCGTGTGTACCTGCGCGGAGGTGAGTGCGGCGCGCGCACTGCGCTCGGCGTCCTGCAGGCGCGCAGCTAACGCAAGTAGCTTCAGCTCCGTGCTCGACACGTCCTTGTCCAGGATCTGCGTCTGCAGGTACACCGTCGCTGCTACCTTGTACCTGGGAACAAGCAAACAATTCATACAATACACAATGTCTCACCGCCGCCTCTGTGGTCTAGTGGTAAAACCACCTGTTTCAGACACAGAGGTCCCGGGTTCGATTCCCAGTGGGGGCAGATTTTTCTGTTCGATTTGGTTGGTGGTAGGGCTTGTTCTAAGTCCGCCTGGCTAGCTACCACCATCTTACCTAAGTCTTTCGCCATAACAACAATGTTAACAGCATTGTTGTGTTCCGGCAGTTAGAGGTAAGATAGCCAGTTCCTCCGTGGTTGAGGATTCCGGGTGAAGCTCGCTTCCACCTTCAGCCTGATCGTCACTTACCATCACATCAGGTGAGATACAGGCCAAGAGCTTTCTCGTTGTGGATAAAAAAATGACAATGACAGACTTCTGTCTTGTGCTATTAACTTACCAGTCGGCGATGGCGTCAGCGCGGTCCCGGGCCATGGGCGCTGCCCTCTGCAGTAGTGCTCGCAGCCGCCTCCCGGTTTCAGCTACGGTTATTCTTTCCAGCACGTGGAACTGCTCGTCGTTGTATGTTAGGGATCTGGTCGCCCTGTCTCGGACTAGGTGTTGCCATGACTCTCTGGAAGAAAGGTAGTTAGTTTATTTAGAAATGTTTAAGTCTTTTTAAAAATTATCTTAGACTTCACGTTGATGCATGTACCACTAATTATGGACGCAATTCCTTCTTTAACAGAGTTTTCAAAACTTTTAACAGAAATTATTCTGAAAATGTTGACCTTTTTCATATTGTGAGACCAAACTACTTCAAAAATCAAAGTAATAAGGAATTCTTTGGCGACACTACTTAGCACTCTCCCGGTAAAAAGTTGAAGTATCTGTTTACTGTTTAATATTCTGCTATTTTGGTATGGCTTTAGTGGGTATTTTCTGTATTGTTTTAACTTCTTTCATATATTGTAGTTATACTGCATGCTAAATGGTTTTGTTTTGGATTGTATCTTGATATGCTATTTGTGAAAACTATGTAAGGCATTTTTGATCTTAACCGCCTCATCTATTAATAATGCATATATGCTGTTTGTTTTCCATAAAATAAATAAATAAATAAATAAACCCCTCGTGGTCAGTGGCGCTTGTGTTATGAGTGGGTTCATCACAATAGTCCAGCGGTGCAACGGGCATCGCATCCGCGTTTTTCGGATACGATCCGAAACCGACGTTATTGGGCTATTGTCGCTTTAATGCATCGTATCGTAAGTATACTCTTCGTTTTAAGTATCGGCCGTGACACCAGCGCCGCCGCCGCCGCCTGCAGCGTGCTCGCGGCCGCGTGCTCGCGTACCTGAGGCGCTCCACGAGCGTGCGCGCGCGCGCGTGCAGCCTGGCGTCGGCGGGGCAGGGCGCGTGCGTGGCGGCGCACTCCCACTCGGCGCGCAGCCCGCCCGCCGCGTGCCGCGACACCAGCGCCGCCGCCGCCGCCTGCAGCGTGCGCGCCTCGCCCGCCGCCAGCGCCGCCGCCGGCGCCCACTGTGCTCGCCGCCCGCCTGGGGATATGCTGACGACTTCAATTCGAGCGAGTAATCTTGAGCAACTTCATTTACAACAAGCAGAGTGTGAAGCATAAGAATTCTAAAGCCTGGTCCGTGAGCACGTCGAATTTTGTCCAATGACCTCAAGCTATCCATCCTTATCGCTCGCGCGTAATTATAATATTGCTGTCGCGACTGTGCGACGCGCGCCCGCAGTGAGTGTGCGAGCGCGACAGCAACATAATTACGCGCGAGCGAAAGCTAGTCATTGGACAAAATTCTACGTGCTTACGGACCAGGCTTTACACACCGAACCCGCCGGCTTTATTTTCAAAGAATGTTGTCGACGACTGTCACTCAGCGAGTTTTGACAACATGTCGGCGACATACTTATACCTTACGTATGTATGTGCACATTTGCCACATTTACAACACACGTCAGTACGTCACAATAGTTGATAGAAACTGCTAAAAAAGTAAGTGAACATCATCGTCATTTTTTGTGTGCATGGAACGGTTTGGAACAAACTGCATTGAATCTATATTGCATGTTGTGTCAGCCTATAATTGTTGTTGCATTGTAACTTTGTTCATAATTGTTATTTTTAAGTGTACATGTTGTAATGTAACAATGTTGGTAGACCTAATAAATAAATAAATTCAAAGTTTCATGTCGGCGGGTCGACGAGTTTAGTGTGGATTGCATTATTTTACAGATATGTTTGTTAAGGTGTGAACATCAAAAGCGTTTTATCGAGGGGGGGTTAAAAAAGAGTTAACTTGTGGCGTTTTACCGGCGGCGGCGGCGGCGAGGTCGGTGGCGCGCGCGGCGTCGTGCAGGCGCTCGGCGTGCGCGAGCGCGTGTGCGGCGCGCGCGTGCACGGCGATGGCTTCAATACGAGCGAGTAATCTTGAGCAATTTCATTTACAACACACCGAACCCGCCGGCTTTATTTTAAAATAATCTTGTCGACAACTCTTACTCGACGAGTTTTGACAACATATTGCCGACATGCTTGTGACTTGCGTATGTACACATTGGCCTACCGATACTCAAGAAATACAACATACGTCAGCATGTTCACCATAGTTGATAGCAACTGCTAAAAAAGTTGCTGACGTCGTGCCGCAAAGTTTTACAATTTGTCTCATATCGGCGGGTCGACGAGTTTAGTGTAGATTGCATTATTTTTTACAGGCATGTTTTTTTTAAGGTTTGAACATCAAAAGTGATTTTGTGTTGTGGAGGGTCAAAAGGTTGTATTACCGGCGGCGGCGGCGGCGAGGTCGGTGGCGCGCGCGGCGTCGTGCAGGCGCTCGGCGTGCGCGAGCGCGTGTGCGGCGCGCGCGTGCACGGCGGCCAGGCGCGCGGCCAGCAGCGCGCCCCAGCGCCGCACGCACGCGCCGCACAGCAGCGACGCCGCGCACAGCGCCTCCACGCGCCGCTTGATGGCGTGCCCCACGCTGCACGCCGTCTGCACACCACATGTATTGCTACTTCATAATAATTACGTACTATTTGTAATGTTGGGACCCCCGACACAAGCGTCTTTGGAGAATCGTCGTCTTGACAGTGCCCGCGCAGCAACGACGCAACGTTCACTGAAGGGGTCGCTCGGACGCGACTCCAGCGCTGTGAATATACGGCGTTCGGCAGCCGCTCAAAACTAACGTCGCGGCGAAGCTGCGCAGGCGCTGGCGAGACGATTTCGTTCGGAAGACGCTAGTGTGGGGGAGACCTTATACCAATAGCAAAAAACCTGAAAGCTGTTCAATGAGGGCTATCGTTTTTATACTTAACAGTTGGCACCCCTGGCGATTGACAGGACCTTACTCTGCAGTGGCGCCATCTTGATGAGTGCAAATGCGATAGTCCTCCTACCACTTTCGCGCTCACCAGTTGGCGCCACTGTCTTCGCTACTAGCAAGTAACAGGACCTTACTTACTCTACAGTGGCGCCAACTGGTGAGCGCTAAAACGATAGCCCTCATTCAGAACCGAAAATAGAATCAGTTTAGATTAGATTTTGGATAAAATATAACTTTGGTCACAACGCTGTATTTCCCCGTGGGTGTACCTTGGCCTGCGTGGCGTCGTTCTCGACGGAGACGATGTTGGGGAAGACGGGGAACTTGGGCGCGTCGGGCTCGGGCGGCATGCTGACGTTGTGGTTGCTCTTGTTGAACAGCAGCAGCGGCTCCTCCGCCGACGTCTCCGGGTAGTTCTTGCCTGCGCACAGTGAGGAGGCTGTGATATGCTTGCCAATTATTGTCTGGGATGCTGTTCCAAATCTTAACAGAATACAGAGGCCAAGTGGGGTGATTCGCGGGGGTGACTAGTACGTTTTCACAAAGTCAATTCGTCAAACTTTTGCAAGTTTCGCGTCCATTTGTCTCGAAACTTATTTTTTTAGGGAGTGTAACGAATTTACATCGCACTCGCCACTCACCGAGCGTGTTCTCGTCGATCTCCGTGAGCAGCAGCTTGTCCTGGTACAGCATGATCTGCGACTCGGCCACCACGCTCGTCTGCTCGCAGATGTACGTCTGCAGGTGCTCGAACTTCTCCTCGGGCTTCAGGAAAACCTGCAGCGTAACCATAGGTTCGTTCGTTCGTTCGTTTCAGCCAAATGACGTCCACTGCTGGACAAAGGCCTCCCCCAAGGTTTTCCACAATGAACGGTCCTGCGCTGCCCGCATCCAGGCTCTTCCCGCGACCTTTACCAGATCGTCGGTCCACCTAGTAGCCCGTGGTCGCCACTCGAGAACTTTCCTGCCCCAACGGCCATCGTCTCTACGAGCTATGTGCCCCGCCCACTGCCACTTGATTTTAGCAATTCTGCGAGCTATGTCGGTTACTTTAGTTCTCCTGCGGATCTCCTCATTTCTGATTCGATCACGCAGGGAGACTCCGAGCATAGCCCGCTCCATCGCCCTTTGGGTGACCTTGAGCCTTCTTATGAGGCCCATAGTTACTAATCAGAAATACTAATTTGGCAGGATCTTATAAACAGATACCCTTGGCTTATGATTCGGCGGTTGAGTTATTTTAGTCAATTTTTGTGCTAAATATATGAATTAACAAAAACAAAGCAAGGACAAATAGAAGCGGTTTTAGACGTAATCATTTACACAAACCAAAAACAAGTAGTTATACGTTTTGTGCATTGCACGAAGTGAAAAAATATGTATGCAATGACCGAGATAATTGTTTCTTTTTTGCGGTTCGTTGCGATTGAAATAAATACGCTAGTAGAAAAGATTTCAAGAATGGTTTTCTAATAATTCTTATTCAAGAATTGGTTATAAAAACGAGCTGTCGTGTATTTTATCAATTCATTCTACTCTACCGTGTAGCGTGTTCCGTGTCGCGACACTCGTGGATAGGCCACAGTGACGTGCTAAATTCATATTTATTTTGTGAGCGAAGTATATGCTCCAAGGACGCAAGGACGTATCTATAGTAACTATTATGCGAAAGTTTGAAACGACATGTTGTTGAATATTGTTACTACATATTTCATCCAAAAATATCTGAAATGTAATTGTTAGGGTAGCGCATNAATTATCTCAAATTAATTGAAGATAAGTTAATCTACATCTAATTCTACTTCCTCAAAACCATTAGTATTCAAGGTAGACCTTGAATGTATATTTAGCATCAACTCAGAAATCACTATAACTACTCCTATAAAAGGCTTACTTAAGTTATAAATTTGCATGGTAGCCGCAAGGTCTCCCTAGAGCAGTCTCACAGCCTTGGCTGTGATTTCGAATCCTAATCAAGCTACGAGCGCGCGTCGAGACAAAGCCGTATTGTTCCGAAGTAGGTCGCGGGTTGCGCAATGGCGTGCCGCGGGCCGGTAAATTGCCGACCAATTGACAGCCGTCGATTTCCTGTGTTTGGTAATTTGGCTTGGATTTGGGCCCTTAATTTCCAACGAAATTTTCTTTCCACTAACGATATACTCGCTGTTGTTTGCACAACACATTCATTCAGCATTCTTTATGGGCAGATTTTCTATTTGCTACAATCTTAAACTATCTGCCACATATAACTCACATGTGCTTTATAAAATGAATAGCAGAGTAGAAATTTATTAGAGTGGAAATCCATTATAACAAGCAACCATAACAATAACATACATATCTATATAATAATAGAGAAAGGGCTTGCATAATCTACATTGTGATAATAATTTAATTGTTCCGTTATGTACTCAGGAGATTTATATAACTTGTAATATTTAACTACTAGTTTACCAAGAGAAGTAAATAAATAACTATCATACCTTTATGCTTGTGGCTTTGTTGACGTGGAAGATGTGTATAGGAGTGGTGGAGGTGGCGGTCTGCACTTCGGAGAAGAACCGCTCGAAGGTCCATATGCGGTGCGGGTCCACCTCCAGCAGGCCGGCCAGCAGCGGCGTCACCAGCTTGCGCAGCCCCGCGCTCAGCTGGCAGTGCGCCGGCAGCTCGCGCGACCACTCGATGGGACCGTTCTCAGTTGTTTGAGTCCCCTTTGGACAAGAACAACTCTTATTAAAACTCTCTTAACAAACAGAGATAATGTAGGTATGTTTGTTGAAGATAAAATCTGGAATGTTTGTGACTAAAAATATTCAGCTTATTATGTGCATTCATGAACAAGCAACTCACAGATATGACTCCAGATGCCTTCTTGGTTGTAATGTAAAACATGGTCTCCTTATTCCTCCTCCCACCATATGGCCTGAATGGCAGCTGCCCAGTGGCTACGTGGTACAGGGTGACTCCTATTGACCACAAGTCTACAGTTGCACCAAAACTCTTGCCCACTGGCTTCCTTAACACAGCCCGCTCATACATGTCTGGATGTAGGTACTCCTCGGTGCCGTACAGAGACACAAACTGCTCCTCTTCCTGTAACTCCCTAGCAGCACCAAAGTCTGTCAACTTGTATGTTGTGGTTCCATCCTCATTGATGTATTTCATTATATTCCCTGGTTTTAAGTCACGGTGCACCAAGTTATTATCTCTCAAATGCTTCATGCCTGCAGTCAAATGCTCCAAAACGAGCAGGAACTCCTGCTCCTGCAGGCCGTACGTGTTCTCGGGGTCGTCGAGGATGTTGAACAGACTGCCGCCCGTGCACAGCTCCATCACGATGACCTTCCCGCGGCCCTCCTGCTCCTCCTCGATGGCCAGCAGTTTGACGATGTTTTCATGTTTAACTTTCTTTAAAACTTCGAACTCTCGCATCTGAACGTCGTGCGGGCGCATGTGGCTGAGCTGGTTGAAGGTCTTGACGGCCACGGGCTCGCCGTTGTTCTTGTTGACGCCCTGGAACACGGCTCCCGTGGCGCCCTTCCCCAGCACGCTCGTTGTGCACCACACGTAGTTCTCTGACCCTCGTAGGAAGGACATCTTTGAAAGCGTTTCTGAACACAACGATTTTGAATAGATTACTAGGTATTTATTACTCAGTTATTAAATAACTGTAAAAACACATTGTTTGTAATGGAATAAACGATATAACTTATTTTACAGTCCTATTTGAGATTTCACATTCACTTTCGCGATGAAAACATTTCACGATGTTTTTGAAGTACACACACAAACACAGACTGTCACTGTCAGTGACTGACTGAATGACAGTTGAAGTACTTGAAGTTTTTTTGAGTGACTGACAGGACCACAGATTAGAGAGTATGTGGACAGGACAGCCGGCTGGGTGGCTTGAGGACAAGAAATGGGGTGAATAAAATTTTGAGCCTCTCCCTACTATTCAATAATCTGTGGCGTGGCGAGCAAGTGTCATTCCATTGTCACTGTCAATTTTGGTGATGGTGTTTGTTTGGTTGGTGATTTCGTGATTTCATTTGCAATTTTCGATTTCCGTCTTACTTATTTCCTGAATCGTTATAATTATAAAGAAATAAAGATAATGATGATTCGTAACTCAAACACAGATATTACGTAGTTTAGTATAACATCGTATATTGTGAGGGAAACATATGGGGACACCTCCAAACTTGCCCTTATTTTTGATAGCAATTATTGTGAAATAGGTTTACTGTAAATATAAATCCATATACATATTTTGTTTATCGTTACCGTGAGCTTTGTACATCATGTAAGTATGTTTTAATATACTTGTTATTAATTATAACCCAATACCAAATATGTTTACACAAGGTTGACTTGAACTACAAACTGTTGTAGGTCTTCAAGGCACGAAGTGATGAGGCATCGCGATCGGTCTGAAAATAGATCAATAGATCGGCACCGTGACCACAGGACCAGGAGTAAAGATAGACGGTCAAAATCTCACTCTCCAGCCAGAACTAAACATAGATCTTCCAGTCGTGACAAAAAGAAAAAAGACAAAAAGTCCAAGAAGAAAAGTAAAAAGAAGAAGAAAAGGGAGTCATCTTCTAGCAGTAGTTCGAGTAGTGACACAGATGAAGAGGAATTGAAACTCCTGCAAAGGTTGGAAGCCGAAAGGCAGCGTCTGAAGGAAGAGAAACAAAAACAGAAAGAGTTGATGAAAGCTAATGAGACTCCAGAAGAGAAGAGGTAAGATTGATCTTTGCCTATTATTGATCGTTGTTTTTTTTATACTTACAATAATTCTTTTGTAACATGATTTGTTTTTCATGATAAACGTTTTAAATTCTACATATTATAACATAATTTTAGGGCTCGTCGCCTTAAGGAAAAGCAAGAAAAAGAGCGCAAGAGACGTGAGAGAATGGGTTGGGACAATGAATATCAATGTTATACCAACCAGGATAACCCATTTGGGGACTCGGCACTGACCAATACATTTGTCTGGACTAAGAAACTTGCCAAGGAAGGGGTCAAGACAGTCTCCAGGGATGAGCTGGAAGCTTTAAACAGGCAGAAACAGATGGAGAACAAGATTGAATTGGAAAAAGTAAGTAACCATTCTGGTAATTTTTNTTATTTTTGATCTCTTCCTTTTTAGCTAGCTTTTTCAAGAGGTTTCAAATATTGGGCATTTTCTGTTGTAATTTCAAGGTACTATTCTAAACTATCTATTTGTGCTGTTTTTGTAAATAAATTAAAGAGAAACAAAAATAAAGATATTGCTTTTCATTCACATTTGAAGTGATTTTCAATTTATAATGACTGCCAACTGAATGTATAGTGACAAGCTAACTTAGGCTAATCAACTGTGGCCAGGTAAAGCAACGTCGCCTAGAGCGCGAGGCAGAGCGCGCGGCGCGCGAGGCGGAGGCGGCGGCGGCGGCGCGCGCGCGCGAGGCGGCGCAGTTCAGCAGCTGGGCGCGCCACGAGGACGCCTTCCACCTGCACCAGGCGCGCCTGCGCTCGCAGATCCGCATCCGCGACCAGAGAGGTGAACCTGCTGGACCCTAGCACAGTGACGATAATGCCTGTATCTTGCAAAAAAAATTGGGGTGAAAGAGGGGGATAATAGTAGAGATTGGGGGATAAAAGTTTTTTTTATTTATTTTTTTACAAAAAGTTCGGTTTTAAACCAGTAACCCTTTATCCTGTCTTCAGCCAAGCCAATCGACCTGCTGGCGTGGTATGTGAGCTCGGAGGAGTGCGTGGACGCACTGGAGATGCACGAGCCCTACACTTACCTTAACGGGCTACAGGCGCAGGACCTCGAAGATCTTCTCGAGGACATCAAGGTAACCATACAAAACTTATTCCTACTTTTATTTTTGACAACGTAAAGCCGGGTCTCCAGCGCGTGTCTTTTGCCCAATAATTTTTTTTATAGACAATTTTGTGTTATTTGTCATGTTTTTGATGACTGTGTACGGCAAAACACGCGCTGGAGACTGCTTTAAAGGCTAAGAATGCGTTCAAAGTCTAGATTTGTTTGGCCGCGACTGATGTGGTCTCTTATGCTGCAGGTGTACCAGGAGCTGGAGAGCGCGGACAACCAGGGCTACTGGGAGGACGTGCGCACCATCGTGCTGGACGAGCTGGCCAAGCTGCGGCGCCTGGCCGCGCCCGACGCGCGCCGCGACGGCGTGCACCAGGCCGTGGCCGACGACGTCACGCAGGTACAGCCCAGACTAGCGTGGATGCGTGACGTAATAACATTTTAGAGTACCCGGAGGTCACATTCCTCTCATTTAAAGGCGAGTACGGAGCACTAGGGTAATCTATCCCGCAGGGTTGATATGTAATTTAATGCTTAATTTCCGTGCGTTTTTTATTCGCTGACGCTGATCCAAAATGATGAAAGTTTACTCATAGGGCTCATGCAGGTGCAGGTGCATGCTTGCAAAAACTTGCTGTAGTGTATACTAATATTTCACGCACATGACATGGTATAAATTTTGGACTCAATTAGAATCCGAACTGTTCACTCATTCTAGCCTCTAGGGGCAGAAGTAGAAGGTAGGTTCTCGTTAATATTTAATTAATATGTGTGTGCAGATCTTCAAGGGCAAGACGGGCGCGCAGCTGGAGGCGCTGCAGACGCAGATCGAGCAGAAGATCAGCGGCCGCCGCGACGGCGTCGACGTCGGCTACTGGGAGAGCCTGCTCAGCCAGCTCAAGGGTCAGTACTTACGCGAAATACGATTTGAACAAAATTCTTATTAACGAGGTGATAGGGACTACCGTCAGAAATGGAAGCACATCGCCAGGAGAGCTACCCTCGGAGATAACATCACCTCACCATGTACCTCGTCAGCGCAACCACGACCACTCTGACAAGAGTGCCCGACTAAGAAGAAGAGGATAGGGACTAAAGTCGTTTTTTGCTTCGTTTTGTGTGCATCTATGGGTTATTTATTTGCGTAAATTTTTTTGAAATAAAACTAATGTAGACTATCGCATTTGAAAACAGTTTCCAATAAAAGAATTGAAAAAAATGCACATTAAGTACCTACCACGTGAGATGCAAGCCAAGAGCTGCTCCACTGTAGTCAAGATTCCTTCCACCCTTCAGCCAGTTGTGTCATATAATGTTAACATTTCTCTGCAGCGCACATGTCTCGCGCGCGGCTGCGCGACCGGCACCAGAGCAACCTGCGCCGCAAGCTGCAGCTGCTCAAGCAGGAGCAGGGCGTGCAGCCGCCCGCCGCCGCCGACGCCGGGCCCGCCTCCGCCGCCGACGCCGCCCGCCAGCCGCAGCCGCAGTGAGTGTCCTTTGTACTTAGCACGTTAATGTGCCTTCCATCCCCGCAGCCCCGCCACAACCACTGGGAAATATGCGTCCAGAGGCGAAGTGGAGGTCTTCTTTCTCCACTTCATTTCAACTTAGCTAAGTCTTTTCATCTGAGCTTCAGAATTTTTAAAAACTGTAACACCCAGGGCCGGATCTACCATATGGCTTTTTGGGCTTCAGCCCAGGGCCCCGTGGATTCAAGGGGCCCCTAGCTAGCTAAGTCAAGTCAAAGTAAAAAATAGACGATAATGTGATAGTAGGGCCCCTAAGTAGTATTAGCCCAGGGCCCCCCAAACTCACGGTCCGGTCCTGGTAATACCGTTTAAAACGATACTGCAGTGCATCAGGGATGCTGGCAGAAGCTCGAGTAGATAGCTTTGCTGCCATTTTAAGAAAGCGCACTGCGTCCCTGATCCACCGTGTGCGTGGCAGCTCCAACAGCCTCCTGCAGAGTGTCGCGGCGAGGTTGGACGTGGACAGTGCCATCATGCAGCACTGGACACGCGTCCATCTTACTAAAGACACCAAATTGTCGTTCGTTAATTGTGTTAAGGTTACTGTGTGATTTACTAACCATAGTTTATAAGACCTTTGTTACTAACACTTTTATGGGCTATGCCTGAAATAAATACCTTTTATTTTATTTATTTATTTAAAACAATTTCCAGAACGTCCGACACCCCCGACGCGGAGCCGAAGGAGGAGGAGAAGGCCGAGCCGTCAGCATCGGCCGCGCCCGACGACGACGGCTCCGACTCGGAGGACGACAGCGCGGCGTGCGTGGCGCTGTACCGCAGCGGCCGCTACTCGCCCGCGCTGCTGCCGCCGGCGGCGCTGGAGCCCGCGACGCTGCTGACGGACGTGGCGGACGACGAGCAGCGCGTGAGCTTCCTGCGCCACGCGCTGCACGCGCACGCTGCTAGTGCACAGGCTGCGCGCGCGCCGCCCCCACTCGCCGCTATGGTGAGTGCATAGATTAAATTGTTTGAAGTTTTTATTTTTTGTGTTCTCACAATTCTCAATGGAACGGTTCGGAACAAACTGCATTGAATCTAAATTGCGTGTTGTGTCAGTCTATAATTGTTGTTGCATTGTAACTTTGTTCATAATTGTCATTTTAAGTGTACATGTTGTTATGTAACAATGTTGGTAGACCTAATAAATAAATAAATAAATTCCAACCGTGCTTGGGACGGGGTGAAAGCGCGGTTTTCACGCAGACTGACAGTGTTTAATGCTAGGTGATCTGGCACAAAGCAATAACGACTGTGTGCAAGTTGTGTGTGCAAGAGGCTAGTCGGTAACTTACTTGGATGGATCACGTCTGTTAGTCAGAATAACTCGACTTTTGTCAACCGATTTACGTATGAGACAAGTTTATTGTAAACGTTAATCCTGTATTTTACTGCGAGTGTAATACCGCACGGTAGGTATCACTAAAAAGTCACGGCCATTTGAACTTTACTGTTGTAACAATAAAGTTCAAAATGGCATATCGCACTCGCAGTTATAGTTCCAAAATACTGAACTATCCTATGCATGACATTGACAGTGGGGCGCCACCGTCAATACCGGATCGCTGGTTCAGATTTTTGCCATGTTGGAAACCATATAGTTGAACGATGGTAGCGCCCCCCTGTCATTGAGTTTGGTGGGACAGTTCAGCTTGGGTCATCTATATGAGTTTGAACAGCATTTGACAATTGTTATGTTGCAGACGAGCTCGCCGGCGGGCGAGGGCAGCAGCACGGCGGCGCTGGAGCGGCTGGCGGCGCGGGCGCTGGCGGCGGGCGGCGGCGCGGCGCCGGACCACGCGCCCTTCGCCGGCGAGCACGCGCTGCCCGACGCGCCCTGCCTGTGGGCCGACAAGTACCGCCCGCGCAAGCCGCGATACTTCAACAGGTATAGTTCGTTCGTTCGTTTCAGCCAAATGACGTCTACTGCTGGACAAAGGCCTCCTCCAAGGTTTTCCACAATGCACGGTCCTGCGCTGCCCGCACCCAGGCTCTTCCCGCGACCTTTACCAGATCGTCGGTCCACCTAGTAGGAGGCCTGCCCACGCTACGTCTTCCAGCCCGTGGTCGCCACTCGAGAACTTTTCTGCCCCAACGGCCATCGTCTCTACGAGCTATGTGCCCCGCCCACTGCCACTTGATTTTAGCAATTCTGCGATCTATATCGGTCACTTTGGTTCTCCTGTGAATCTCCTCATTTCTGATTCGATCACGCAGGGAAACTCCAAGCATAGCCCGCTCCATCGCCCTTTGGGTGACCTTGAGCCTTCTTAGTAACAACAGGTATAGTATTTGCATTCTATCGGAACTATTGTCTCCACCTCTTTCCCACTGCTGCAACTCATGTGTCTACAGCTTGACCGCCAATAAAAACCCAACCAATGAAGGTCAAGGGTCCAGGGTCTACAGCTTGACCGCCAATAAAAACCCAACCAATGAAGGTCAAGTTTGTCTCTACATCAAGTTTATATTTGCACTATAGTTAACTCTTAAGGCCTGGTGCAGACAGCACGGTTAATCGCACGGTTTCTAGCAGTTCCCGTACATTTCATTCAAACCGTAACCGCACGGTGCTTCGCTAATGATAATGACCCAGAAATCGCGCGGTTAATGTGAACCAGTGACTTCTCTGTGATTTTAAAAAGCCCCGCTCATTTCTATGGTTTTCCAGTGCTATCGAGGCTATATTGTAGAGTTTATGTTTTAATAACAAACATTTGTTTACCTACAGAGTGCACACGGGCTTCGAGTGGAACAAGTACAACCAGACGCACTACGACATGGACAACCCGCCGCCCAAGATCGTGCAGGGCTACAAGTTCAACATCTTCTACCCCGACCTCATCGACAAGAGCGCCACGCCAGAGTTCTCACTCGTAAGTCACATTTATCTAGTCTAAATGCTTTTGTGTATAGTAAGATATAGTTTTTTAATCCACANTATAAAAAAAAAAGTGCTGTATTCTGACAGAATACGTCCGCTTTAGCATTTGTTACTATGACACCAAAGCTGTAGCACCACTGTACGTCGTAGTATTTGAGATCAAAGTCGGTCGTTTCATATATTTTTAGAACTCAAATACTACGATGCACAGTGGTGCTACAGCTTTGGTGCCATAGTAATAAATGCTAAGGCGGACGTATTCTATCAGAATCAGGGTTCGAAAATATCCGATATTTATTATAAATATCAAAATATCGGATATTTATGATATATATCCGATATATATCAACTTTGATATATATCAAATTTGTATGAAAGCTATACTATTATTTTATTGTATTATTTATGAATACCATTGCATATGTGTCACATAAACATGTTTTTAATGTTTTTAAAACTTAAAATCAGACAAATAAAGCAAAAACATAAAATCTTCTTGTAAATACGGCAAAATCAACTAAAAAACAAAAATCTTATGTGAAAATGTACAAATACAGTTACAAATTTTAAAAATTGATATATATCATCAAAACCGGCTGGATATATATCGGATATATATCCGATATATATCAAGATATATATCCCTTGATATATATCCTCGAACCCTGATCAGAATACAGCACTTTTAGTTTTTGGCCGGCACTTTTGATTTTGGACCAAAATGGATGATGTCCTTTGGGGGTGAAAGAGGGGGACAATAGTAGAGATTGGGGGATAAAAGTTTTTTTTATTTATTTTTTTACAAAAAGTTTGGTTTTAAACCAGTAACCCTTTATCCTGTGTTCAGCCAAGCCAATCGACCTGCTGGCGTGGTACGTGAGCTCGGAGGAGTGCGTGGACGCACTGGAGATGCACGAGCCCTACACTTACCTTAACGGGCTACAGGCGCAGGACCTCGAAGATCTTCTCGAGGACATCAAGGTAACAATACAAAACTTATTACTACTTTTATATTTGACAACGTAAAGCCGGGTCTCCAGCGCGTGTCTTTTGCCCAATAATGTTTTTTATAGACAATTTTGTGTTGTCATGTTTTTGATGATTGTGTATGGCAAAACACGCGCTGGAGACTGCTTTAAAGGCTAAGAGTGTATTCAAAGTCTAGGTTTGTTTGGCCGCGACTGATGTGGTCCCTTCTGCTGCAGGTGTACCAGGAGCTGGAGAGCGCGGACAACCAGGGCTACTGGGAGGACGTGCGCACCATCGTGCTGGACGAGCTGGCCAAGCTGCGGCGCCTGGCCGCGCCCGACGCGCGCCGCGACGGCGTGCACCAGGCCGTGGCCGACGACGTCACGCAGGTACAGCCCAGACTAGCGTGGATGCGTGACGTAATAACATTTTGAGAGTTCCCGGAGGTCACATTCCTCTCATTTAAAGGCGAGTACGGAGCACTAGGGCAATCTATCCCGCAGGGTAGATATGTAAAATGCTTAATTTCCGTGCATTTTTTAAACGCTACCGCTGATCCAAAATTATTTCAATTTACTCATAGGGTTCACACCTGCGTGCTTGCAAATACTTCTCATAGTGTATCATAAGGTTTCACGCAGATACTTGACTTGTGTAAATTTTGGGCTAAACTAAGACCCGAACTGTTCACCGAGGTAAAAGGTAGGTTCTGTCTAATTGTTTAATTTATGTGTGTGCAGATCTTCAAGGGCAAGACGGGCGCGCAGCTGGAGGCGCTGCAGACGCAGATCGAGCAGAAGATCAGCGGCCGCCGCGACGGCGTCGACGTCGGCTACTGGGAGAGCCTGCTCAGCCAGCTCAAGGGTCAGTCAGCCACCTACATACTATACTATCTTATCTTTCTACCACGTGAGATGCAAGCCAAGAGCTCCGCGTTCGTAGTTTCCTCTCACCCTCGTAGCAGTCGTGTCATATAATGTTAACATTTCTCTGCAGCGCACATGTCTCGCGCGCGGCTGCGCGACCGGCACCAGAGCAACCTGCGCCGCAAGCTGCAGCTGCTCAAGCAGGAGCAGGGCGTGCAGCCGCCCGCCGCCGCCGACGCCGGGCCCGCCTCCGCCGCCGACGCCGCCCGCCAGCCGCAGCCGCAGTGAGTCCACAATCATACTGCATGTCCCGCGACCGGCACCAGCAACCTGCGCCGCAAGCTGCAGCTGCTCAAGCAGGAGCAGGGCGTGCAGCCGCCCGCCGCCGCCGACGCCGGGCCCGCCTCCGCCGCCGACGCCGCCCGCCAGCCGCAGCCGCAGTGAGTGTCCTTTGTACTTAGCACGTTTTTTAACGTGCCTTCCATCCCCGCAGCCCCGTCACAACGTACGTAATGCGTCCAGAACTAAGTTCCACATCATTTCAACTTGGCTAAGTCTTTTCATCTGAGCTTCAGAATTTTCAAAATCTGTAACACCGTTCAAAACTTTCCAGAACGTCCGACACTCCCGACGCGGAGCCCAAGGAGGAGGAGAAGGCCGAGCCGTCAGCATCAGCCGCGCCCGACGACGACGGCTCCGACTCGGAGGACGACAGCGCGGCGTGCGTGGCGCTGTACCGCAGCGGCCGCTACTCGCCCGCGCTGCTGTCGCCGGCGGCGCTCGAGCCCGCGACGATTCTGACGGACGTGGCGGACGACGAGCAGCGCGTGAGCTTCCTGCGCCACGCGCTGCACGCGCACGCCGCCAGCGCGCAGGCTGCGCGCGCGCCGCCCCCACTCGCCGCTATGGTGAGTGCATAGATTAAATTGTTTGAGTTTTTTTTAATATGTTCTCACGATTCACACCCGAAGTGCCTGGGACGGGGTGAATGCGCGGTGTGATATTTTCACGCAGACTGATAGCAGTGTGTAATGCAAGGTGAACCTGGCGCAAAGCGACAACGACTGTGTGCATGAGTGTAGTCGGTAATTTACTTGGATGGATCATGTCTGTTAGTCGGAAAAACTCGATTTTTGTCAACCGATTTACGTATGAGACACGTTTATTGTATAAGTACGTTAATTCTATATCATCACTGCGAGTGTAATACCGCACGGTAGGTATCACTAAAAAGTCACGGCCATTTTGAACTTTACTGCTAAACAATAAATTTCAAAATGGCATATCGCACTCGCAGTTATAGTTCCAAAATACTGAACTATCCTATGCATGACATTGACAGTGGGGCGCCACCGTCAATACCGGATCGCTGGTTCCGATTTTTGCCATGTTGGAAACCATATAGTTGAACGATGGTAGCGCCCCCCTGTCATTGAGTTTGGTGGGACAGTTCAGCTTGGGTCATCTATATGAGTTTGAACAGCATTTGACAAGTGTTATGTTGCAGACGAGCTCGCCGGCGGGCGAGGGCAGCAGCANCTTAGCACGTTAATGTGCCTTCCATCCCCGCAGCCCCGCCACAACCACTGGGAAATATGCGTCCAGAGGCGAAGTGGAGGTCTTCTTTCTCCACTTCATTTCAACTTAGCTAAGTCTTTTCATCTGAGCTTCAGAATTTTTAAAAACTGTAACACCCAGGGCCGGATCTACCATATGGCTTTTTGGGCTTCAGCCCAGGGCCCCGTGGATTCAAGGGGCCCCTAGCTAGCTAAGTCAAGTCAAAGTAAAAAATAGACGATAATGTGATAGTAGGGCCCCTAAGTAGTATTAGCCCAGGGCCCCCCAAACTCACGGTCCGGTCCTGGTAATACCGTTTAAAACGATACTGCAGTGCATCAGGGATGCTGGCAGAAGCTCGAGTAGATAGCTTTGCTGCCATTTTAAGAAAGCGCACTGCGTCCCTGATCCACCGTGTGCGTGGCAGCTCCAACAGCCTCCTGCAGAGTGTCGCGGCGAGGTTGGACGTGGACAGTGCCATCATGCAGCACTGGACACGCGTCCATCTTACTAAAGACACCAAATTGTCGTTCGTTAATTGTGTTAAGGTTACTGTGTGATTTACTAACCATAGTTTATAAGACCTTTGTTACTAACACTTTTATGGGCTATGCCTGAAATAAATACCTTTTATTTTATTTATTTATTTAAAACAATTTCCAGAACGTCCGACACCCCCGACGCGGAGCCGAAGGAGGAGGAGAAGGCCGAGCCGTCAGCATCGGCCGCGCCCGACGACGACGGCTCCGACTCGGAGGACGACAGCGCGGCGTGCGTGGCGCTGTACCGCAGCGGCCGCTACTCGCCCGCGCTGCTGCCGCCGGCGGCGCTGGAGCCCGCGACGCTGCTGACGGACGTGGCGGACGACGAGCAGCGCGTGAGCTTCCTGCGCCACGCGCTGCACGCGCACGCTGCTAGTGCACAGGCTGCGCGCGCGCCGCCCCCACTCGCCGCTATGGTGAGTGCATAGATTAAATTGTTTGAAGTTTTTATTTTTTGTGTTCTCACAATTCTCAATGGAACGGTTCGGAACAAACTGCATTGAATCTAAATTGCGTGTTGTGTCAGTCTATAATTGTTGTTGCATTGTAACTTTGTTCATAATTGTCATTTTAAGTGTACATGTTGTTATGTAACAATGTTGGTAGACCTAATAAATAAATAAATAAATTCCAACCGTGCTTGGGACGGGGTGAAAGCGCGGTTTTCACGCAGACTGACAGTGTTTAATGCTAGGTGATCTGGCACAAAGCAATAACGACTGTGTGCAAGTTGTGTGTGCAAGAGGCTAGTCGGTAACTTACTTGGATGGATCACGTCTGTTAGTCAGAATAACTCGACTTTTGTCAACCGATTTACGTATGAGACAAGTTTATTGTAAACGTTAATCCTGTATTTTACTGCGAGTGTAATACCGCACGGTAGGTATCACTAAAAAGTCACGGCCATTTGAACTTTACTGTTGTAACAATAAAGTTCAAAATGGCATATCGCACTCGCAGTTATAGTTCCAAAATACTGAACTATCCTATGCATGACATTGACAGTGGGGCGCCACCGTCAATACCGGATCGCTGGTTCAGATTTTTGCCATGTTGGAAACCATATAGTTGAACGATGGTAGCGCCCCCCTGTCATTGAGTTTGGTGGGACAGTTCAGCTTGGGTCATCTATATGAGTTTGAACAGCATTTGACAATTGTTATGTTGCAGACGAGCTCGCCGGCGGGCGAGGGCAGCAGCACGGCGGCGCTGGAGCGGCTGGCGGCGCGGGCGCTGGCGGCGGGCGGCGGCGCGGCGCCGGACCACGCGCCCTTCGCCGGCGAGCACGCGCTGCCCGACGCGCCCTGCCTGTGGGCCGACAAATACCGCCCGCGCAAGCCGCGCTACTTCAACAGGTATAGTTCGTTCGTTCGTTTCAGCCAAATGACGTCTACTGCTGGACAAAGGCCTCCTCCAAGGTTTTCCACAATGCACGGTCCTGCGCTGCCCGCATCCAGGCTCTTCCCGCGACCTTTACCAGATCGTCGGTCCACCTAGTAGAAGGCCTGCCCACGCTACGTCTTCCAGCCCGTGGTCGCCACTCGAGAACTTTTTTTGCCCCAACGGCCATCGTCTCTACGAGCTATGTGCCCCGCCCACTGTCACTGTGTATCGGTCACTTTGGTTCTCCTGTGGATCTCCTCATTTCTGATTCGATCACGCAGGGAAACTCCAAGCATAGCCCGCTCCATCGCCCTTTGGGTGACCTTGAGCCTTGTTAGTAACAACAGGTTTGCATTCTATCGGGACTATCGTCTCCACCTCTTTCCCACTGCTGCAACTTCTGTGTAGCCAGGATCTACAGCTTGACCGCCAATAAAAACCCAACCAATGAAGGTCAAGTTCGTCTCTACATTCAAGTTTGTATTTGCATTATAGTTAACTCTTAAGGCCTGGTTCAGACAGCAATAATCGCACGGTTTCTGGCAGTTCCCGTACATTTGATTCAAACCGTAACCGCACAGTGCCTCACTAATGAGAATAACCCAGAAACCGCGCGGTTAATGTGAACCAGGCCTAAATATTGTCTTTTTTATCTAGAATGGACTTCTGTGATTTTAAAAATTCCGCTCATTTCTATGATTTTACAGTGCTATCGAGGCCTTATTGTAGATTTTGTTTTATCAAACATTTGTTCACCTACAGAGTGCACACGGGCTTCGAGTGGAACAAGTACAACCAGACGCACTACGACATGGACAACCCGCCGCCCAAGATCGTGCAGGGCTACAAGTTCAACATCTTCTACCCCGACCTCATCGACAAGAGCGCCACGCCAGAGTTCTCACTCGTAAGTCACATTTATCTAGTCTGAATGCTTTTGTGTTAGTAAGATATAGTTTTTTTTATCCACAACATAGCTGCCAATGCTCTAGACCAGGGGTTCCCAAACTTATTTTGTCTACTGCCCACTTTGCGAATAAATTATTTTTAAGCGTCCCCATTTTTAGTCGAGAGTCGAGTGCTCAGTCGATGTCTAAGAGTCCTTCAAATGAAATTACAAACCGCCTCCCAAGTCTCTACACAACAGCCAGATTTTTTTCTGGGTCTCTTACCGCCCTTTAGGCCTACCGCGCACACAAGGGGGCGTTTTCGCCCCCTTGGGAAAGGCTGCTCTAAACTAATTTTTAAAGGCATGTATTNCCCATTTTTAAATTGAAATGAATGAAAGAGATAAATTACTGATTTGAAACGATTATTTGAATTTCAGAAAGCATGCCCCGAGAACCCCGACTTCGCCGTGCTGCGCTTCCACGCCGGGCCGCCCTACGAGGACATCGCGTTCAAGATCGTCAACCGCGAGTGGGAGTACTCGTACAAGCGCGGCTTCCGCTGCCACTTCCACAACAACATCTTCCAGCTGTGGTTCCACTTCAAGCGCTACCGCTACCGCCGGTAGACTGCCGATCAATATATTGTTCAAATGTACTGGCTCATTCATTTTGTCTACCCTCTTTTTTACTATTTGAATTTTAGGCGGTTATCACACTGCGCCGCGCTCCGGACAGATTTAATCATTGTATGCAAGTACCTCAGTTTGTATAGAAAACACGCGCGGCACTTCACACTGACAACGCGTCCGCGCGCGTGATATTTTATATGAAAATCACGCGCTCCGTGATAACCGCCTTAAGAACTCACGAAGCGGATTTCTATCTACTAATTAGACGAGTCATTGGTGCAGTCCTGTTGTCCCCCAACTACCTTTGTAGTCAGGTGATAGTAGAATATTCTATGTACAGTCAGCTTTAAAAAAATCGTGACACCCAAAGTAGCCAATAAGTTCGCAACAACATTTTTATTATAATTGGAATAAGGTTGTGTTACTACACTCAACATCAAATAAATCGCACCATCCGCGACGCGAACTTTAAAGATTTTCTACTGACACAATCATGGTGCCCCAACGATATTGGTGTTATTTGAAAGCCCAATAAATATCATTAAAGAAAAACACATTTAATTTCTTAATACATTATTAACATATACCATAAATGTGACTTGAAAAAAGACCTCACTTTGGGCTCACCTCTGGGATCAATTAACCCAATTTTTATGGTTATAAAACCAAATAATGATCTCACGTGTCGTCTTTAACAGATTGATAGCGATTAATCCCAACTTAACAGTTTTATAGCCATAAAAGTTGGATCAAGCTTAACTACCTATTTTTTGAAGAAGTGACTCTGGATCCTTCTAAAGACACATTTTTAGGATAAAAACCTTTCCTTTAATGAAATGAAGTTTAGAACTAGGCTTTTAAATGGTGCCAATATTAGTGGGAAGTGGGGATGCATACGTTTGAAAGTGCTTGTCGCGGGAGGTGCGATTTATTTGATGTCGAGTGTATTTGGCCACTGGGTCTGACAAACTATTTGACGCTGACTGTACTGTGGTAGATTGATCAGTGTTCAAGAACAACAATTTAAAATATTTCAGAAAAAAATCTAATTGGGTTGGTTATGAAAGCAGTTAGTTGAATCAAAGTTAAATTTTATTTCTAAATGATTTAATCTTTAAACAATTTTTCTGTACACTATTGATTGAGAATAATTTATTTATTGCTGTGGTTTGTCATCGCCAGGATTGGTAACTTCTTCAGCAGTGGGATTGGCTCTGAAATTAGGAAACTGCTCCCATGGTGCACTAAGCTCGAACCGTCTGAACTCCTGAGCCAACTCTAGGGGCTCCACCACCACACGCTTCTGTTCATCGTCATAACGGACCTCCACATAGCCACTTAGAGGGAAGTCCTTCCTGAATGGGTGGCCCTCAAAGCCATAGTCAGTCAAAATCCTCCTCAAATCAGGGTGGTTAGCAAAGAACACCCCATACATGTCCCAAATTTCTCTTTCGTACCAATTGGCAGCCTTAAAAATGTCGCAAGCGGAATCGACTGGCGTCAGTTCGTCGGTATAGGTCTTTACTCTGATTCTTGAATTGTAGCGTAGGGATAACAAATTGTAAACAATTTCGAAGCGGTTTGGCCTCGTTGGCACGTCCACGCCTGCGATGTCCACGAGGTTAACAAACTGCGCGCTGTGATGATCTTTGAGGAACGACAACACTGGCAAAACCGCCTCAGGAGCGACTAACACTTCCAATTCATTACCTGCAGTAATTTGTACCTTTTGTACAAACTTAGGTAAACATTCTGCAATATATTTGCCAAAATCAATCAACTGAGTCTTCTGGAGTGGGTCCACTTTGGCTACAGTGGGCCTGGTCTCCACCTGCGGAGCCGCTTGATCTGTTTTAGTGGCTACGCGTTGAATAATTGCAGGCTTCGAGTTATTGAGTACAGTGCGTCCAAAAGTAGCTGCTGCACCTGCGGTGCGTTTCAAAAAGAAAGACATTGTTTCCTGTTTCAAGTTATAAATTTTCCTTACGTAATTCGTATTCGATCGAATTATTTTTCACCACACCACCACAAAAACACCAACTTTGTGTCAAAGTGACATACCTAATGTCAAAATGAAATTTCATATTTTAACGCGCCAATGATCAATATCGAACAGCGGGACAGTCCATCCCAAAAAAAAAAAAGATCAATATCGAATGCTCTCATCGCAGGCCAGCATCTTGTACACAACATTCACAAAACCGGTTAGTTACAAGCACTACACTATTTCACCCCATTTGCATCATTTTTAATTTTTATACATCATGTTTCTGTTTGAACTTCGGACACCTTGCCCACATATTCTTAATTATAAATAAATATACAAAATAAAATATTTCATCAGCAAAAAGTGTACACTTTTAAATGTTAGTAAAAACCTTAGGCTAATGTTAGTATCTTAATTCTAAAACGGACATCGTCCAGCTGATTATGTGGCCTATCAGATATCAGTGGACAATCCCCACAATTCCGACAATCAATGATGACTCGGTATCGGATATTGGTCATATTACGATTAAATCGCGTTGATACAATACAATTAGCAATTGAATATCAAATATTTAAATTATACATCACTATTTGACAGACTGTGGCAATAATCTGTGGCATCGAGTTTGGCAAGTTTTGCAAAATTGTTTTTGTGAAGACGGTTGTTTGATAAAATTTTGCTGAATTTCACTGAAAGTAAGGTTTATCTGTTCATTTAATGTAAGTACATCAAGTAACTAGTATCAAAAATATCTAGTCAAGCGTTTAAATACAACCGTGAGTAATGTCCAATGTATTTATGGTAAAATTAGATAAAGTTTTCGTTTCAATACCTACCTGCAAGTGTGGCATTAATTTTATGCGGTCTATAAAACTATAGGTATCTGTCTGCAAATACAATGTTAGAAATGTTTCGGACAGTCGTTCTTGTCATTTTTCTTGATTTCCGAGCGTGTTCCGTGGCCGGCAGGTGGAAGCCAGCCGGCGAGCATGGATACAGAGCTGCAGGAGCTGAAGAGCGTGCTGCGGTCGCTGGTGGTGTCCAGCCCGACGCAGGTGGACGTGCGCGCGCTGCTGCGCGACTACCGCAACATGATGGGCGCGCCGGTGCCGCTCGCCAAGTACGGCTACCGCGACCCCGTCACGTTTCTACGAGAGCGTTTCAGTGATTGCTTTGTGGTAAGTGAATTCATTCTGAAATAATCGGATGTTAGATTGTTTACATAAAATAAACAATGGATTTGTTCTAGCGTATACATTATTTGACATAGTGAGTCGAAATCACTAGGAAATTAAATTATTAAGTTAAATAATATTTTTGGTTGGGCCTATGTCCAACTTTCATGTTTGGAGTCACCAGCCGACCCCCGCATCATCTTTCTTCCCCGCAATTTTTTATTCCTGGTGTGGCTATTTACACGCCACATCAATTTTAAAAAATTGCACTTAAATTTTCAGTTTCAAGGGCCACAGAACAATCCTGTATTAACATTAATAGTTCCTGACGCGCTGAAGCATATTGATGAGTTTGTTCAGAGACAAAAGTTATCAACAAATGTGAAATTGTAAGTTAAAAATACTTCCTGCATATTTCAACTTAATACTTTTTAATTATTGGACACCTTTTTAGACACCTCATGATTTCACCAATTTATTGCCTGTGTACACTTTTTATCACTTAAACAACATTATTTTTTTAGCAAAGGAAAAAGAAGAAGTATTCCGGAACAAATAATCAATAAATCAACCAAAAACTTAATAGCCAGCACATTTATACCTCCTGCTCCAAAGAACAAACAACACAATACAACTACTCCAAAACTTACTACAAACACTGCAATTAACAAAAATTATACAACTGAATCTGGGAATATACCATTACATAAATCAATTAATAAACTCAACATTCAAGATCAAGCCCTAAGCCAAGAGTCAATAGCTAGCAATAAAGAGAAATCGCAAGATAATGGTGCAGAAGAGAGATTACAAGATCTAAACTCTTCCCAAAGTGCTTTACAAAAGTTCCTGAAGAAAAGATTACCTTTTTACAATAGTTCTCAGCACTTGAGCAGTGACAAATATGACTCGGGGATTGCCTCATCCAAAGGGGATGATGACTCTGGGAGACGGACCTCATCAAGTACGTATTGCTTTACATAATTTAAACAATAATAAAATAAACATTTTTGAACACTAGATTTCCTTATTTTGTTGTCATTTATTTATTTTCTTGTCTATGAACTCTTTTTAGGTACAGGCAGTAAAGCAGCGTTGTTAGAAGAATTAAAAAAGGAAATAAGAGATCTGGTGGAAGAACACCCTGAAGGTGTTTGGTGTACTGATCTGATTGCATTATACAGGTAAAAGGTTATTGATTTAATACAATAAAGCTATAATGTAATGTGTAGAGACGGTTTCACATATATTTTTTGATACGAAGAACTTCCATCAAAATTACGGCATAGACCCTTTTCCGCGTGCCATAGTAAAAACCAGTTACAAAATTTCAAAACTTTTTATGGCGCACAGGATCCAGTTTTATGCCCTACAATTTGTCCTAAATAAAAGTTTCCAATTAACATTAGAGAGGTCATTTTGAGATCCACCAAACGATGTGAACTCACTCGACCGGTATCGTGTTAAAGCCACACACCTCCATCGCTCACGCTGTTGCGCAACGCGGCGTGCGTAGACTGGAAACAGATTTGACACCATTCCCCAATAATTCGAAATCACAACTTTTGTAAAAAGACACTTCATTCTGGTTCAATTAATTCAAAACATTTATTGCATGTAATATTACAATTTATAGTGATGTTACAAAATAGAGGTAGGCATGTGACATATAGAAATAATTTTAAATTACCTGTAAATTAAGATTTTTGGTTGCATTGTAGGTAATCAAAGAAAGTAGTTTGAGTTGACAAAATACTGACATCACTTCGCTTATACACCACTAAATTTTTATCACCGAAAAAAAAAATTCTGGGTAATGAGTTATTGATACTGATCCTATTTAAGCAAAAAAAGTTAAATAAAGTTACTCAAAATTTCATCCTAAAATTTGTAATTTATGGACACACGCGTCGCTAGCACTATTTACGCAAGATAATGTAACACTTATTAGAACTCAACATGGTCTAAGTTAGCTAAGTATGTAATACTAACACTGGAAGCGTGGTCGAGGCGTGAGCGAGACAGACAGATCGGGGCAATATGCGAGCGCGTACGACTACTCTAGTGAGCAGCGGAGTGACCCAGCTATGACGCGTAAAATAAGGACTAAAGAAAATTTAATAAAAAAATTAACTTTATGAAAAACATTTATTTTTCTTCTGCTTTACATTTTTCACACGTTTCTACATAACCTGTTAAAATTTTTTTGGGTGATAAAAATGTAGTGGTGTATTACCATACAAAATGTACGGGAGAAAGTACGTCGATCGATCGGTGGTGTCAACTGTGAACACGCATTGCAGGCAGCGGTACAAGCGCGAGCTGGAGTTCGAGCGCTTCGGGCTGACGTCGGTGGCGGCGCTGGCGGTGGGCGTGGGCGGCGTGCACGTGTCGCGCGCCGGCGACGGCTGGCTGCTGAGCGCCGCGCCCGCGCCGCCGCGCCGCCACGTGCCGCTCAGCGTGGCTCGCTACGCGCCCGCCGCGCCTGAGCAAGTCGACCCTGACGACGCGCTGCCGGGTATCGACTTTGTGAGTGTCACCCCCCCTCTAAAAACTAAGGCCCAGAACAGACGGTGAAACGCAACTGCTACGAAACTGCAACTTTCTGATGATTCTGATGAATGAAACTGAAACTGAAAGTTTCAAACTGGTCGCGTCATGTGTCGTCTCTCAACAGACGCTATGGCAGAAACTTAGATGCAACTCAAAAGTAACTAGTAGTTGCAGTTTCGTTGCAGTTGCGTTTCACCGTCTGTTCTGGGCCTAAACTGTTGCTTTTTATAAACTTTCAAGGAAAACTAAAACAGTCAAGATAGATTAGTTAGTTTAAGAGTAATAGTCGTTTAACTCAAGTATTATCAAATTTCTTAACTAATAAAAAATCTTCAAAATAAAATATTAAAAGTGACTTTAGATGAAGAAATTGCTTGCTTCTGAAATATATTGTGGTAACGACGGACAACTAAGGAACCCTACACTGCGCGTGACACGACACGCACTTGGCCAATTTTTATATTGACAGCCGACTTCTATTTACTACGTATCGTATCGCTTCGTAGTTCAGGCAGGCTTGTTCATCTCCGCGAGAATGCATCCATCATCCATATTCTTCCTTTATCCATTGTAAAAAAAAAATAGTCACTATGGAAAGAAAAAGTGCGGTGCGCTAGATGGCAACACATTAACTTCTTGTAACAGTCAGCATAGAATAATAGTACAGAAGATATTCTTCGCGAAGGTATTTAAAAAATGTGACGTAGTAACATGAAAAGCTGCATGTAAGATATTATCTGTGTACAATGGCAGGCCTGGCTCACTCCGCGCGGTACATCNCTAATGACATTGAGCATACATTTTTTTAAATACCTTCGCGAAGTAAAACTTCTGTACGTAGTACTTATTATTATTCTGTGGTGTCACCTTTTAAGGTTCGTAGTCCTGACAAGGAACCCTTATAGTCGCCCCACCCCCCTCTCTAAAAACTAAACTGTTGCTTTTTATAAACTTCAAGGAAAACTATAACAGTCAAGATCAGTTAGTTTAAGAGTAATAGTCGTTTAACTCGCGTATTATAAAATTTCTTACTTATAAAAATTCCGTAGAAGAAAATATTAAAAGTGACTTTAGATGAAGAAATTGCTTGCTTCTGAAATATATTGTGGTAACGACGGACAACTACGGAACCCTACACTGCGCGTGGCACGAAACGCACTTGGTCAATTTTTACATTGACAGCCGACTTCTATTTACTACGATATCGAATCGCTTCGTAGTTCAGGCAGGCTTGTTCATCTCCGCGAGAATGCATCCATCATCCATATTCTTCCTTTATCCATTGTAAAAAAAAAAGTCACTATGGAAAGAAAAAGTGCGGTGCGCTAGATGGCAACACATTAACTTCTTGTAACAGTCAGCACAGAATAATAATAAGAACTACGTACAGAAGATATTCTTCGCGAAGGTATTTAAAAAATGTATGCTCAATGTCGTTAACAATATGGTGTAATTTAGCTTGTCTCAAGAGTCGGGCACAATTTTGTTAACAAACGTCAGTGATCTCTACTGCGCCGAAGCCATAGGGCTGACTTCGGTAAAATGATGTATGACGTGAGGTGCCAAACTGTGGAAAATGGCAGAGGAAATACATGAATAAACATGAATTATATTTTGTGTTTCTATTATTATTCAGGCAGTTAAAATACTGTACAGTATTAATTACACCACCGTTTTTACATATAGTTTATTGTCTTTACAATGTAAATGGGTGAATTATACACGTGCGTGTATCAATACTCGCTCGTGATTGTCCTGTCGATTAGGTATCTCAGTGGGCCTAAGATGCGCGCCGCGATAAGCGGTTATCACGCCATTTTATCGATCTTGCCCATACATTTTGGTGTCGATAAAAGTTATTACGGCGCGCATCTTAGGTCTACAGGAGGTGTAGTCGCGCGTGTTTCGTTTTTGATGCAAACTCGCGGAGATGAACAGCCCTATCGCATCGCCATAGTGCCGACTACTGACATAAGTCAAACGAAACGGTGCTCTACTCTGAGATAAGCTATAAATAATATGGTGTAAATTGTTGAAAACATTGAGTAGATTTTTTTTAAATACCCTCGCGAAGAAAACAAAAATATTCTGTAGGTTCAGGTACGATCGGCCAACGCTCCTCCTGCTGACGTACTGTTTTTTAAAAGAAAGTTGATTTTTGGAACTATTAGTTGATGACATGACGTTATTTACTCGATTGGCTAATGAATTCCTTTTTAATGGAATGAAATTATCATTACCATTAGCTAATTATACATTTTACTAACGAGATGAAAACTAAGCAAATGTTAACATTGATTTTTTTACTCTAAAGCGTTCTGTAGAGCTAGATCACACGCCTCGGTAGCTTGAGGTCTTGTAATACGTTGCTTTTTAAACGTTAAAGTTTTATTTGCGAGTAGGGCCACTATGGGCCAGTTTTGCAGGAAGTGTAAACGGTTGTTCGTGTGCTCGACGCAGGACCCGGACGTGTTCCCGCAGGACTGCATGCACTTCATGGAGAGCATCCCGGCGGCGCCGCTGGGCGCGCTGGCGCCGGGCCACAACGTCGGCGTCATGCTGGGCGAGGTCTACTCGCCCTCGCACTTCTGGCTGCTGCGCCTCGGCGACGGCTACGACGCCATGGGCGACATGATGGACGAGATGACGTGAGTACTCGCGGCCTCCCTGCGCCTGCCTCGTGCCGGGGCAGAGCGAGTAAGCCATTCTTGCGATTTAGTTAATGAAGTTCTGTGTGTTTCCTGTAATAGTAAGTAGGCAAGTATCCGATATTTTTTATCTGTTGAAAATTATTAGTGGCGATGTCGACTGTCCAGCTCTATTAGAAAAAATAGACATCTGGGTTCCGCGAAAACTACCAGTAGGACGTACTCAGCCGCTAGCAATTCCCAGAGTTAATAAAAATTATCGCCTCAACTCTTTTTTTATTCGTCCGAGTAAATTTTTTAACGATATATCAAAAAATAATAGTGACCTAGAATTATTTCGAACCAAACCCACTACTATAAATAAATTATTAAATTCAGACTTTTCCAACTCCCACTCCGGCGACGCTTAAAAGTACTGTTGACTATTAAGTTTTCACTTGTAAATTCTTTAAATGTCTGCTCTTGTAACAGCGTATGGTCTATTTACATCTTGACTTCCATTTGCGATTGCATTGAAATGGCTAAGCAGATACATAATTTTAGGTTTCATTATTTGTATTGCTGTTGGTTTTCCTAATAAAAAAAATTAAAAATAACTGAGGTGATCGTTTCTGTAAATCGGTTTCCGTCGGTGTCCGCAGGAGGTACTACACGCACGGCGAGGGCAAGGACCGCTCGCTGGCGCTGGGCGCCGTGCGCGTCGGCCACTACTGCAGCAGCGTGTTCGAGGGCGACTGGCACCGCTCGCTCATCGTGCGCGTGCAGGACTGCGACACCGTCAAGGTGGGCCCTCGGACTCGACGCGTCCGTCGACACGTCACGACCCGAGCTCACGCGTCCCCAGGGCTGGATTAACCATTTCGGGGCCCCTAGGCACAACTCGTTTCGCCCCCCCCCCCCCTTTTTCATACCACAACAAAGCAATTTGGAAATTTTTACTGTCTACATTACGAAATTGAATGAAGGTAACATCATTATCGCAAAAGTATACGCCTTCCTTCAAGTGAAAAGACTTTCGCCACAATTCTACAGGACGAAGTATCGGAGTCATTTAAAAATGAAACAAAGAATAGGAAAATCTTGCATATTTTTATAAAACTAACATAAACATTAAAAAATAAAAATGTAGTATTGTACTGATTAAGAAGCATGTTTAAATATTAACCCTTCTAATTTTTTTGGATACAAAATCATTTATTACTTCTTGAAAATTGACCTTTTCTGATAAATCATCTTTAACATGTTTTTTCTTTTCATTTTTTATCGGGAGTGCTGGGCCCCTGGTCATAGTGGGCCCCTCGGCACTGGCCTAAAGTGCCTTATGGATAATACGGCACTGCGCGTCCCTCGTCGCAGGTGCGGCACATCGACTACGGCACGGTGGAGAGCGTGGCGGTGAGCGCGCTGAAGCCGCTGCGGCGCGCGTGGGCGGCGCTGCCGGCGCAGGCCGTGCGCGCGCGCCTCGCCGCCGTGCGCCCGCCCGGCGCCGGCCGCCGCTGGCCGCACGCCGCCGCCGCGCACTTCCTGCACCTCGTGCGCGACCGCCGCCTCGTCGCCAACGTCGCCGCCGTCGACCGCGAGGTGAGCCCCGTCCCTGCCCGAGCGCCGGTGTTAAATATGAGGCCGTCGGCGTAAAAGTGGCCTAATCCACATTTTTCATAATTATTCGTACTTATACAGGGTGTTTCTTGTAAGGTGTCAAGCCGAAGGCAGGTGATAGGTGAGGACTAGACCTATCGATTTCACCCCCATGTATGTTCTACGATTTTTCGTAGTTTAGAAGTTATCGTTAATTTTGTGATTTTTTCAAATTTCATGACCTAGTGGCTTAATTTTTATCTAATTTTATCTATCTTTTCCGGGTGAAGCTCGCTGATCATCCAGCAGTTTCCAACTTTCCATCAGGTCAGATGAAGAGCAAGAGCTTCCACGTTGTGGATAAAAAAAATCTTTTTAGTTACTGTCTCTAAATGTGTTCTACATAACGTAAACTTAGGGGATTGCAAATATTACTTAGTCCTAAGAACGTCAAAAACATGTAACGGAATCTCCGACTTACCNAAAGCGACACTGTAATTGTACATCTTCGACAATCGCGCATTTCTTAAGTCATTAGTCAGTTGTCATCGTCGCAGGATTTCGAGATAGCCGGGAGCGGGTGCGGCGCGGGCGGCGGCGGGCGCTCGCCGGCCGGCACGGAGGCCACGGAGCGCTCGTGGGACTCGCACGCGCAGTACCGGCGCGCGGCGGGCGTGCGGGCGCGCGCGCTGGCGCCGCTGTACTGCCGCGCGCGGCACCTGCTGACGGCGCGCGGCGCGTGCACGCTGGGCGTGGTGCTGCTGGCGGGCGCGGCGGCGGCGTGCGTGTGGGCGGCCGTGGGGCTGCGCGCGGCCGAGCTGCCGCTGGCGCCGCGCGTGCAGCTGCTGCAGCTGGCCGCGCTGTCGTCCGCGCTGCTGCACGCCGCGCTGCTGCTCATGCACGTCTCCGGCCTCAACGCGCTCATGCCCATCGACTGGAACAAGCTGGTCAGTCCGCACGCCCACACCGCACGCCGCATGGCAGNAAGTATGTGTCACCACTGATGACAATCGATATTATTTATGCCATTTATCCTCAGTGGCGACAAAGCTAGTGTCGACAACCGAGAATAGACGCCAGTTGCGAGGTGACCATAGGTCCCAAGGGGAAATGTATGTGTACGTGCACCACGAGAGGTTACTTACTACCTTTTGGTTTCCAAAGGTAGGAGCTTGAGGATCTAGGCCCTAGAGTGCTGAAGGGTACGCCTGGCCCTCAGCCAAATTTTACGAGGCACCATAGAGGCAGTTCTGCCTGTATTAGAGGAATGGGTGCGACGGCATGATCGCCTCACACATAGGGCGACCCAGGTTCTACCGGGCCATGGGTGCTTCGGGCCATTCCTCCACCGTATANACGAGTCGCCGGGCTCGAGCGACTCAGCGCCGACCAGCGTGGTCTCGGTCTCGAGTGTTTTGCTTCGGAAGCGGTTGGAGTTAGCGAAGAAATTGAGTCTGTTAGATCCGCAGCCGAGTAGAAAACTGAACTGACGAATCGAAAGCTCAGTTACGTGTGCATAATCTCGCCTTTTTCGTTCTGAGAACGACCTTTTGAAAATATTTTTACTGGTCTGACGCGAGTTAACGATGATGATGTACGGTGCGACAAGGATCTTTTGGCGCTTTGTCACCTGTTCGATTTCCGTCTGGTAAGCGTTTTTTGTTTAAAATTTCCATAAAAAATTTAAAAATATACCGAGAGTCATAAAATCACAATCTACATTTTGGTACTCGTATACATATTCTTCAGGCCGATTTGTTACGAGCTAGGTGCGTGGCGACACCTCGGACACCTATCTTCAGAGGGCCCGCTTTGATTTGGCCCTCGCCTCCTGGCTCGCCTTGACCGGCCGGTTAGGAGTGAATCACGAGAGCAAAACCTATGCTCCAGGTTGGAAGTGTAAACTGTCATAACGCCGGGGACATGCTAACCGATAACGCGATCTTGCGCCCCACAGTCTCACCTCTTAATAACCTTAACCATTTACACCAATGTTGCTCCACCCGGTAACTTATAATGGAGCGCCGCGGCCCATTTAGTGAGCGGCGAGTCTCCGTCTGCCGTTATTATCAAGATGAGACATTTGATGTGGCAGGCGTCCCGTCGTCTCATCAATATCCCAGTAGCCGATTTGGTTCCAACGAGACACAATTTCAACGGGACACATTTTCAATCAGACACATTCCCACGTGGACACATCAATTATTGTATCATCAGTTAAATGTTTTGATGAAAAAAATAAAATGTGTTAAATGTCATGGGTATGTATTCGTCTGCCGTTTGGTGTAGTGGTTCAGAACGGACTACTGTGCCGAGAGGTCCCGGGTTCGATTCTCGGCCGGGCAGAAATTGAAATGATGCATTTTAATTTCTGTGACCGGTCTGGGTGTTAGACTATCTATACTTATAATAAATCTGTAGAGAAGTCAATTCTGTACATGAAATATATTTTCAAAATAACTATCAGGGGGTTATTACTGATGCCAAAAATGCAATCAGTAAATATTTGTGTCTGTCTGTATGTTCCTTATAGAAACAAAAACTACTCGACGGATTTTAATGAAACTTGGTACAATTATTTTTCATACTCCTGGGCAGGTTATAATATACTTAGGAGTATCCCACGNGCGAGTCGCCGGGCTCGAGCGACTCGGCTCCGACCAGCGTGGTCTCGGTCTCGAGTGTTTTGCTTCGGAAGCGGTTGGAGTTAGCGAAGAAATTGAGTCTGTTAGATCCGCAGCCGAGTAGAAAACTGAACTGACGAATCGAAAGCTCGGTTACGTGTGCATAATCTCGCGCGGCTCTATCGCCCTTTTCGTTCTGAGAACGACCTTTTGAAAATATTTTTACTGTCTGACGCGAGTTAACGATGATGATGTAGGTACAGTGCGACAAGGATCTTTTGGCGCTTTGTCACCTGTTCGATTTCCGTCTGGTAAGCGTTTTTTGTTTATTTCCATAAAAAATTTAAAAATATACCGTGAGTCATAAAATCACAATCTCCAATTTTGGTTTCCTAATAGTGGATTTTATTAGGTGGTAACCATAATTTCACAATAGGGCCTTCACAACAATGTCAGCAAAGTGCTAAGAGATCCTTGCTGTACTGTATATTGTAAGATTACAATTTATCTAGCGTTTTCCATGCATCTCCCAGTTTTATTATCGTACACGGTTTTGTATATTTCGTGCGATATTTTTTCTCAAATGTTTGTACAATTTCATTTATTATTTCGAATTCTATTGATATAATCATAAAATCATTGTAAATATAAGATTCGACAAACTTAAAATTGAAGTATAGGAAAATAAGTTAGAACGCAGTTGATTCATGCCCCGACTTGTCCGTGCCGGCCGTTAGGTTCACTCGTAGAGTTTACTTTTGTTGTATTTACCATCAAACTTATTACACCGTCTTGTAACTTAAAAGTTACTATCATTTTTTTTATCATGCCAACCAGATGTATAATTTTTTGTTAGGTTAGACTATAGAAACTTACCTAGTGGTACCTTACCTTACTTTTGTTTATCATTACCGTTTATTGAAAAATTGATTTGATTTGATTTGATATTTGAGGATATTTTTCAATGTTTAGTTAGCAAGCAAGTGTTTAAACTATGGCAAAANCTAAATCCAGTAGCCAGTCCAGCAATTTTTTATCAGAATAGACCCGGTTTAGTACCCATTTATCTGCAATAGTGCACTTAGCGGATTCTGTCTTTGGCTGTATCGCATCTCGAAGGGGACTCTTCGTGTTGAATCTGTATCCCAACGACCGCCTTCCATAAGCTTTGTGGCGAGCTGTAGGTGAGTAGCGACACCATGGGGTCAGTTGTTAATCCGAGTGCTCCCGAGAGTCGGTCAAGACCCTCGTCTTCGGCTCGCCGAATTGGACTCTCACGCTTGCCTTAGCCGGCCGGCCAGAGTGGAGTCGCTAGAGCTATATTAGTTAATTTTAAACTTTCGCGTTGCATAATTGAATTAATTTAAACAGGTTTTAATGCGATAAATCGCGCTAGAGTTATATGCTCCAAGGGTGGAAGTGTTAAAGGGCATAACTTTATTACCTAATAGTGGATTTTATTAGGTGGTATGGTAACCCTAACTTCACAATAGGGCCTTCACAACAATGTCATCAAAGTGCTAAGAGATCCTTGCAGTACTGTATATTGTAAGATTACAAATAAGATATCTAGCGTTTTCCATGCATCTCCCAGTTATATTATCACACACGGTTTTGTATATTTCGTGCGATATTTTTTCTCAAATGTTTGTAAAATTTCATTTATTATTTCGAATTCTATTGATATAATCATAAAATCATTGTAAATATAAGATTCGACAAACTTAAAATTGAAGTATAGGAAAATAAGTTAAAGCGCAGTTGATTCATGCCCCGACTTGTCCGTGATGCCGGCCGTTAGGTCGCTTCGTAGAGTTTACTTTTGTTTTATTTATCATCAAACTTATTACACCACACGGTGTCACACGTTTTGTAACTTGAAAAGTTACTATCAATTGTTTTTTATCATGCCAACCAGATGTATCATTTTTGTTAGGTTAGACTATAGAAACTTACCTAATGGTACCTTACTTTACTTTTGTTTATCATTACCGTTTTATTATTTGAGGATATTTTTCAATGTTTAGTTAGCAAGCAAGTGTTTAAACTATGGCAAAAAAAAATTAAATTAGGATATTTGAGTCAGTAATTTTATACTGAATCGGGTCAACGGCAGCAAGAAACTAAAATGTAATTTACATTATGTAAATGTGGAAAGAATTATCAATGAAGGCTCTGTTTCAAATCATATAATAACTATAGCTCTGTTCATAATGTAGTTTGTAACACTTGCAAGCTAGCCTCGATAACATTTGAAGCCTAGCCTCGAGCACTGCATGTCACTGTCGTCGTCGCGACTTCGGGGTTGTAGATCAGTCGTGCGCCAGGAACCTCCGAGGTCTGCGGCGTCGGCCCTCCCCCCCTCCCCCTGACGAGCGGTCGATGTTGCAGACGTCGGAGTGTTACCTGTTCCCGCGGTTCGACGCGCTCGAGGCCGGCGCCACGCCCAACTACGCCGAGATACACGCCTACCTGCGCGACGGCATCGCGCTCGACTACGTGGACGACTACCGCCGCCACGTGCCCGCCAGCCTGCCGCCGCCCGCCGCCAGCCCCGAGCCCGGCCCCGCGGGCCCGTTCGTCCCGCCGGCCCCCCCAGCCCCGCCGGCCCCGCCCGCTCCGCCTCGCTGTCCGCCGACAGCATCGACGGCTCGCGCGCCTCCCCCGAGCCCGACGTCACGCCCCAGCTCTCCAACTGCGTGCCCCTCCGGCCGCAGTGCCCGCCCTTCCAGCCCCGCGACCCGCCGCGCGCGCCCACCCCCGCCCCACTATCGTCTCCGCCCTGTGACTCCCCGCGTGCGTCCTGCGACGCCCTGGCGANCGCCCTGTGACTCCCCGCGTGCGTCCTGCGACGCCCTGGCGACTTCTCGTGAGCCCGACGACGCTTCTCGTGCGCCTAGCGAGGCCCCGCGCGCTCGGAGCGACGCCGCTCGTCCTCCGAACGTCACCCCTCGCCCGCGTTTGGACGCTCCGCGTGCACCGCGCGCCGAGCCGCAGGCGCCCCGGGACGCCGCGCCCCGGCCGCGGCCGCCGCCGCCCGGGGTCCCGCCGCTCGTGCACGCGTACTCGCAGATGCTGCCGATGCCGGGCTACGCCGGCTTCCCGCCGTTCCCGGGCGCCGTGCCGCTCTACCCACCCGTGTACTCGCCGCCCTCGCCGATGCTCTTCCCGCATCCCCCGTACCCGGGGTTCTGTCCGCCGCACTACCCCGGCGGCCCGTTTCCCGGCTCGACGCCGGCCCCGCTTCCCGGCCCGTCGCCCCCGCGACGTCCGGATTCCGGGGCGACCGCCCGGCGCCCGGGCCCCGCGGCGGCTCCCCCGCCACCCGCTCCCCTCGCGGGCCCCTCCCGTCCCGGTCCGTCGGCTCCCGACTCTTGTCCCGATGTGTCGACGCGCTCGTCCGGCGCGCCGCCCGAGTCCCGCCCGCGCGGCGACCCGCCGGCGCCTCCCCCGAGCTCGCGGCCGCCCCCCGAGGCCCCGGCGCCGACGCCCCCGGGCTGGGCGCGGCCGCGGTCGCCGCCGCCGCCGTACAGCGGCGCGGAGGGCCCGGCGCGCGTGGGGCCCGACGCCGGCGACGTGCGGCTGTCGGTGTCGGAGTGCGAGATCTTCCGGCTGCTGAGCGGCGTGGACTCCAACGCGGCGCACTGGTACATGGTGGACGCCATCGCGCGCGCCATGCGCACGACCACGACGCCGGCGTCCGCGCTGAACCCGGCGGCGCCGGAGTACCGGCCCCCCCAGCCCCCGCAGGCCCCCCAGCCCCCCCAGGCGCCGCTGCCCCCGCGCCCGCGCGTGCCGCTGCCCGCCGGCATGCGCCCGCCGCCCGGCTTCGGCTTCTAACGCGTTCCCCCTTTTTGTGCCTTTTGCGCCTTTCACGTGATGATACCGTTCGCGTTAAAAGTTATATCCGTAGCATTTTAAGACTGATCTAAAATCCCGAGGCTACCTCAGAAATTTAAAATGGTACAAATGTTCACATCGGTCATGGCCATATATTTTTTATCGACATTTCTTGTTCTAGTGAGTGTTTGTTGTACTGAATACTCGTGTGTTGAAAAACTCTCGCCTTGCTTAATCGATCCTAATCAAATTTTGTCTGTCAGCTGTCAAATTTCAGCTGTTTTTGATGAAAATAGCCACGGTATTCGATACCTTAATAGTTTTATATTGTAATAGTAATATAAAGTAAAAATGATAAAGATTGAAATTTGACAATTGATGGATAGTTTGGGATTTATTATGGGGACTGGGATTTAGTTGTAAGTTTAATTTGTTCCACCTGACTATTTTAATTTTAGTTATGTAATCTGTTATTTTGTAAGTGACATAAGTACATTAGTATTCTACCTATAATGTTACATTAATCTTAAGTGTTCATAAAGATGTTATATTAGATTTTTTGGTTAATGACTTGTAATAAAATTACATTTTGTAATCCTACTACGCATTTAGACGGTGCTTTGGTGTAATTTATAAAAAAAATTCGTTATTTGTGTAATTTATCTGCATATTCAAACTTTTATTTACTTTTTGAAAAAAAAAAGTAAAAACTGTCCCATCTGTATTTTTTATGTTTAAAATACATATACGTCTGTAATCATAAAATTCCATGTTAATCACATAGGAATTGTTTGATTCTGTGATAAAAAAGTGGTAAGATATTATGTAAGTGATAAATTTTGAATACATAAATCTATTAAATTAGCTAGTTTTATTTTTCCTCCCTGAAAATGAATAATATGTGTGTAGTTTGATCCACATCATTAAAAGTGTTGTTTGCTTGTTTATAACGCGTAAACCTTGCATTGAAAAACCAAATCTAAAAAAAGAAAAATACAATAAAATACTAGCCGTTGGCTGTTGCACTAAACGCAAACCGCGAAAGCAAAAAAAAAATACTACGGAATCCGGTATAACTTTTTTTATAGTACCTACTCGGCGCATATAGATGACCCACGCTGAACTGTCCCACCAAACTCAATGACAGGGGGACGCTACCATCGTTCAACTATATGGTTTCCAACATGGCAAAAATATGAACCAGCGAATCCAGCGATCCAGTATTGACGGTGGCGCCCCACTGTCAATGTCATCGACACAGGACAGTCCAGTATTTTGGAACTATAGCTATTTTCCGCCAAACGCCCCCATGTGCATCCCTAGCCGATAGTGTTGTAACCAACATTATCAAAATCGAATCGGTAACTAGTAAAATAGAGAGATAAAAAAATGCTGGCAAAGTTAGCGCGTACCTCACTACGCGGTGATTACTTTATCTGTGTGACTTTTGTAAAAAAATATGTTATCAAACATGGCGTGCGAAAAAGCGTCGTGTGGAAATTACTGGGATGGATTTGTTTATTAGGTCAGCTTATATGTGAACGATACCGCGTCGTTGGACTATGTGGTCACACACAAAAGGGCGAAGTCTCCATGTCAACGTTCGGAAAAGGTAAACGTCGTGTGCGGCGTTGTATTTCGGAGCGAGGACAGGGTTGTGATGGTTTGGCTGATGGTAGGAGGTGCCGGGGCGGAGGCGCTCGGCGGTAGGCGAGTGCGCGGGTGATATGCAAGCGGCGCCGGCGCGCTACGTGTCCGTGAGCGAGCTGTATTCGACTGACGAAGTGGAGCTGCTGCTCGACGAGATCCGCGAGCTGGAGCCCACGAGCTGCCGCGGCGAAGACGTGCAGGTACGGGGCTCAACACTCGTCTAACTCTTCGATATCATTCCCTACAATGCATTGCACATATCTGTCACTATTACTTTGTAAAAACCTGTTCAAGTCATGCCTGTTTACTTTATATTAAAGCCTGATTGGGCTATGTGATTTCTTGACCCATGCAAGTTACTTATATTGTATTATTGAAATTTATTATTCTATAATGCATTAAAATATGTACATTCATAGATGTGATGCTTGGAGGTTGGAGGCAATCTCTATTAGCCCGTTAAGGTATATGATTTTTTTAAAATAGTTACAGCTGTGTAAAATTTAATAAAATTAGAAAAAGTTAATGGCTAAAAATTTTTCTATAGCAACAATTTACTTTTGCAGTACCTTGCCAATCTTTTCTGTAAATCAGCTGATCAGTCTTTTCTAAATTTACACTGTCAAATCTGTGGAGTATACTAATAAATTTTGAATAAGGTAAGAAATAAAATATCCAAGTTTTTTATTTTAAGATGATATAATTATTCTATTTTATTGTCATCGTTGCATGCATGGTCATGGTCTTGATAAGAGACTTAATTGCTTGTAGAAAGTTATTAAGAAAAAGAGATTTGAGATCCCTACATTTAAGCATATAATAAAATTATGCTAACTGTATATTAGACTAAAGTGCTAGGATGCAGTGACATTTAGTAATATTTAAGATTTTATGTCTGTAATTTTTTTCTTACGGTGTTAGCTTATCATCAACATGTTGAAGTGCTCTGAAAAAGTGAAAANTAGTATGATTTATGTATTCAAATCGTAGGATTTGAATACATAAATCGTACTAGCTTCTAAGTTCTAATAACTAAATTTAATTTGTCACAAATCGTCATAAATTATAGCCTTTATGTTTTAAACATACTGTAAAGTTCATCAAAATTTGTTCAGTAGTTTTTGTGTGAAAGAGTAACTAACTTGTTAACATCCAGGCATTCATACAAACTTTCGCATTTTTAATATCAGTAGGATAGCAAAATGTAGGATTATTTCCCTTGTAATCTTGAAGCGACACTGTAATTTATATCTTTGACAATCACGCATTTCTTAAGTCATTAGTCAGTCGTCACCGTCGCAGGATTTCGAGATAGCCGGGAGCGGGTGCGGCGCGGGCGGCGGCGGGCGCTCGCCGGCCGGCACGGAGGCCACGGAGCGCTCGTGGGACTCGCACGCGCAGTACCGGCGCGCGGCGGGCGTGCGGGCGCGCGCGCTGGCGCCGCTGTACTGCCGCGCGCGGCACCTGCTGACGGCGCGCGGCGCGTGCACGCTGGGCGTGGTGCTGCTGGCGGGCGCGGCGGCGGCGTGCGTGTGGGCGGCCGTGGGGCTGCGCGCGGCCGAGCTGCCGCTGGCGCCGCGCGTGCAGCTGCTGCAGCTGGCCGCGCTGTCGTCCGCGCTGCTGCACGCCGCGCTGCTGCTCATGCACGTCTCCGGCCTCAACGCGCTCATGCCCATCGACTGGAACAAGCTGGTCAGTCCGCACGCCCACACCGCACGCCGCATGGCAGTGTGATCTGTGTATCGTCGCTTGCCTCTCTAACTGACGTATCTGACATTTTTTTCGAAACTGAGTTATCTACACCATCTTAAGAGCGTTTACGCCGTTTGGCGCAAAAACAGTACTTTTTCAACTCGTTACAATCATTAACCAGTAATACTACAAATCTGGGGGCACGGCAGTGCCCCCACCAAGTCGAGCAAAAAAGCGGCACGGCCGTACCATCCTTTTCTCGAAGCAATTCAGGTCATTTTCGACCGCCTGTAACTTCGTTGTGGATAAAACTAGAAGGCTGAATTTTCATTAGCTATGCAGGCATTGTAAAGACACGGTACGTCGCAGGATTTCGAGATAGCCGGGAGCGGGTGCGGCGCGGGCGGCGGCGGGCGCTCGCCGGCCGGCACGGAGGCCACGGAGCGCTCGTGGGACTCGCACGCGCAGTACCGGCGCGCGGCGGGCGTGCGGGCGCGCGCGCTGGCGCCGCTGTACTGCCGCGCGCGGCACCTGCTGACGGCGCGCGGCGCGTGCACGCTGGGCGTGGTGCTGCTGGCGGGCGCGGCGGCGGCGTGCGTGTGGGCGGCCGTGGGGCTGCGCGCGGCCGCGCTGCCGCTGGCGCCGCGCGTGCAGCTGCTGCAGCTGGCCGCGCTGTCCTCCGCGCTGCTGCACGCCGCGCTGCTGCTCATGCACGTCTCCGGCCTCAACGCGCTCATGCCCATCGACTGGAACAAGCTGGTCAGTCCGCACGCCCACACCGCACGCCGCATGCCACGGTGTGGTCTGTGTATCGTCGCTTGCCTCTCTGTCTATATCTGACATTTTTTTCGAAACTGAGTTATCTACACCATCTTAATCGGTTTCGCAAGACGAATCGATCTGTCCAATCGCCTGAAAATTTTGCAAAATGTCAGTTACGTCAGTTAGAGAGGCAAGCGACGGTATATTACGAAGAATCTATACATATAAAAAGAAATACTTAAGTTGAAACTTGCGGTTTTTGCAAAACTAGGTTGGCATTTAAAGTTTCAGTCGAGTTGAAAAGTTTCTTAAGACTGAGTGCTGAGGTTTTTTAGAAGCTTGTATGTGTTGAACAGTTAGTATTGTATTTGGTTTGCAGAGTACGTTGACCAGCGCGTGGAGCGCGCTGTCGCTGACGCTGGGCGGGGCGCTCACGCTGCACGCCGTGCTGTGCGCGCCCGAGTACCGCTGGGCGCCCGAGCACATCGCGCGCCTGCTGTGCTCCGCCTCCGTGAGTACCGCGCCCGCCTCCCACGCACAGGGCCCGTGCCCGGCGCTCACGCTGCACGCCGTGCTGTGCGCGCCCGAGTACCACTTAGTGGGTGGACGTTCCAAGCTGTTTTCCGGTACGCGGCCTCCACTCCAGAACCTTGCTGCCCCATCGGCCGTCAGGTCTGCGTACTATGTGCCCTGCCCATTGCCACCTCAGCTTGCTAATTCGTCGGGCTATGTCAGCGACTTTAATTCATTAACGGATCTCCTCATTTCTGATTCGATCTCGCTAAGAAACACCGAGCATAGCCTTCTCCATAGTACGCTGTGCAACTTTGAGCTTCTGTATGAGGCCTATAGTGAGAGGCCACGTTTCCAGATCGGTTACCAAAACATTTCTCTGCTCCGCTTCGCCTTATGGAAACGGGGACCTTAGGCTGAGTTGCACAACTTTAATAACAGTGTTAACCGGTGTTTTTTCAGAATCAAAATCATCAGTATTAAAATAAAAAAATAAAATAAAATAAAATTCATTTATTTCAGGCCAGGACCTATAAAATTTCAATAATAATAATAATTGCATTAAATAATTAAAATCATATTAAATCAATAAAAATAATAATAATGGAGACAAATAAATTAAATTAACACATCAAAATTTTATGAAAAAATTTAAATTAAATTGAAAATTAAATTAAAAATAAATTAAACATTAAAATAATAAATAAAATTACAAACTCATTACAACATCATTTAAATCTCAAATAAAATCTAAATCTAAATTTAATTCAAATACCTGCCTCCCTGTGGGACACCCGGCACCTGCACTTGAGTTCGCACCCAGTGTCGCACAAGGGGGTGGTCTGGCTTATCGCTTAGAACTTTCAGGATGCTATCGGTGCTCCCACGCGTGCGGAGCATCAGCGATGCAATACGTCGCCGCAACACCGTGTAAAAACCGTCTGTGTGCGCATGTGCAAACATCGCCGACTAACTAAGAAACCCTTTATTGTAGAGATGAGACGTATTTACTAGAACAGATCCACACACTAGGTATTTTACAGTACTAGGCGGCACCTATTCCATTTTTTAAAATACTTGATCCACCTAGTATTTTATAAATTACACGATTTCCGACCCTAACCTGAAAGTAATAGAGGTTATTATTGCGTAATCCTTAGTCGTGTATTACGCGCACCTAGTATTTCTCGCTAAGCTTATGTGCGAACGTAGAGATTCACTCCGTCTCTGTCTGACCAAGCAAAAGACAATGCCGGAAATTGGCGTCTTTTTTTTTTCGCTCGGCCATCGACCAAACTTTGTTTTTTGATTACAAAATAGTGTAATAAACCAAACTTACTATGACATGTATACCTCTAAACTCAGTCTGAACTGAGTTACGAGCATTAGAAGTTTGATGATTTTCATACTAGATTTGCTTTTTGCGCGCAAAGTTTTGTAAGAAATTGCAACAAAATAGTGAGATTGTATGTGTAAACAAACAATACCATCCATTAAAGGCTCCAGACATCAGTATAGAGGAGAATCAGCGCAATAAAAAAATTGCGCAATATTTTGTTGCAATTTCTTACAAAACTTGCGCACAAANCGTGCCGAGAACATTTTGATACTGATTATGAAATCTGATTGGTTATCCAAAACATTTCTTCGCTCCGCTCTGTCTTAGTGGAAACCGGGACTAAGACCTAATGAGCTGCCACACTAAAGCCTGGCCTTCGTTGCTTAAATTTTGAGGTTGAGAGCCATCTGCGCTCACCTATTGTCCGGTGAAGCTGAAAAAGCCGCTCACGGCTATCAGCATAGTCCGTCCGGAAAAAAAAATAAAGCCTGGTTCGTGAGCACGTAGAATTTTGTCCAATAACCCCAAGCTGTCCATTCTTATCGCTCGCGCGTAATTAATTATATTGCTGTCGTGACTGTGCGACGCGCGCCCGCAGTGAGTGTGCGAGCGCGACAGCAACATACAAATTACGCGCGAGCGATACGGATGGGTAGCTTGGGGTCATTGGACAAAATTCTACGTGCTCACGGACCAGGTTTTAGCGGATTATAAGCGTTTTCACGCGTTGCATGCCGTTCCGCTATGAAACCGCTTGTAATCCGCCAGTGTGGCAAGGCCCTCAGTGTATGCAGTTTTTGTTTGAAGTTTTCTCACTATCCTCAGTACTAAGTATCGTCCCCCGCAGGGCCTGGGGCTGGGCGGCGCGTGCGCGTCGGGCGCGCTGCTGGGCGCGGCGGGGCGCGGCTGCCGCGGCTGGTGGGCGGCGGCCGCGCCCCGCGCCGCCTACCGCGCCGTGCCCTCCGCCCCGCCCGCGCCCGCCGCCCCCTCCGCCGCCGCGCCCGCCTTCGAGCAGGACGAACCCTTATAGGTACGCTGTTGTTGTCGGTTCTCATTANCGCCGCCCCCGCCGCCGCCGCGCCCGCGCCCGCCTTCGAGCAGGACGAACCCTTATAGGTACGCTGTTGTTGTCGGTTCTCATTAACACTAGAGTACACGCGCGGACTACTATAGTAGACCAGGGTAACATATTACGCTATAACTTTTTGAAAACTTGCGCCAGAGAGCTGGCATTCCAGGAAAGCCTCGTTTACTAAATTTGTCAGTAAGCCAGTAAAGCTTGGATCGCTAGCGTCTGCGCACTTTTCTAAAATTGGCCGTCAAAACTGCGGGGTCTACTCAAAAGCCCGAAATTACTCGACAAAAAATCTATGAAAGACTTGCAACAAATGGATTTAACCCGTGCACCAGGCAGTAGAAAGTCTTGAATACTATGACAGATAAAAAACTAATCATATTTTTTCAGTCAATTTTTTTTGTTAACTTTGGTCTCAGAGTGCAATTTTGGTCCAAAAAATTTACAACTTAAAATCTGTTTATAATGTTTGATCCCAAATATTTTATTTTATTTTATTTTAGTTATATAAAGAAACTTTGATTATAAAATAACTATAATAAACACTTTTATCATTTACATAGTAATTCTATTCATAAATTGCTTACAAACTGATTCACAGTGATTTTAAATTGGCTTACCAGAGTAGGCCGCGCGTTTATTCGTGTAAAAAAGGGGGCGCGTGTACTGCAGTGTTAAAGATCTTTCTCCAGGTAAGAAAGGCCTCCCTTGATCCTTACGTGCCCAGTGGTCTAATTCACGTAAGTCACGAAAAACAGTTCTAAATCCGTATTCACAAGGGTCATTTTGATAGAACGATTACTCGATAGGATCGCAACTCAAGTGTTTTGTTGTCGTTAAAGTTTAAATTTTTCGCACCGCGATCCCGTCACAATGTACCTACTAAATTAAAAAAATGAAAACTACACTTACGAGCAAAAGTATGGAATCATCCCCTTGTGTTTTGTTCAGAGCGATCTTAAGAACTGAATGACTATGTATGTATCTGTGGTATCAATTTAAAGTTTATAGTATTACCTTTAAAATGGCACCATTTTTATTTGTCTTTTATTAGTCATTTCGAAGAGCAGCGGAAATCTGATCTTGACTCGAAGCGCGATGCTCTTAAAGCCAGACCAGCAGCGGCTATCACCTACAACTACATCAGCGGTGTCCTAACGTGTCGACATTGTTCGCGCACGTTTACCAACAAGATTGGCTACTGTAGCCATGTGAGGGCACATGATAGGGCAGCCCAGCGTAGCCCTCTTATTGCGGACTAAAGGAATTTTGTCGCAGTTACCGTAGCCGAAAGCGGCTTGGGAGTATATATTAGTCATTTAGTTTTTTGTTCAATTCTACGGAAATAAATGTGTCCTTTCTCAATTCCAGTGACCGCTCACCACCACGCGCTTCTAAGCGCGCGTCGCGGGATGGCCGCGGCCGGCCTGTAGTGGGCTGTGTACTTGTGGAGATGTTGCCAGTTTGCGTGGACCCTTCGCCGGTGCCTCTGCGGCGGTTCCCTATCACTACATGTTCAAACTGAGTCGATCGTTCAAGCCTTAAGGTCAGAAACAAATAACTATTTGATATTTGAAGTTATGAACCATAGACAAACACCAACTTTCGGTATCGGTACTTAGTGAAGAGTTGATATTTAATGTATTTGTAATATTACTTCCATCGTGCGGTGGATTCCTAGCGACGATGATGTTTTCTACGACATCAGTCATTATGTATTGTCTACTTGTATCTATCTGTGCCGATCGTCGCTAGACGTGTGGCCGCTGCTGATCTTACTCGGCCGACTGAGACGAGTGCGTTATGCCTAATATTTGTCAATATAAAGCCCTCACTTTGTATTGCCATAAGATGGCTTTACATTTTTATTACTCCTGATTTCAGATCAATATTTTGAGTAAGACTTGGTATTTGAACTAACATTTTCTGAAATTACTGATGGCCATTATGTGAGTTCCAGGCCTCCTCTTTTGGTAATTGTGTAAGGTTCAAGTCTCAAGTTGTTTACTTAAAATCAACTGTAGTTCATGTAAACTGTTGTAAAATGTGTATGTTTAAGAGTTGCATGGGATAGGCCATCCCTAGCCCTGATTGTGGTTCGTTGCGGTCACCGACCCCGCCGCCTCCTGTGAATGGGCGGGGTGTTCTATTTGTCTTTGATTCCCGACGTTTGTCGCGTCGTTGGAGGTAGTCGTAGTCTACCGTGTTCCATTTCGAGTTGAAATCGTAACTTGACCAAAAATTTAACAATAAATTAATCGTACTAGGAAACCCTGAAGGTGAAAGTTCGGTCTCGTGTCATCCGCGCACCGCGCTTAGTGATATCGTTGTCATTCCTCGTGTATTTCATAGTGACGACGCGTGACGTCACGGATGACTCGTGACATCACGACGCTGCCGGCACCACAGATTCATTTAACTTGACGACGCAACTAGAATGAAAAATAGATTTTAGTGGGATTTGCACCTAGTAGTGAATAGTCAATAAATGATGATCGTGCTTTTGACCACAATGAGACGGTGCGTTGGTTGTAGCGTTATATGTAGGTAAACGNGAGTGAACGTAACGCAACAGCGTTGTCAATATAAAACAAGAATAATGGAGGTATCCGTTTACGTCAAACACCGCAAATTCCGGTATATTACGACTCTTTCGCGTACACAGGTCGTATTTATCGATTTCGTTTTGAGGAGTACGTTTGGAGCTGCCAATCAAACTAAAATCTGTTGCAAGTCTTGGCCTTGAATGAACTTGCGTCGTGTATGTTAATATACGTAGGTGTGAAGGGCCATAAGGCAGCAGTCCCGGCCCGTGCCCCCGCACTGCCAGCGAGCCCTCGCTCGCTCTAGTCCACTGTTGTACGCAAGTCTGATTTTGACGCTAGTCCGTTACGTAGCTTTAGTCGGTTTACTGTAATTTGATTACGTTCCTCGGGTAGTTCGCAACGATGATCATCATACCGCGGACAGAGTTTACCGAACCGATTTGCTGATGATAGTGAGTTATCAATCCAAAGCCACCCTATTCCCGCTCCGTCTATGGTGTCCGTAAAATTACCCTGGCTGTATTGACTATTTGATCATGTCTTTATGCGAATCTTTTAATTTGGTATAACTGTATTTATAAAACGTATAATGTCTTCGAAAAAAGTATGTATTGTGTTAAAAGAAGTTATCATGCGCATCGTGCGGGAAAGGGGGAAGTTTTTGTATGATTAGCTGCTGCTGGCGGCAAGCACAAAGGAGTTTGACTCTACGCGGTATTGATGCGATGGTTGCGGTAGTTTGCACAAGTTAGGTCCAGTCTCGCCGACGAGGCCCGCCCGGTCCCCAGTCCGACACAGACCGCTGTATACACAAATGTAAAAGGGTAATTTCGACTTGTAAGCGAAATATATTATTCCGTTAAGAGTGATTATTGTTGTATAGATGGGTGAACCATTACCACGTATTATGTATGTCAGATCTTTATTTCCTCGTAAGCTTGTACTGGATTGAATCGTTTGCATGATATTTATTATTATGAAGTTCGTAAGCGACATTTGTAATAGTTAGTCGTAAGGAGAATTCGAATATATTAAGAATTGTTATAGGAAATAATTTTATACTGTCTGATCTCGTACACGCTCCATGAGCTTAGGAAGTTTATACTGTTCTTTGGTTGACGTGAAGACGTAAAGGAGCAGGCTCGCGGCGCCCCTGCCGAGCTGTGTGTGTCTGCTACGGGTTCTATGTTTGTAACCTATTGGGAATATTTTGCAATTTACGAAATTATTCCAATGTTTTAACTTTTTGAAAAATTACTCAACGAATATGTCGTATTGGTTGAAATTCAAGTTGTAAAAGTGACTACTTACTACTACTTTGCCTGGCCCATTCCCATTTTATTTGGGGTCGGCCCTCCGCGTCATGCGTCTCCAGGCGGCTCGGTCCTGGGTTGTCTTACTGTTAACTTGGGCTTCTTTAAGGTCTAAGGTAAAAGTGACTACTTAGTCAAATCAAAACTATCAATACCGTATTTGAATGGTAATATTTAAACTTAATAATTTAAAATGTCTTAATTATACATGATTTTAATGCATCTAGCACAAAATTAGATTTTAACTAATGTCACAGTGAACCGTTATGAAGTTTGTGTTTTAGTTCCAAGTTTTACTCGCAAGCAATAAGTATCGATGGCGGGTGGGGGCGCTCCAGCCTAGGCACGTTCTGGTTTCCCTTTAGCCACCTCACTCCTAGATTATTTCCCGTCCTCATCCGGCACCTTGTTACGCGCGTTAGCGAGTTCAGTTGGGCCACCTCATCGTACTTATAATTAGTCAACATTTGTTACTAGGGCTTTTTCGTTTGAAATACGATCAGTAAAATTCAATTAAAAAAACGCAGTTACTATGACTTTTGAGAAATTACCTAAGATATCGATCTCAATTGATGTTAAAATGTCCATGAGGTCTCTTACCTTTTTTAAAACACCCCTGGTGAATAAGCGATAATAGTGCGATAGACAAACTCTGGCAGATAATTACAAAACTTTCGTACGATATACGCAATAACCAATTGATTCGTATTTACAAAATGAATCAATATCTTGTTTGGATTAATTTAAAGTAAAACCAGGTAGACGTCTTGATGCGAGTGGCCGCTGCTCGCGCGCCGTAGGCCGCCCGTTCCGTTCCCGACGCATACATATCACGACCAGTTACATTCCACTTCTGTTTGTAAATACACCTTTCGATTCGGAATTGAATTCGTTTGTAATATTTTTACAGACCTTTTGAGATTACTGTTCCGCATGTGTTTGTCTTTACTGTATCGATTTATTCCGTAAGTGACAGGTGTACGATCTCGATCAATGTGCGAGTCATTTTTACTTTTAAATTTTAATGATAATATATGGTTTTATACAATTCTTTGGTTTTTCTGTCACTCCCCACTCCGATCCCTTATCTAAGATTATCACGATCGCAGATATCCGTAAAATCTCTTTAATGGGTTATTTTATACTGTGATTTCATAGATTAGATCTAAATTATGTTATCTACCGATTCACTCGTTTTAAAAAAGAATCTCTTTGAAGAGACATGAAATGCATCTCGTGTGCCATGTTTTCGGATTTTTTAAATATCAAACAATTCAATTCCAAAGTGTATTAAAGTTACGAGTTTATAAAGGAGAACAGAAATAACTAGTGGCATGAGTGGTGTGTCGTCAAGCGTGAGTGGGGAACTGGATATGGACGCGTACGAGTTGCGCGTGCTACGCGAGTACTACAGCGACCACGCCTTCTTCCTGTCTACGGAGTGGTTCCTCAAGGTGCTGGCTGTTGTAAGTACGTATTCACTAACATAACGCCGTAGCTCGCTACAGGCAAATGACGTCCACTGCTAGACAGAGGCCTCCCCAAGGATTAACACGACGGCCGATCGTGCGCTGCCCGCTTCCAGGTACTTTCCGAGAACTTCACCAGATCGTCGGTCCACCACTACGTCTTCCGGCCCGTGGCCGCCACTCGAGAACTTTCTTGCCCCAGCGGCCATCAGCTCTGCGAGCTATGCACACTATTCATCACTTTTAAATACGAGTATGTAATTTTTACACCTTTCGCATTCGGCCGCTGTGTTTGTAATGATGCAGTGATAGAAGTATGGTAATTTAGTCACATTTGCTGTAATTTTTGAAGATAAGAATTTCATGTCATTATTAGATGATGTAGATAAGATCTGATATTTCTAACAAAATTACTTAATGAATAAAGTTTCTACTACAAATTAGTTCCAGTTCCTTAATTTATCGAAGTAGCCTTTATCGGCTATATCTTATCAATTTGATTATGTCGGCAGATCTTCAAAGCAATTGTGTATGTAGATTATATTGATTTTTAAAATGACTAATATTCGTGTAGAAAGGACGGGAAAATTCTACCTAAATTTGTTGAAAAAACTCATGCTATCCATCTCTAGTTCTATTGTTTTGTTATTTATCATTATGCTGTTAAGGTGGTCAGCTGAAATAAATAACACCGACGTTTATCTTCGTTTCAACCTTATGTCGTCTACTGCTGGATAAAGGTTTTCCCACGGATTTCCACAAAGTCCGGTGCTGCCACGCATCCAGATATGTTTTCCGCGACTTGTACCAGATCGATGCAGAAAAGTTTTCGAGTGCGGACCACTAGCCGGAAAACTTACAGCGGCAATACACGGACAGCTTCAAGCTGTCGACTGCACAGTGAACTGCAGAGTTCTATGGACGCACATACACGAACCGCTCGAGCGGTTGCAACAGCTGATTCGGGCGGTCGATAGCTTGAAGCTGTCGACCCTGACTGCTTCAAGCGGTCCGTGTATTGGTGGCCTTAGTGTAGACGTTTATCTTTACAATTTTTTTTATTTGCAGATGCGACTAATCTTAATGAATTAGTTAGACATTTTGAGAGTACAATGTGTGACACGCAATAAACAATTGGAATATGTGGCGGGGCTTGCAGATGGGCAGCATCGCGCTGTCGGGCCTGTTCCTGGGCGGCGGCAGCTGCGCGGGCGCGGCGCTGGCGGCGGGCGGCGCGGGCGTGGCGCTGGCGGCGGCGGCGGCACAGGCGCTGCTGTGCGCGGCGCAGGCGTTCCAACTGCCGGCGCGGGCGCCGCGCGCCTGGCTCTTCGCTGTGAGTCGCTCGCACCAGACTGACATCAATAGCCCCTCTAAAGCCCGGTCGCCGAGCACGTAGAATTTCGTCCAATGACCCTAAGCTACCTATCCTTATCGCACGCGCGTAATTATATTGGTGTTGTGCTCGCACACTCACTGCGGCCGCCCGTCGCACAGTCGCGACAGCAATATAATTACGCGCGTGCGATAAGGATGGGTAGCTTGGGGTCATTGGACGAAATTCTACGTGCTCGGCGACCGGACTATAGTTGAGTTGCAAAACGTGACAGTTTTAATTTCAAAATCGCTATACGGAAAAAAGTAACTTTGCTCCTAGCAAAGCGACTTCGGAATTACAACTGTCACGTCATGTAACGTGTGGTCTCTAAGGGGGCTGATTTCAGATAATCATACCAATTCAGACCAATCACAGAGATGTCATGGACGTAAAGTATCAAGACTGGTGTAATCTTAGTATAATAAGCTTATTTGAAACTAGACAAGATATTGCAAAATAGAAATTACCTGATGTAAATTACAAATGAGTATTTTCCTTATCAGTCCGTACATCTACCAAGCTATTTTAGTAATCACATATTCTAAATTTCATCACATCATCAGTGTGTGATTATTATAATTCTCATTATAGCAGTAGGCATACTAAGTGTCTCAATAACAATTGCCTCATTTTCCATTAAAAGTAATTGTTGATTGTGCACGATTCCAGGACATCACGGTGTCAGTGGTGATGGGAGCCATCGTGCTGGTGTCGGCCATCCTCAGCGCCGTGTTCTGCGAGATGGGCACGGCCGCCGGGTACTTGTTGCTCGTGAGTTCACTTATAAAATAAACTTATTGGCTTGATTGACGAAGTACTTATACTTACTTAGGGTCCTATGTCCCCTAGATGGGGCAGAGGGTGTCCACAACAGACGTTGACGAAGTGCACACTCCATTTAGTAGCTTATCTATTCAGAATAGACCGTGAACTACGTAACGTTGTCTCGTCGATAACTAGGAATTGCATATCTGGTAGTCATTGGGATCCACAAGAAAAAATTGCATAAAGGTCAATAGAAATGTAGATAAGACAGTTGTCAAGAGACCAACAACATAAAATCATTACAACAACAACATTAATTAGTAATTATTTACATGACTGGCTTATTATTTACTAGCTTTTGCCCGCGGCTTCACTCGCGTGAAATTTAGTTTGTTACAGATCGTCATAAATTATAGCCTATATGTTATTCTGGGTTATAAACAATAATACTGTAAAGTTTCATCAAAATCCATTCGGTAGTTTTTGCGTGAAAGAGCAACAAACATCCAGACATTCAAACTTTCGCATTTATAATATTATAGTAGGAAGGATTTTATTTTACTTTATTCGGAAAACAAATAGTGTTAATTGATTTATTAAGTTATAATGTGAGATTTTAAAATTGTTATGAGTTTTTCCATCTATATTGATGAGCACCATCTCCACACAGCCGCTGGGCGTGACGGCGTCGGCGCTGCTGACGGGCAGCGCGGGCGCAACGTACGCGGCGGCCACGCGGCGCCTGGACGCGGCGCGCCCGCGCGTAGAGCCGCCCCGCCCGCGCGCCCGCGAGCAGGACGCCTAGCGAGGCGCCTTCCACGGCCAACCGCAACCAAACACCACAATAGGAGCTCCAAAGCCCGGGAACAGGACGCCTAGCAAGGCGCCTTCCATAGCCAACCGCAACCAAACACCACGATGGGAGCCCGGGGGCAGGACGCCTAACGAGGCGCCTTCCACACCCGCAACCAAACACCACGATGGGAGCCCGGGGGCAGGACGCCTAGCGAGGCGCCTTCCACGGCCAACCGCAACCAAACACCACGATGGGAGCTCCAAAGCCCGGGAGCAGGACGCTTGCGACCGACGGCTTGGAGATGCATTCACTGTACTTGTAAAAGAATGCCGGAAATTGGCGTCTTTTTTTTTCGCGCGGCCATCGACCAAACCTTGTTTTTTGGTTACAAAATAGTGTAATAAACCAAACTTACTACAACATGTATACCTCTAAACTCAGTCTGAACTGAGTTACGAGCGTTAGAAGTTTGATGATTTTACATACTAGATTTGCTTTTTGCGCTCAAGTTTTAAGAAAGAAATTGCAAGAAAATAGTGACATTGTATGTGTAAACAAACAATACCATCCATTAAGGGCTCCAGACATCAATGTGGAGCAAAATCAGCGCAATATTTTGTTGCAATTTCTTACAAAACTTGCGCGCAAAAAGCAAATCTAGTATATAAAATCATCAAACTTCTAACGCTCGTAACTCAGTTCATACTGAGTTTAGAGGTATACATCATGTCATAGTAAGTTTGGTTTATTACGCTATTTTGTAATCAAAACACAAATTTTAATCGATTGCCGCGCGAAAAAAAAAGACTCCAACTTCCATACAAAATCTGGCATTGCCATTCAAACAGCAAAATGCTTGTTCTGTTCCAGTTGTTGACATTCCACCAGCTCGCACTAAACGTTTCGATGATTCTTTTATAATGCGAACAGCTAGGGACTGGAATTCGTTGCCTGCTGCTGTCTTTCCCGAAGACTATAATCCGGGCCTTTTCAAGGCGAGAGTGAATAGAAACTTACAGGGCAGATATGTACCATCCTAGACTGCATCCCACTTAACATCAGGTGCGATTGTGGTCAAATATCTGCCTTGTTATGCATAAAAAAAAAGTCTTCTGGCTACATCTGGAACATCGCGAGCTGTGCTCGTCTTTGGACCACAAGTAGTTGTCAACGGAACTGATCTGCGTGTATCTCACTAGTTGGCGCCATTAGCGACGAACACTGCCGGCCGCCCTTTTGTACCCTTTGCACCACCGGCCTGCACCACTGGTGGTGCAAAGGGTATTTTTTAATCCCTTTTACACCACCAATAGTGCCGCCCTACCATTAACTGTAAAACGATTATCTATAATCATATAATATTAATATTATAAAGAGGAAAGATTTGATTGTTTGTTTGTACTGAATAGGCTCCGAAACTACTGGACAGATTTGACAACATAACATAAAAATTAATAACAACCATTCATACCTACATACAACGAATAATTCCTAAAATACCAGGGCAACATAATCATAAAGGAGCTAACTATATCAAATTCTNATATACTGTGTAGCTGGAAATTGTGGCGGGAGCTCTTTGACGCGCTGTTTTCGGCGAAGAATTGCGCGCGCAGATTTTGACAGCGCGAAATACCTACTTTAGAAGAAATACCAAGCCTTAAGGTCCTATGTCCCCTAGATAGGGCAGAGGGCGTCCACAACAGACGTTGACGAAGTGCACACTCCATTTAGTAGCTTACCTATTTAGACTGTGAATTACGTAACGTTAGTCTCGTCGTCAACTAGGAATTACATATCTGGTAGTTATTAGGGTCCACAAGAAAGAATTGCATAAAGGTCAATAGAAATGTAGATGAGACAGTTGTCAAGAGACCAACAACATAAAATCATTACAACAACAACATTAATTAGTAATTATTTACATGACTGCAAGACTGGCTTATTATTTACTAGCTTTTGCCCGCGGCTTCACCCGCGTGAAATTTAGTTTGTTACAGATCGTCATAAATTATAGCCTATATGTTATTCTGGGTTATAAACAATAATACTGTAAAGTTTCATCAAAATCCATTCAGTAGTTTTTGCGTGAAAGAGCAACAAACATCCAGACATCCAAACTTTCGCATTTATAATATTATAGTAGGAAGGATTTTATTTTACTTTATTCGGAAAACAAATAGTGTTAATTGATTTATTAAGTTATAATGTGAGATTTTAAAATTGTTATGAGGTTTTCCAACTGTATTGATGGGCACCATCTCCACACAGCCGCTGGGCGTGACGGCGTCGGCGCTGCTGACGGGCAGCGCGGGCGCCACGTACGCGGCCGCCACGCGGCGCCTGGACGCGGCGCGCCCGCAAGTCGAGCCGCCCCGCCCGCGCGCCCGCGAGCAGGACGCCTAGCGAGGCGCCTTCCACGGCCAACCGCAACCAAACACCACAATCGGAGCTCCACAGCCGTGTGCGTCAGAATGGACGGTCACTACCCATATTTTACATCGAAAAAAATCTTGAAAGCTGCTTCCCAGTTGCTACTAATCGTTAAATAGTTGCTACCCTCGATTTAAAGAAAATAATCTAGTTTCTTAGGTGACGCGCCATCCTAGCATCAGAATGGCTGGTCACCTATCCAGCGAGAACGAACTGCGCTAGATAAAAGAGTTTGTTTTTAACCAACAGTTGCTACTAACTGCTACCTTCATATGCCACGTCTTGGAGCTCATAGCTTTTAAGGCTAAAAAGTAATTATATATTTACTATTTCATTATCTCAACGCCTACAGAATTATATGAGCAATTGGCGCCTGCTTAAAGAATACTACTTATATGTTTGATTGTGGATTTGCTCATTTAATTCTGTAGGCGTTGAGATATCGAAAAAGTAAATACATGATTACTTTTTTGATCAGCCATTCTGATGCTAGGATGGCGCGTCACCTAAGAAAGTAGATTATTTTCTTTAAATCGAGGGTAGCAACTATTTAACGATTAGTAGCAACTAGTAGCAACTGGGAAGCAACTTTCAAGATTTGTTTCGATGTAAAATATGGGTAGTGACCGTCCATTCTGACGCACACCCACAGCCCGGTGGCAGGACGCTTACGACCGACCGCTTGGAGTTGCATTCACTGTACTTGTCAATTTAAACAGCAAAATGCTTGTACTGTTCCAGTTGTTGACATTCCACCAGCTCGCACTAAGCGTTTCGATTATTCTTTTATAATGCGAACAGCTAGGGACTGGAATTCGTTGCCTGCTGCTGTCTTTTCCGAAGACTATAATCCGGGCTTTTTCAAGGCGAGAGTGAATAGAAACTTACAGGGCAGATAAGTACCATCATCCTAGACTGCATCCCACTTAACATCAGGTGCGATTGTGGTCAAATATCTGCCCTGTTATGCATAAAAAAAAAGTCTTCTGGCTACATCTGGAACATCGCGAGCTGTGCTCGTCTTTGGACCACAAGTAGTTGTCAACGGAACTGATCTGTGTGTATCTCACTAGTTGGCGCCATTAGCGACGAACACTGCCGGCCGCTGGACCTGGACTATTAAGATGTATTCCTCTAACACAAGCATTTGATTGAGTAAGCTCTATCTGAAAATTTCAGACCTACTGATAACTTCTGGATCAGAATTCTAATTTCTACCCAGTAGATCCAGATAGATAGGTAGATGTTATTCTTGATTTATGCAAGACATCATGGACTTCTTTTGACTTGTTTAAAAAAGGTTTAAATATTTGTATTAACTTATAATAAAGCTAGTGTATAAGTTTTGTATTTTTTATGTATTCTAATGATAATAATTAGGTAATAAAGATACATTCTGCATTAAGTATTGTTGTTTTATGTTCATGGGATATTGAGATTTATAAAAAACTATATTCTTAATAAAATTTGTAATAACAAAATTTAATCTAGAGTAACAAAATTTGTATAAAACATTTTAAAATAATTACATATTTGTACATGAGCCATCACCAACTAAAATAAGGTTCATAATTATTATCTCCCCTCAGTCAGAGTTGTGAAATAATTCTGCACAGCTTCCACAACACTGTCGGGCTTGGGGCGTGCGGCCACACCTGCGATGTCCACTCCAAAGTTCTCAATCTTGTGAGCTGTAGAGTTGCCAATAGCAAAGTGTGGTATGCTAGAGAGCTTGTTGCTAAATGTCTTGAGCCGCCTATGCACATACTCGCACCCAGAGGGGCTGAAGAACACCAGGCAGTATGGCTCTTCTTCAGACTCGTTCAGCTCCACCAGCTCTTGCTGTAAGTTCTCATTTTCCACTGTCTCGTATGCTACCACAGCATCCACAGACAGCTCTGCAGATTCCAATGTGTTTGGCAAAGTTTCAGACCTTAAATTCCCACAAGGAAATAGAAATTTCGAGGATTTGGGATTCTCATTACAGATAATCTTAGCTAGGTTTTCTGCATTACCGGATGTCGCCCCTAGTGCTTCCAGGCCCAACATAAGTGTTATCTTCTGTCGACTCACATCTCCTACGGTGTATGTCTTTCGTGCATTCCATGAAACAAACTTAGATGGGTCCCAGCACTTTGAGACAGCTTCTATTGCTCTGGGGCTTGTTAGTATTAGTCCATCATATTTTTGCTGAAGCTTTTCCTTTAGCTCTTCTGTATTTATATATTTGAACTGTAGAGGTTCAACGAATATCACTTCATAGTTACAGTCAGTGAAAGCTTTCACGTAGTCGTCGGAAGCACTTTTAAATAATATCGCTTTCTTCATGGTGACCTCTCTCATCGAGGAGCGACGCACTTCTTTGTGTTATTACTCGTTACTGCATTGTATTGTTTATGCGTGACCCTGGAAATACAGGAAATCAAATGAATTTGTAAGTATATCGTGAGACAAATGGAATGATAATTATTGTCGATATACAGGAAATACAGTTAATGATACATGAGATTAAAGGCAAAGCTTCATATTGTAATCAATTTTAAATAGAATTTACCAGAGCACTTAAAACATATTCATTTTTATTAATTTATAAGTTTTATTTGGATTTATTTACAAAAACTTTCGTGAAAGTATGGTTGACACTAATGACGTTGACATTGACAGATTTATTTTTTAATTCTATACCCAACAAAACTAGAGACGGGCCGAAATCTAAAATCGAGTTTTGTTTATGGTTTCGCCAAATAGTAAATACTATAAAAAGTTTTAAAACTATTTTATGAATGAAATACTTCTTGATAGAGATTGTGATAGAGGAATAAATAGCTGTCTTTTTACAAGTCACTCACAGTCACATCAAAAATCTGTACAATACTGTAAAACTAGTTTTTGATAAATTGTATTTCTTGATTTTACTATATGTTTAGGATAGGATTTAGCGTGTCGGAGGTGGCGCTAGTGTTATGTGAAAGAGTGAATGCAGGCTCTCGATGCCTCTAAGCGGGTGTTCGGGCGGGCTACTGCTGACGGCGGTGGTGGCGCTGCTGCTGCTGCCGGCCCAGTACTACGTGCCGGACCTGTACTCCGCCGACGAGCAGCTGGTGCCGCCGCCGTCGGAGCCGCCGCCGCAGTCCGTCGCGGCCTGGTTCGACCTCGCCTTCTCCCACCTCCCCCCTCTAGATCTCTTCTTCACACTCTCGCTGCTCATACTAGCGTTCTTCACTTACATTTGCGAGTGGATACAGAGGAAACTGATGGAAAGACGGATAGTGAAGGTACTGAATGCATTAATAGGTACGATCCTTTGTTTGCACCGTTATGTATTTTAATTTACTATACATGTTTTGAATTCTACGTTAAATCACTTTGACCTTCCTAATGTTTAATAGCAAAATCCGATATTTTTTGAGGATATTTTCCAGTGCAACTTATTTACTTCGATTAACATTCAATAATTGTAAATTGTCTAGGTGTGCCATACAGAAAAACTTGTTTGTGCGGAGGCATTGGATCTGAACACGGTTCTGGTCTTCCCCAGTTGAACCAGTACCTGGGGGCGAGCGTGGAGCGGCTGCGCGCGTGGGACGCGCAGCAGGAGCAGCTGGAGGCGACGCTGCGGATGGTGGCCAACGCCACGTGCGAGTACAACCTGCTGCTGTACCTGGTGCTGCGCCAGCACCGCTGCCTCGCCGCCAATGGACCACCCTCCAACTGCTTCTTTGACAAGGACTTCGACGAGGATCTGCCTTTTTTAAGGAACGCCACAATGGACGCGCAGCCTGTTTGACTAACGTAGTTTGGAATTCGTTATTTATTGAATATAGTGTTCGATTTTTTTGCGGGAGTTTCCTTCTTTAGTTTATTATGATACTCATCTAATTAATGGTATGCAGGTATTGGCAATTATCATCGAAAAATATGTTTGCTCAGTCGGAATGATGCAGATCCACCATTTCGCGCGTGATAGACGAAACTTAATAAATGTAAAATGAATCAAAGGGTAAAGGTTGCGGACTGTTTATATAGTTATGTAGTCCCTACTAACTACATTATTGAGTCCCCTCGGTAAACTATACCTAAATTGAGTATTCAAAGGAGGCTGTGAAGAGAAATGACATTCCGAGGCAGAACTGGAAAATGCAATAATGATCATGCTCGTTGTCAGGTTTATTATTTGGTTCACTAATAAGTAGTATCATTACCTATTAAGTACTTTTCTGAAATAAACATGTTGACGTTTTCTTAAAGCGTGCGGTATGAGTGCTCCTATTTATTGGCCATAACATTTTTATCTTAGGTTTAACAAATTTTTAAACTTCATCGCAATGTTTTAACATATTTTAAGTAAAACTTCCTCGATTTTTGTTAAGATTGAAGCAAGGATCACTCAATCCACATGCACATCACAGCGATATGTCTTCATAGTCTCAAGTTGTTCACTAACTTCCTCCGGGGTTTATTGCCGGTTGGGCTCTTGTAAACGCATCGTTACTGTTTGCTGTCCGACTGCTCTCAATCTGTACAATTTGCTGAACTGATCGGATCAACTGACAACAATAATTGAAAGGGCGAACTGCTGCCGGCTCAACATGCCGGGAATACGAAGTGCTTCATTACGAGGGCTCATATTTTAGAGACGTCTCGGGCCCGCATACGCGATATTCTATACGCCGGTTAGTTAGACGTGACAGGAGCCTTAAAGGGTTGCGGTCCGCCCCCCTTGCGGTTTCTGGATAAATGATTCGTCGCAAGCGTGCGTGTTCAATGTTTTTCTCGATTTGTGGGAACGTAATCCTTTTTGTTCTGAAGCTCCTCGTTTTTCTCTTATTTGCTTTGAATTTAAGTATGGGTACAGCTGACGGTGAATTGTGCAAAGTGTTTGATTTGTACGTCAATAGAGCTGGATCGTAGTTATTTGGTAGAAAATTTCCTAAAAGGTATTTGTGATTCTTCAAACCCAGTTTTTTCAGTAGTTCCACTGTGTGTGTAGTACCTAATCTTAAAAGTTTAAATAACCAAACCAAACATTTCTAGTTGAAGCTGTTGAATAAAAGTAGGTAGTTTAAGTAGACAGTAGGTATGTTACACGATGTCAGAATTTCATAACCCTCAATCTCAATGCAATGCCCTGATTCCATAAATACTTAAAGAAATCCTGAATCTTTTTTGTTATTAAATTTTTTCGCCGACAGAATGACGGTAATGGGGCCCCAATTGTGATTTATTCGGTTCTTACGGCCCTTCCCCTTTACCCATGTTGCGGAAAGAAATGTTTGTTGCGTATTTAATTTACACGATACGTAAGGAAAATAATTACTGGGCTATTTATATTCTCGACTTAACGAAGCGGAAAATCTTGAGGCACCCTCCTCGTCACATTGAACTGACGTAGAATGTTCTCGACATAAGGACTTATAACAAACTTCCGTTTGGAAGATAGGTAGGTACTGCTTTGATCTTTGAACCACACAGTCCTTAATTATGCTTCTAAAATCATATGAATGTTTATCTGACAATGTTTAGTGGAGAGTAACTTTACAAAAGATGGGTCCCGTACCTACCCTTAAAGTTCTTCTCAATGTTTGGTAAATCAGGTCCGAGTCGAATACCTGTGAGTGAAAGCTAAGCTATTTTTCATTAATACTCAGATATTGACTTTCCTTGAATTACTTCGGTTTCCTGCTTACCTACCTACTAAGTTGTTTAGTACCCTAGTAGCCTCGATATATCCAAGAGTACCTAAGTAGGGGAGGTAACAAAGTTATTATCAGTCAGTTGTTTATGCGTGGAGTTGCGGAAGCCGGGAGTTCAGGCCGTTACCGCGGCATGAAACGAGGAGGGATGTTTACCTGACTTTGAGTGCTCAATTACTTTCGTGTCGTCGACTTTGTAAGCAAGGTTTATTTATTTGAATTGAGGCTTGCTAATATTTTCCGTTTCAATCGGTATATCTTAGCTAGGTACTTATTATTTCGTATTGAAAGGATACCTACAAAGTTCAAACATACAGTGAAACGAAAAAGTGCCTAAATAAGTAGGTACGAAAAAGAGCCTACTCGATTTATGCAGGTGTAGTGACCACTCATATTACCTTAGAGAATTAAATGAATCCTCTATGCATATTACTCAACACTGCTCTCCGATTCTTAAGAGATTCTCACGGAACTATTTCAGTTCCAGCTTTTCAATTTCAGATGAAAATGTTTCGTAATTAAAGGGAGATAAAAAAAAATTCGATTATGTAATACGTAACTCAAGTTCTCCGATTCCATTTTGTGATTTGTCTATGGTTCATGACAGTTACAGATTTGAAATAAAAATTAGTGGGTAGGTAGTTGTCATTTTATTTTTATGCACTATTTCCGTGGGTACTACCACTTGATTGTCCGCGAGCCTGCGTAGGTGGTCCCATTTTACAAACTTGTCGAGTTTATTGTTCTGATTTTGGTTTTAAATTACCTAATTTCTCATGAATTTTGATAACTGGACTTATCTTTGAGCCCATTGGTGTTGTATTTGTTTGCATACTGACTGATCATGAGTGTTAATTTAATGTGAAGGTGCTTGACCATTTTTTTAGTATTGTGATGTGAACGGTGAAATTTGGCTGAGCCGCATTTTTCGATTCGTCTAGCAGTTAACAACGTAAGAAGCATAGGTAGGTACTTACTTTGATCAAAGTTCAACCAATATTACTTAATCGATTACCTACATATTTTTTTCCTTTCTTGCCCTCAGGTGTGCAACTGTGCAGCGGCGTTGCCTGGTTGGAGCGGGGTAAGTCTACCATAATAATGCTTTATCATGTTTTTTAATTTCCATATTATAATTTTTTTACATCCATATCGCGAATTATGAGCCAACTTATATGAAGGGTATACCTAATCTATACAACCGATTAAATAATTAGGAAACTCGTTACTGTTGAATCACTCGGGAAATTAATACGCAATGGCCGGTAGTGTTAATCTGGCGGAAGTATGACCGTGCCAGAACAATTCGGAGGAAAAGGTCCAAGGGGGCTATGATTTAGTGCCGAGCCCTCTCATTCCTCAGGACCGCCTCATTACAGGGATTGGAAAAATGTCGGCGGCGATCGAGTTGCCATTGTTAGGGGGAACGAAGCGCGCACCTGATACGCAAAGGAATCGCCGTTTTGCCTCGATATTAGATGCGGACGTTACGTTTGAATGAGCCCTAGTGCTGCAGCTTGGAGTGCTGTAGGTAGGTCTGACTTCCAGCGATAGTTAATACAGTTTAAAATGATTCTGGGGATCGGATATAATCACACCCACTTTCATTTACATTTATTTTACAGATACAAACGACTGATTCTTAGTACGTACCTATTTTAATGCCAATATTCGATGTACTAGGTATACAAATAACTCACTGTGACACAATTTGAAAAGTAGGTACTTACCTGAACACAACTGACACAACTTTGATGATAAAACAAATGCTAAGGTAGGTAATCCTTGTTCCTAAAGCACCATGTCAAATTATCATAACGTAGTCGATTTCTAGATGAAACGCCCTAATTGAAATGTAATTAAAATAGATACCTGCCTATTTAAATTGTTTTTCACAATGCTTTCTTCCGTAGTAACTTTATCTTCCTGTTACGCATTTAGTTTAATGTCCCAATTTCACGTTGCGCTTTACGAAGAAAGTCTGGGGATCATTTATTTATGCAAAAACTTTCCCCTTCATCCGTTTACGGGACAAAAAACAGGACAAAAACTTTGCTTATTTAAGTTGCGCAAATAAAGATTTATGTACGTGCTCCGGCGAGGACGTACACTGAAAAGATTAGGTTCCTAATGTTTTCATGGCTGCCTCTGGCTCCCCTTTAGCCTAGCACAGCTCGCAACAGATGTCATAACTCATTTTGAACTCTATTACGCCACTCACAAGGACAATAAAACAATGTCATTGTGCTGCTGTTTGTATTCTGAATCAGACTAGCTAGGGAACAACAAATGGACAAACTTGAGCGATATTTCACAATTGTATAGTATGTTACCTACCTATGACCTAGTGACATTCTTTTCCTTTCTTAATCCTTGATAACTTACTTATAGATTTTGTCATTTTTATTGTATAGTTGTGATAATATTTTTTTTACATTACAGTTCACTAGTAGGTTATGCAAGTTACTGCACAAGTTCAATACGAGCATCCTAGATGGCGTTAGTAGTAAGAAAATTCGTTCGTGAATCAGGGTAGCGCAGGAATTTGTGTTGAAACTTGATACTGGGGCTGATCTAGATTTCATGGTGACAAAATAATGATTAATAAATGAGACTATAAATAACAAAACGTTAAGTAAAGAACTGTCGTTGTAGCTGTCCTCTTCACTTCTCTCTAACACCTTGTTTTTGAAATGATTTCCAAGCTGACTTGATTAAAAAAAAAAATAGTTTTCTACTAGCATGGCGGCCGGATGCCCTAGTCCTGTGTGTTCGGCGCGGAAAGCGGAATCTACAAGCGCGTGAAGTCGTCGCGCATAGTTTTCTCTTATAAGAACACAAATAATGTCTGCGGAGTGGGTGCTGGGTGCACAGAATCTGTCGCAATGCTTTATTAGGGCTGTAAATAAACGACCACCGTTTGTAATCTATCTTTGGGTATGACGACGAATTTACGAATTAGATTATGAATAAACGAAAAAGAACATCGTCGTGAAGTTAATGTTGTTCCCTATGTTAAGGAGGTGAGATATATTATTTATTATCAATATAAATATCATGTTATCCGTACGCGCCCGCTCCTGCCTTCGTCGCATTTATACATTATGCCATCTACTATGG